TCGTTACAAATAGGATCACAATTCGGATATAGAACCTGCCAGAATATGCCGAAAAATGAAATTTGCAGTCCGAAATTCATTACTTTACGGCCGGTAGCTTTTCCGCCGGGCTAGATGCCAGCCGCCAATCCCCGGGCCCATCACTTTCCCGGGCGATTCCGCCGGCCGCCGGGGCCACCCTCCTAGATTAGAGAATGCGGAGTTCGGTCTATGCCTGCATATATGTTTTGAGACCACGCCCTATACTCGATCGACCCGGAGGTCGCAAAATCGCGTGGAAAGTCGCGGAAAGTCGCAGGGCATTGCAAACTTCTAAACACAAAACTTGCTTGAAACTATATTTCCAAAAGGTTTGTAAGGTTGTGGTGAAAGTCGCGCGAAGATCGCGGAACAAAGTCGCAAAGCAGTCGCATAAAGTCGCGGGGAGGATCGCGGAAAGTCGCGCGGCGTCGCATGCAACTCTGGCAACCTCCGAGTCCAGAATAGGCTACGACGGTCACTCTGAATGCTTGCCAAGCTGACTGGCGCAGAGATTGCCACTGTGTAAGTTGCATTTCGAAATTGGATTGGCTAGCTATGTTAGTACGTCAGTACACTGAACTGTGACCGTATTAAAGGGAAGGTCATTTTGAAGTGGTACCCCCCCTATGATATGTGAGGAGGGGGAGCCCGGGGCTCGGAGAGCCGCTTTGAGGGCCTTTATGGGGGGGGCACGTGTACACCCACACTTTGCTCACCGGCGGGCTTGATGGGGGTGTGGCTTGACGACCTTGGCCTTCAAGGAGGCTCAAGGGGGGGTAGCATTGAGCCCAGTCCGCATTTTCTTGTGATTTTGAGGCTTTTTGAGCTTAAAATGGCGTATATGCACTAGGCCGTCAATAAATCCTTGTAAATTGGCGGCTTTACAATAACCACTTTTCAACATTTCAGTCACAAATGATGAAGAAAACGGATTTGTACGGTATGCCCGCATAAGCCCGGGCTTACCCATTCGATTTGGTGATTTGGCTTCACTAGATTACAAATATGGGGGGGGTACCCGAGGCCCTGATCCGTGAAATTTATATGGGAGGGGGGCCCGAGGCTCCGGTCCGACTGAGGACGTGGGTATGGGGGGGGGACCCAAAGCTCCAAGCAAGAACCCTAGCTACGATCATAAGGGTGTAAGGGGGGATACCACTTCAAAGTGACCTTCCCCTAACCTGCAGGGCCCGCCGGAAACAGATTAAGTCGATCATATATGGCAAAGCTCACTCTTCACACTCTAGAGTTCTTGTAAGTTGCTATATGGCCGTTTCAAGTTTCTTATGCATGAAAGATTCAATGAAAATGATCAATTGTCTATATAGAGGATATCAGTAGCTAGATTCTATCTAGCCTAAAATGGAGTCGCCGGACTCAATCAATCATGGCCCATGCTGAGTCGCTTCATTATTATTGCATGGCCGGGGATAACTGGCTTTCCGAATCAATTCAATGAATTTGAAAGACCGAATTTCCGGTCCGGGCCGAGAACTAAGTACGTGGAGGTGGGCGATCCGATCAAGTGGAGATGATGTTGAGTTCAATTCGAGCTAGAGATATAGGCGCGCGCTGCGCGGCCTTTCATGCCATGCAATATTTACATAAATTGATTAATTTATTAATATGCGCAATTGTCGGACGGTTGTTGTCCAACTTCGTCGATCATGTGGTCTACTAATTACCAATTATATGTTGGACTCGATGCACATCTAGGTCACTTAGTATGCAGATGACCATATAACTTCATGACTACCGTAATTTGCTTCAGTGATGTTCTCTTTTCAAACGCCGTAGCCACATGGGCCATAGGCTTCCATGGCATACATGGGAGTACATGTTTGAGTTCTGTACGCCTAGCTATACCCTCCCAAATCTTCATGTACTACAGGCAACCGTGATCAGGCAACCGTACCAGCACTGCGCGCCATGCACTAAGTTGATGGGCCACAAAAGCTGAATCGATCTGCAGGAGCGAGATCGGACATGAACTAGTATTGCCGACTGATTCAAACAAGGTTGAGTGTAGCTTACCCAGCCTGCCAGAACGTACGATATGCCGCATGCACAACTTCAAGCTTGACGAGTCACCATTGTTGTCTGTCCTAGCTCAGTCATCAATTCAACCTGGCAGCTGCGCCGCACTGCCTTCCGTGAAGTTCATAGTTTTTCAATGTATGTAAATGCCAGATCGATCCCAAAACTGCATGAACCCGGATTTATCATAATATATGGTTTGGAAGCTGAATGTACAAGTTACTAACCGTCTTCTAAATCAAAAGTAACAATAAGGAGAAGAAGATATATGTAATTTGATGATTGAAGAGAGAACTTGAGCCCCGCCTTCTATATGTACAGCAAGTGCAACCTACACAGGTAGACCTATCGAAGGAACTAATGTACCTTTCTTGCCAATTCCGCTCCAACCAGACTAGAATATACAGATTGCCGTAACATGACACACACTCTCGAGCTTCCTCGTCATTTTGTTAACCGGATGTCAATTCTCGATATCCGAGCCATTTTCGACTACATCTTCTGTTCGTTTCCTTTTCCTAGACGGTGTGAATATTCCTGGCATGCGTGCAAAGGTGAGCGCGTCTAGTGGATCTAGGGAGTTGAGTAGCATGGCCATAAGTTCCTTGACTCCGGTTTGTCGATGGGTGTGACCGCGCACGGTCTTGGCAAAACTGCAACCACAGTACAGTACATAAGCGTTTCGCTACTGGGTGGCCTGTCCAGCACGACTGTTTGATCATCAACACCTGTGTGGTTTTGGGGAGGGTGCCCACGGGCTCTGGCGTCGCTCACCTGTTGACCTCCACGAGGTGCACCTGCGCGCCTTTGGCATTGGTGCCCACCTCGTGCAGCAGCCCGGCCCACTCGGCGCGGATGCGCACCAAGTCCTCGTCGTCCGCGTTGGTCACGTCCGTCAGCACGGTGAACACCGGGACCTGCCAGGCCCGGCCACACTGAGCCGTCAGCCAGGATCCACCATGGCCACCACATCCACAGAAGTACCAGCTATTCGAAAGGGATGATGCAGCAAAAGGATTAGCAGCCAATGATTACGGCTCGGGAGCCAGCAATGCACTTCGGCAGCCTCGATCAAAAAGTTGAGGATGGCTGCAGCCCCTCACCAGCTTCATGTGCGGGATCCGTAGGAGTTCCACCACCCTTTCTCGCAGGATCTGCAGCACATGCGAACATGATATGAATAGGCGGAGACAAACGACATGCCTGTCCAGACGACTGTTGCAGCCAAGCATGATGACAAGTCGCTCTGTCAGAAAGAGCTGCGGCCGCTGCTCATTCGCCATTGAGAGCCAGGGGTGTGGCCCTGACCCTGGCTCCTGCGCGGTGGCAGTAGATGAGCGCAAAGGGCCGCAGGCGCGCGTCCTGGGAGGTGAGGCGCGCGTGCAGGCTGCGCAGCATGGCGCGCCAGGCCAGCACCTCGCGCAGCCACGCCAGCGAGAAGCGGCCCCCCTCCGCAGCGTGCGCAGCGCCGGGGACGGGCACCGAGATGGCCGCGGAGGGGGAGGAGCGCAGGGGGAGGGGCACGCGGAAGCCGGGGGTGTCCACCACGCGCAGCCCGCACGGCAAGCACACCTCCGTCTCCACCACCTGCCAGGGGCCAGCGCACACAGAAGCCAATCAAGGGCAGCCGCGCAGGATTCCCCGAAAAGACGCGCAGCCAAATGCCAAATCACTTGGGATGGGCTGGATGCAACAGGCTGAGAAGGGAGGGTGCACGCCGGCCTCACGGTGCCGGGCCCCGTGGCGCTGACGGCCAGGATGTCGCTGTCGTGGGTCAGCGCCTTCACCAGCGTGCTCTTGCCCGCGCCCGCCTCCCTGCACCAGCCATGCAACAGGAGGGGCTCACTGTGAGCAGCGCGCAGTGGAGTGGTGCCAGTAGCAAGAGGAGACAGGCCTGCAGTGAGAAGCCACGCTGATGGGGGCCGCCAATAGCAGCCGAGGCTCGCCCTCTGTGCCTGGAGGACTTTTCGGCAGGCAGGGCCTGCAACGAAAGGTACAGGCATGCTTGGGGGGGATACCGCTGTTGCCGCTTACCCATACACAAGCACAGTAATCTTCCTGGAGGCAATGACGTCGTTGCACAGGTCTGTGTTGACCCCAGCACACGTCACCTCAAGCGCGCGCGTGGTGTCGCCCCAGCGATCAAAGAAGGGGCCCAGCAGCTGCTCGTCCTGCACCACCAAAGCGTCAGCGCTTCAGCAGCCCCACGCACAGGCCCGCCGCCCAGCGTGGCCCTTGCGCCTGCCCAGAGCACGTGGCATTGCAGAGGGAACAATCAAGAGGAATTGGAAAACAGAGTCTGTGACTTGGCGTCGTGCCGCTGCTTCCTTGACCTGCATTAAGGCCAGGCACCAGCATCGTGGGGGCTCACTTGCAGTGCCTTGTGCCCCTCCGCCACCGTGCTGAACGTGACGAACTTGCGCGACCACACGTCCGGCAGGCTGGAGGGCACCTGGCGGTGGGGACAAGGGCGGGGCATGAGGAAAGGCAGCACCCCACAGCACTCCAATCGAGGACATAAGGCTGCATAGCGTCAGCTGGCCAAGCTGCGGTGTTTGTCCAGCCATGTCCTGCCAGGCATCAGCGGACACCCCAGTCCGTGTGCATCGTGGCCCTAACCCCGCCTGCCACGGCATGCCCCTACCTTGGTAGCTGCCCCGTCCCCCTTCCCGCTCTTCCCTGGCCGGGCTGCTGCTGCCACCAGGAGGCCTGCATCCTCGTCCTGTCCCTCGTCCTTCACCCGCGCCTCTGCTCTGCCGCTGGAAAGGCCAGGCAGCCCGCCTCCGTCCGCTTTTCCTGCACCGCTGACTCCCTTGCCGGCGCGACCGCGAGAGTGTGCCATAGGGACACCCAAAGGGCTCTCGACAGCTGGCTCGAATCTCTTTGTGCAAAAAGTGGCAATTTTAGTGAGAGGGCATTGGAGAAGCCCGGCTAAGTATGTAGCCTAGAAGTCCTTGATCTCAGATATCTTATTACTAGCTGAACTGAGTTTCAAGCAACCCTAAAACTTCTGTGGAACTTGAAGGGAAGCGCTGGCAGTGGAGGGCGTCTAGTCTCTATGTAGATAATCGAGACTGAGCTCAGTCTACCACGTGGATCCGCAGCGGCTAATTCGGACTCGCATTTTCTGCTTTCGTGTCGCCGAGGAATCCATCACGTGGTACAGTGTTTGGCGACTCGGATTATTGGCGTACCTGTTTCTCGGTCGCCGAAGCGTCATGGGCAAGATTCAACTTCGAGAGAGACGGAGGCCTGCTTTTTGAATCTCACCTCTCAGACTCAGAGTCAGAGTCAGAGTCACTGTCTCAGTCTGCGGCCTCCGAAGAGTCAGAGCACTGTTCTTCGAAGTCCGAAGGGGAAGGCGTTGATGCACGGGCGCGGTGGGCCGCTCCTGATGGGCCTTTACCAGTGCCAGCGAAGCGGTGCATCGGCGCCTGCAAGGCCGGATCTTGGTGGATCTGACTTCAAAGGGACAAATTGGTAATCTTGCAACTTGCGTATGCAGCTGGTTTGGGTGGTTTTAAAGAGGCAGCCCTTTTCTCCTACATCGCCTGTCGGCTCATTCATGCGCAATCCTGCAGAAGGTAGCAGATTGTTTGAACTGTAGCCCCTAGCTTAGGGCTGGCTCCATTACTGATAGGTCGTGTATGGGAATGCTCCGGAAAAGTCTGGCTGGTTGCAATTGTCTGTTGTGCGGGGCACTGAATTCCTCGTTTAGTAAATGGTGCGGGCACCAGTCGCAACGTAGCGAGGCAGCTCAGAGCTGTGGTAATTGGCGGCCGCGTGCCGGACAAGCGCGCTTTTTCCAATCATGAGTCGGTCCAGCAATGGGAGGAAAGCTGGAGGCGTTGCGCACCACGCCAACGGGGTGGCTGGCGCAGAGGAGCGTAAGGGGGCGGGCCCGCCTCCGCCCGCCGCCCTGACTGCCCAGTTTGTGAAGCTGGTCCAGGAGGATGACGCGCAGGGCCTGGAGGCGGCGCTGGCTGCAGAGAAAGAGAGGCTGGCAGCGGGCGCGCGCAAGGGCAAGGCCAAAGGGAGCGATCCGTCAGCAAACTTGAAGAAGCGGTTGCTGCAATATGCTGCAGCGTGCGACGCAGACGAGTGCTGTGCATACCTGCTCGATGAAGAGGAGGTGCCCATTGACGGGGGAGACGAACACGGGCTGACCCCGCTGCACCACGCGGCCCACAACCACGCCAAGGCGGCAGTGCAAGCGCTGTTTGACAGGGGGGCCGAAGGGGACGAGCTCAGCAAGGAGGGCAAGACGCCGCTGGAAACGGCAATTGCAAGCCCAAAGTAAGCAGCCCTGTAACAGAAGCCTTGCCTTTGATTTTTTTTGTGAACTGTTGGGCGAGAGAAGTCACCAGGATTTTGCATCGCTATAGATTACCAGCTCCCAACATTTGACTCATGTTTGCGTTGAATCTGGTACTATGTTGGGTTCGGTGCAAATTGTGATGATCACTTGAATGCGATGTCCGGAAGGTTGTCTGTTGGGGGAAAAACCCTCGTCCTTAGGGTTAGACACTCTTGACCATGACTACAGGCTTGTGTTTTCTTTTAGCTTTGCTCGATTTTTGACCCTGTATGTATCTAATGTCCCTCTCACAGGTTTCTTGCAATCTGCAATGAAGTCAGACTGTCAGCAGCGGTCTGAGACAGTGATCAATGCCAGCTTAGCCAGAACGCACGTGACGAATGCTAGCATCAGATGCTGGTGCCAGCTTATTGCACTTTTTTTGTCGGCGCCAGCTTAATGCATCCAGGACCTCAGTCCAGTTGCCACTCTGTTCCAAACCAGCCGCGGTGACATTGAGTGCTTGCCCAGGAAGAATCGCTCCCGTGTGGAGCCTCCAGTGCACCTCGCCCCTCCGCTCTGCGTTCCTGCCTTCACCGTGGCTGCTGTGCTGTGGTGCAGGTTGCACATTGAGTGGACCCCGCACATGCAGGCCACCAGCCTGGTGGAGCTCATGCAGAGCAAGGTGCGCACCTTCGCGCCGCACAGCGGCCGCTGCGTCTCAACTGGAGTGGGGGTCTTGCCTTTGAGCGTGCTGGATCAGGGGGTTAGTCAGGGCGCACCGCCAGAGCATGGGCCTAGCTTGTGGCACGGCCGTGGGCTCTTCTGGGCTTGTGGCCGCCCTTTGTTGTAGGAGCCCTTGAAATTGTTTTGAGAGCTCTTTAACAAAGCTTCTGAAGAATTCTGCAGCGCAGGGCTGCGCCAACACGCTGGCGCCCCTATGGGCCTGTTGGGCAGGGGCCTATCAGTGTTGTGTGTAAGCATCGTAGCGCTGGCCTGTTGGCCTCGCTGCCTGACCCTGCCCTCTCCTGGGCTTGTTGTGTCCCCTGGCTGTATGTGAGCGCCGTCCCCCCCCTTTGCAGGAGCTGGCGTGCCTGCAGCTGTTGGCGGACATGGTCCCTGCCAGCCTGCTGGTGCAGGTGGCCTTTGCGACGGCCGCTGAGGGCGCTGTGCCGCGCCTCGTGGTGCTGCTCCTGGTGGGCAGCAAGCACATTGTGAACGCCGTCAGCCGCATTGGGGAGGCTGCCAGCGCCACGGGCACGCTGGTGGAGCTGCTGCTGCGCAAGGCGCTGGCCACGTCGCCAGGGGCCAGCGCAGACAAGGCAATCGGCGGCGCGCTGGGCCCGCGTGTGGAGCGCGAGGTGGCACTCAAAGCCCTCGAGGTACTGCTGCTGTGGAATCCGCGCCTGACCAGCCGCGGGCCCGAGGCACGCTCCCCGGAGCACATCCCGGTCATCCGCTCCGCGCGCGCCAACGACGCCGAGGTGGTGCGCCTACTGCTGGAGGCAGGGGCTGATGTCAATGAGACGGACAGCGAGAGCAACACGGCGCTGCACTGGTGCCTGCGCGGGCCGCGCGCGGGGCTGGACGTGCGCGTGGTGAAGCGGCTGCTGGAGCACGGCGCGGCGTGCACGGCCAGCAACAAGCTGGGGGCCACGCCGGTGCACACTGCGGCAGGGCACGGGCACGCGGAGGCGCTGCGCCTGCTGCTGACACAGGAGCCGGCAGCGGTGAACGTGCTGGCGGCGACCAAGGAGACGGCGCTGCACTACGCCGTCAAGAACGGGCATGCCGAGTGCGCGCGCGTGCTGTTGCTCATGGGCGCCAACCGCAGCGTAGTTAACGTGCGCAACCAGCGGCCCGCAGACCTGGCTGCATCCCCTGTGCTGCGCCGCCTGCTGGGCTCCACAGATCTGGCCCTGCTCAATACGCCCATCGCTGAGGCGGAGGACCCCGCAAGGAGCCCCAGCGGGGGCAGCGGGTTCGCGGGGGATGCGGATAGTCTGGCAGACGACGGATGGCAGGTTCAGACGGGGCGCACCAAGACAGCGGGACAGGGGGGCAACCACCCCAAGGGGGCAACTTCGCCCAAGGTGGGCGGACTAGCCAGCAGCGGGGCCAGCAGTAGTGGTGTCCCTGCCGGGGGGATGACGATTGGTATTGGGGGAGTGCAGCTGGATGCCAACAACATGCCCCCCGCCAAGACGGTGCTGTGCAAGTTCTTCTCGTCAGGGCAGGGCTGCTCGTGGGGCTCCTCCTGTCACTTTGCCCACAACAAGGAGGAGCTCCTCGCAGCCCGTGCCAAGCAGGGCCTGCCCCGGGGCGGGCCCCCCTCCCACCGCGATCGCCCCACCCCCACCCCCAAGCAGGCCTCAACGCCCCCTTCTGTCCCGGTGGAGGCCCCGCGCGCCCCCCCTCCTGCCCCGCTTGCCGCGTCGGCCCCCCGGCCACAGGCTCCCCAGAGCGCCGCCCAGCAGGATGCGGCCCCGCTGCAGGACAACCGTTTCCTCAAGACCAAGCTCTGTGTGCGATTCAGCAAGCTCGGGGGCTGCCCGAGGGGAGACAAATGCACGGTGCGGCCCCCCGCCCTGGCTGCCAGCAGGGCGCTCCGGCTGGCCTGGCAGCATGGTCCACTGGGCAGCACGATCCCCGCCTTCAAGACGGCCTGCTGCAATCAATCAGCTTGCCATTTGGGTGCCCCTCTTTGATTAGTCTTGTCACAGCCTCTCGTCTGATCCCGCTGCTCGCTTGTTTCCTGATCGGCTGACACGTCCCACGGTTTCTCCGATGTGCAGTATGCTCACGGATTTGGCGAACTGCGGCCTTGGGTGGAGGGCGAGGGTGGGGGCAGTGCGGGCGGCAGCCGGCCCGCCACCCCGGCCAGCGTGCCGCCCAGCGTGCCAGCCACCCCCGAGGCAGCGTGGATGCAGGACGACGAGCTGGCCGACAAGAAGAAGGTCTTTGTGGGAGGCCTGCCCGCCTTTGTAGAAAAAGGTAAGGCTGTATTTCGAGACCATCTGGAGGCGCTGTTGAACTCGGCTCGTGAACAAGCGAGCGGATCACAAACCAGATGCTGAAGCTGTTGTAAAGCCAGAATCTGCCTGGTCAACCACTGCCGCAAGGGCCGGCTGCAGAGGATTTTATACTCGTGCTTTCAGAGCCAGCCGCATTGGTGGCTCGAATGGGAACTCCCTTAGATGATGCAATCGTGGCAAACGGGCTTTCCAACACACGACCGGTTCCCAGCACATTGGGGTGTGCCTGTCCGTTCTCGCCTTGCGCGCCTCCTGTGTTCCTGCTTGCTGATGGTAATGCGGTTTTGCGCGCCTCGCAGACGACCTCTGGTCCTTCTTCGAGGAGAAGTTTGGCGCTGTGGCGGATGCCATGGTGGCCTACTTCCCCAACGGCGCCTCGCGCGGCTTCGGCTTCGTCACCTTCCAGCAAGAGAAGCCCGCCGCGAGTGCCGCCAAGCTGCACTACCTCCCCTTCCATGGCAAGCGTGTCGAGGTCAAGTTCGCGCAGCCGTTCCAGGACCGCTCCTCCGCCAGCCCCGGCAGCCGCGCCTCGCGTGACGGGTCCCGCCACACCAGCGGCTCCATGTCGCCCATGCCGCTGCCCCCCGCACCCACCACCGCGGCCGTACAACCACCGCCGCTCTCCTTATCAGGCTCAGGGCCCTCCAATAGCTTCCATGCCCCGCACTCGTTACAATGCGGAGCGTATGCTGCAGTGGCCGCCCCTTCCAATAGCCGCTCCCTTCCTTCGCCCATTGGTCCGCCATCTCCCTCGGTCGGAGTTGTGGGCCAACGTGGCCCCCCTCCCGGCAGTTATGCCGCCGCCGCCGAGCAGCAGCGGCAGGCGGAGCAGGCCCGGCACTTCGAGGAACACCCCCACTTCCAGCAGCCCGCGAGCAGCGCGCGCGAGCCGCAGCCGAGCCCCCCTCAGCGCAGCCAGCACCGGCGGGGGCCGGGCCTCGAGGTGCCGCAGGGGCGGCAGTACGAGCAGTTTCCGGTAGGGCCGCGGGCGGCGTTTGGGAACCTTGAGGGCTTTTCCACCGGGCCTGAAGACAGCAGCCTGATCTCGGAGCTCATGTCGTCGTTGGCGCTGCCGGAGCAGGCGCAGAACGGTCGGCGCAGGCCGTATGACGGAGGAGCAGTGCAGCAGAACGGGCCAGGCTTCGGCCCCAGTCGACAGGGGCAAGGGCACGCAGCCGCGCAGGAGCTGGGCATGCCAGGCGGGAACGAGTCGCTCGACGGTGTGTGTGTGGTCTGCTGGGAACGGAAACACGCGTGCGTGGCAGTGCCCTGCGGCCACCGGAGCTTGTGTATACCCTGTAAAGACGCGCTTCAGCAGTCGAATGCTGATCGAGATTGCCCTATATGTCGGTCAACTGTTAATCATTGGGTCGCGGTTCCCCAGGGATAGAGTGATGGTACTTGCTAGTGTCAGGATGTCATTGCAAAGGTCGCAACCAGATGTCAATTGACCATAAGCAAGTGCTTCACGCCTTTTACGTTGGGACCTCTATATGGGTCGAAGAACCTTTGTATAATTGGATCATGTGCTGTGTTTGGAACAAAGTGGATCAACTGGCGAGTTATGAGCTCCACTTTGTGACGTCGAATTCTGGCAGTTTTTGGCTCCAGCCTGGCAGCGCTAGTGTTAGCTTGTCTGGATGGTTGGACAGTATGGTAACGCATGCATGTAATTCGATTGGATGAAAGCAGTGCGCTTGGCACATGCAAGTTTTTCGTGGCTAGCTTATCAATGAGCATTGCATGAGTCTAGATTAACCGACCGGAACGGGACTCGGGGCCCATGCTGCATATCTGCAGCCCATGCAACGGCCGCCCCCCAAACATACGGCCTATGGGCTTAAAGCTCATAAACATCCGCAATCAAAAATCTTCGATTGTTGCAAGTCGACTCATATGTCCAGCCTGCATGGTCGAGCTGCACATGCATAAATTGATCGTATGCACTGGCTTGCAGTGCATGCATGTTGCGTCCATGATGTGCGTGCGAATACAACTAGCTAATTGACCAGTCAAGCTTGCGTATATACGATCCATGCATGTGCAGCCAATTCAGTTGTTGGGTTAATTCGATCCAATGATCATATAGATGATCAAACTACTTGCGTACATTGAAGTAGTCCAGCCAATGCAGGCTCACATTCAGTCCACACCGTGACACGTGCGCATGCTGGCACGCGGCAAGCTGCATACAGTAGTTGTTTCATGCAACTTCATTGCTCGACTCGAAACTTACTGATAGTTGCTGACTCGCATGCATGAGGGAGCGCTGTAGTGCCATTGGGCCGGATCACAAGGGGCAACGGCACTTCAGTCGTGATTGTCCTGCTAGTCCGACGTGATTGTCCTGCGACTTGAAATTTCCAAGATCTGGCTGGCACCAGCCTGTCATGAGTTATCACTCAGGCGATTGCACGCCATCAATCAAGTCGCTCTATCAGATAGGTTCGTTGCACATCTGACGTCAAGAAACTTAGAAAGAATGCAATCAAAGTGGGCCGAAGCATGATCCACAAGAAATTAACGACCGGACTTGACGTTGATCCGGCACTGCTGATCAGTAGCAGTGTTGGATGAGAAGAACTATGGCAACACGGCCTGTCTGGAACATAACAATCTTGTTCTTGGCGGGCAAAGCACATCAGTGCTTGCAGATCCGTGACAGAGCTCCTTCCGATTTACCGGTTGGATCATGCTGAGGATTGCGCCGGGGTGTCCACCTACATTCAAAGAACAAGGACTAAGCTCATGCCATGCCAGAACGGGGACTCCGCAAGCATGTGCGTGCAGTAAACCTCCAGCTAAGCAGAGAACCAAAGCATCCAGCTGCAGTGATTACCAGCGGCGGTTGTCAGTCAGTCCCGGAGCTTACCCGTGGTGCTGATGGTGCGACATGGTCCTCGGGCTTCATCGCAGGGAAGAGGAGCACCTCCTGCAATCGGACAGCCGTAGTGGAGAGGAGTTAGGCGCGAACACCGACACTGACGGCCACAGATCTGATTAATAAAACAAAAACAAAAGCCACAATGCAAGGCACTACAAGCTCAAATCACGACGTCCACTCCAACCAGTTTTGAGTCCGCTCATCAGCGATTTGCGGTGCGCGGACCTTGATGTTGTTGGAGTCGGTGAGCAGCATGACGACGCGGTCGATGCCCATTCCCCAGCCCCCCGTGGGCGGCAGCCCGTACTCGAGCGAGGTGCAGAAGCCCTCGTCCAGCACCTGCGCCTCGTCGTCGCCCGCGTGCTTGTCCTTGGCCTGCTCCGCAAAGCGCTCGCGCTGCACCACCGGGTCATTCAGCTCCGTGTACGCGTTCGCGATCTCGTGCTTGTTCACAAACAGCTCGAACCGCTCCGTCAGCCCCGCCGCGGCGCGATGCCTGCACCAAGCACCAAGAAACGAGATGAGGACCAGCGAGCAGCCTGCCAAAGCCCAAGAGGGGTATCAGACAGATTTCCAAGCATCCCAGTTGCCTGGCGAGGAACCGCAACCCCTTCACAAGAACCTTGAGTATGGCTTTTTGGAACCCGATTGCCGACTGCAACACGCACTATGGCTCCTGTGATTCTGTGGGCACTGTGCGGGGCCCCGCCAGTTGCCTGGGCGACTAAGCGGCTCACCACTTGGCGAGGGGGCTCATGATTTGCGGGTGGTCCGTGATGAAGGTCGGGTTCACGCACGTCTCCTCGATGAAGTGGCCCACCAGCTGGAGCACCCCCGCAGGGGACACCGGGTCAGCGGCGGGGCGCGGAGACGTCAGAAACAACAGCAGATTACAAGGCAAAGAACACATACTGCAACTTCGAGCACGGACTACCACCTGGGCATTCTCGAGTGCACAGCAGTCACACAGCTTATTGGCAGATGCCCAGCAATTCGCGCTGCTGCTCCAAGGCCTGGCCTGGCGGCCAATGCGCGGTGGTCACCTTATCCAGGAGGCGTGACGTGGTCTGAGGCGGGGGACAGCCGATGCCGAGGCGCGTGCACTCCTTCAGCAGGAACGCTTGCGTCTCTGCGCAGGCAACCGAGAGGGCTGAGTCAGCACGCGAGCAGGACCCGCGCCTCTCGAGAGGGCAATCGAACAGAGTCCAGCATGCTGGAGGAGGAGCAAAAACGACTGCCGTGATGGCGTCCTCCTGCGCTCCCGACATGCTGGTGACATCGGGCCGCTCTCAGACGGTCAATCTCACACTACAGCCCTGCACATCAACCAGTCGTAACGTGGTCCTTGAATACTGCTGTGCATAGACGGCCCCTGGCCCCAGCGTGGGGCAGGCGGTGCAGGGCAGCGGTGCAGGCCTCACCGGGGGCCGTGAGGTCTTTGGGTATGCTGATGCCGCTGAGCTCTTCCAGGCCAGCGATCATGGGGATGCGCTTGAAGGGCGGCGTGAAGTCGATCTCGATCTCCTCCGCGGGCTGGCCCTCCTTGCCCTCCTTCCCGTTGGGGTGGTACTTGATCTTGTACGACCCGTGGATGGCCATCACCATGCCTGCGCCAACACGCGACGCCGTCACGCACTCCATATGATCATGCTCCTCGTAAGCACTGATGGCATGCAGCGTTGGGGCTCCAAGGCAGCGAGGAGACGCACTTGCCATGTTGGTGGGCTGGGGCGCTGTTGCAGCCCGGCACGCGGTGGCGGCTCACCTGAGACGAGGTCCTCGGTGAGCTTCATGACGTCGTTGTAGTCGGCGTAGGCCCAGTAGAACTCGCAGGTGGTGAACTCAGGGTTGTGCGTCAGGTCGATGCCCTCGTTGCGGAACTGCCGCCCAATCTCGTACACACGGTCCAGCCCACCCACCACCAGCTCCTGCGCACACACCACCGCGGAACGGCATCAAAAAGTCGTACGAGAAGGTGAACGAACGCAGCTGGCGGGATGTTAAAAAAAGTTTCCGTTCGAGGGTGTGCGTTGCTGGTGGAAAAGGGCAATGGGGACAGGCTAGGCCACCCCTCCTTTCGCCTGCAGCCGCCTGCGGAGATGCCCGACTTGCACTCCATCACGGAGCTCGATTATGCGCAGCGACAACAACCACATGCCTCGGGCTTGCTGAATCCAGGCGAGTTCGAGGAGCGCGGCTTGCCTTGAGGTACAGCTCGGGCGCCACGCGCATGAATAGATCGAGGTCGAGGTCGTTGTGGTGGGTGATGAACGGCTTGGCCGTCGCTCCCCCGGCAATCATGTTCATCATCGGCGTCTCCACCTGCATCACGACACCGCGTCACACAGCAGCCATCGGCCACAAACGACACTTACCCAAAGTCCGCCTGGTGATCCGTCCAACTACGAGAGAAACAAGTATCGGAGGAGAATCGTATGCACGGGAGCAGCATGAGCGAGAAACGAGAACACCAGTGATGCTGACCTCAAGGAAGCCCATTTGGTCGAAGAAGCGGCGCATGTACTGCACGACCCGGCTGCGCGTGACAAAGATGTTGCGCACGTCACCGTTCATGATCAGGTCCAAGTACCGCTGCCGGTATCGCGTCTCCTGCGCGCACATCCCATCGACACCCAGTCAGACTTGGAACAGCGCACAGAGGAAGCGCGCAGAGGCCAAGCAAAAGCTCCAACCTGGACAAGGTCACCTCAACAATTGCGTGTTCAGACCGTCTGGCACATGAGCCTTGAGTGGCCTTCTTTCTCACCTGGTCTCTGAGCCCCGTGAACGCTGAGGGCATCATGTGCAGGCAGGGCGACAGCACCTGGATCTGGACCGCAAAGATGCTCAGCTCCCCCGTCTTGCTCTTCCCTGCACGAGGCAGGCGCTGTGAGCAATCCAAAACGACACAGCAAGGGCAGGGACCTACTCACGCATGATGGGTGATGATCTGCAACACAGCCAGGTTCAGTGAAGGGCTGCTCATCAACCAGTGTGTGGTCTGTGATGTGTCTACCGCTGTATCTTCTCTCTGGCTACCCCGCCACTCCTGAGGGTTCTTACCTGGGTATCCCGCCACTCCCACAATGTCCCCCCTCTTGATGCTGGTGTGCAGACGTGCGAATGCGTCCAAGTCGAGGGCCGCCCCCTTGAGGTCCTGGGCATTCTGAGCGCCCGCCATAATCTGGATCTTGGCCCCCTCCCCATGGAGGTCGTAAAACAGGAGCTTGCCCGAAGAAGACCGCTTCGACATGATGCGCCCTGCAGGGCAGCAGAGGGAAGGCAATGCACAAGGCGTCAGGCCCCAAAAGTGCTTCCAACGAAGCGACATGGGGAACAAGTACACCGACTGAGTACACAATCAGCCCGAGAGCCTTCTGATTTGCCCTAGTACCAGGCTACCCCAGCCCAGAAGCGACGGGATCCTCTCTTCAAAATTATGTTCAATCAATTCTGCTGCTTTCAACATGTTCTCAACGCACAGTCGGTCCGCGGTGACACACCTGCGACTGAGACGAGCTTTTCATTGATCTGCTGTGCATCGGCCAGCCCCTTGTACTTGTCGACATAGTCAGGAATGCGCAGGTCCACCTGGAACTTGTGCGGGTACGGATTGCGCCCAGCCTCCTTCTCAGCAGCCAGCACCCGCAACCGATTCTCACGGTACAACTGCAAAGTGAACATATGTGCGTTGAAACCCACCTTGACAGCGTGAAGTTCAATTATTCCCATCCACCCAGGCTACAAGTGCTCTACAACCACCATAATCAATTCACAAGAGCGTATTGATGGCAATGCCGTACGAAGCAGCGCCAGTGCCAACCCATCTTGGGCAACAAATCGGGATCAATGATAGATGAAAAGCAGTCTCACCCGTGGGTCCACTTCCTCCTCCTCCTCCACCTTGTTAGCAGCCTTTGGCGCAGCAGCGGCCGCTGCAGCCTGGGTGCAGCAGAGAACAGGGGTCACATCCGCAGTCAGAGTGGAGACCACCACCACACGCCAGAGAGACAATTTGCTTTTGAGGCAAAGCCAACATCAATAGAAAGCCGAAAAGGACAGGCGCGGACGCATAGTATCTCCAAATGTGAAACATCCTGACACAGATGCCTGCGGCGAGGCCAGACAGGCAGCCCAGCCTGCCGCACCTTGGCTGCCTCCTTCTCCGCCTTCTCCTTGGCAACACGCTCCGCCTTGGCCCGCCTCTTCAACTCACTGCGCAACAACACATTGTATTCTAGATTGTCCACACCAGAAGGTTCCAACAAAACTGTCAAACAAGGAGTACTGGACCTGAGATAAGGTTCTATGTCCTTTTCTTAACATTGCCACTGACACCTTGTGTGGCACTGTTTTTCAAACGCTGCCGCATCCTTCTTTGCAACTCATTCGCGATCTCTCATTTCAAGAAAAACTACCGCTGAAATAGCTGTGTAACATGAGAACCGACCTGCGAACTAGGACTGACAAGCCTTCTACAAGATATCACATACCTGATCTACACAATTCTCCCGAAAGCAATGTCGAGCCAAGGCCTCACCTCTTGCTCAAAGTCTCGCCTTCATTGCCATCTGCCGTCGGCGCTGTAGATGCTCCATCCGCCTTGTCTTCGGAAGCCATGATGCAGATGCAGATGTGCGAACGATGCCTGACTGAGCCCCAACCCGTAAACTCCCTGTGGGCGCCAAACTTCTGTCAAGGAGCAGAAAGTGGAAATGCGACCCGCTCTGATCAACAACGTTTGAAATTGTTGAACAAGCAAGCAACCATTTTGACACATTGTGGTCCCCTCACCTCAGGCAACCATTACCACATGGCCGGCGGCGGGCGGGCAGGCTGATGATCATGCTGGTAGGGTAGATAGGTCATTACCGCTGACCAACCCGGTTAGACCAAGAAACCCACCGCCCTAGTTGCTTGCGAAGCACAATGCTGACTTGCACCGCTGACGAGGCCAAGGCTCAATTTCAAGCTTTATCAAGAGTAGTCGGACAAAGGGCGCGGCGTTTGCGTTGTGCCTCCTTTACCACCACCTTTTCTGGATTAATCGGCTGACATCCAGGTGCGGCATCTTTTCCCCCTCCTCTGTTCGATTTGCAAGATTGGCTTTTTGTGCTTCTTCTTTACCTGGCGGTGCGCCAAACATCCTACTTCTGCTTCAGCTCATTAGAACTTCTGGATGCCAATGCTCTGGCTGCGTTGATCCTGCGCTCGCATATTCAGTGCCATGGGCGTCTTTAGGATCTTCCTTGGTGCATATAGCCTGGACGCCAGCTAGCGTTCATCTGGCACCTTTCTTCCTGAAGCTGTCGAATGGATGGAGCAATACCACCAACCATCACAGTCGTCGACACTCTCCGAAGGCAACTGGTTGTATTGAAGTATGTTGAAAAGATCTTGATCCAGACATTGATCAGAGCTGCCCTAAGTCTGTGCTGTGGAGATGTTTGAGGCACTTAGGAAACGCTGACACTCCGCGGGTTGTTGCCCAGTGCTTGTGCTCCGCCCTTCTTGTGTCTTGCCTGCGCTGAGGCCCCTGCTTGTTGTCCAGATCTCTGCTTTGCCACCATGTTGGGCCGCACCCTGCACCATGCCCTGCGCCAGGCGCTGGCCCCAAGCCAGGCGCGCCAGTTCACTGCCTCAGCCCCTGTTGCCGGCTGGTGGCACGATGTTCCCCAGGCGCCAAAGGTGAGATCTCTTGGCGCTGCTTTTGCAGATTGGACTGCAAGTGTTAGGTTCTGATGAATGCACAGAAAGTTGTCTATCCAGAAGTTTGTGAGCATCAGGAGTTGCAATTCAGGGCTGTGGTAAGCTCTGCAATGACTTTCTGTCTTGACAAGAGCGGTCTGATTATGCAGGATCCAATTCTGGGAGTCACGGAAGCATTCTTGGCGGACAAGGACCCAAACAAGGTGACACAGCTCTTGATATCACTGTTTCAATTCTTCTTTTAGAAGGACCTACTGCATCTACCGCTTCTCCGTCTGCTCCTCATGTTCGTATCTGCTTTGTTCTCTCCTTACATGTATCTGCGCAATGAGCTGACTGGGCATGGCGATGCTGTCCCTTTCCCTTGTAGATGAACCTTGGTGTTGGGGCCTATCGTGATGACAAGGGCAAGCCCGTCGTGCTCGACTGTGTGCGAAAGGCGGAGGAACAGATTGCTGGGCAGCTTTTCATGGAGTACAGGTAAGCTAGTCCCGCTACAGGCCAGCGAGCGTTGCAATTGAAAGGTTGCTGCAAGCAATCGCAAAAGGATTGTTGGTCAGCTCTATTGCATGTCCATTCCGCATTAAGCCAAAGCTCTGGGAAATTGTTGAGAAGGTTATGGTGCACCCAACTTAGGTACATGGGCATGAAGCCTGGGCGTCCCAGCATTCCCTTGCTTCTGGCTTGTCCTAAGTCCCTCACGCCCTGTTGAACTTGTGCAGTCCAATGGCGGGATCTGCAGACTTCAACAGCCATGCCATCAAGTTGGCCTATGGGGAGGACAGCCCTCTGATCAAGGACGGTCATGTTGCTGCGGTGCAGACTTTGTCTGGTGAGCGCTTGGGGCAGGCACATGCTCATGGCAGTTTGCACAGGCAGGCAGCTTGTCTGGGGGGGTGGGACTATCTCAGCCGACGCTTGCACTTGTCTTGAAGTATTAGTTCTGATATCAAGATGTTGAAAAACGGTGTTCTCATTCCGCAGGAACTGGAGCGTGCCGCTTGTTTGGCGACTTCATCCACCAGGTGAGTTTGCCACCGTTTGCAACGGCTCTCCTCCTTGCACCTACTACATCTTGGACTCCACATCGGCTCAACGGTTCAGCCTGTTTCCACTCGAGAACCGCAAGGAATAACTAGCCATCAGTTGCAATGCTGCACCCAGCTGAGATCCTCACGCCCGCTCATGTGCAGTATTATCCGGACAGCGGAATGCTTTTGCCGACTCCGACTTGGAGCAACCATCTTGGTAAGTCTCTCGTCTTGCAAAGTCATGGCCCAACATCGCTGGAGTTGAACTTACTCTTTGGTTGACCAGAAGGACCGCGTGGTCGAGGTGCGTTTAGGCAGCAACGAGGTGCATCTTAGTCGTGCAGGCCTCCAAAGACGAGAAAGTTGAAGGGTTTTCACGGTCACGGTCACGGTTTTCAGAGCTGGCAGACTTGTGGTCGATCTTCACGTTTTGACTCCCCATGCATGTAGGAGAGCCCTGGTGTTGATTGAGCCTGTTCTCTGCAAGCCTTTTGAATCTTTGAAGTTTCATGCATAGTGGATTGCCTGGCTTAACGCGTGTCTTCTGCGGCTGTCAGGCATCTTCAAGGATGCGAATGTGAAGACCACCAACATCCGCTACTACGACCCCAAGACCAAGGGCCTCGACTTCAAGGGCTTCGTGGAGGATCTCAAGGCAAGCCCCACGGCGTCTCCTCTTATGTCAGCCACGTCACACAGCCGGATCACATTCAGTTTGCACTTCACTCTGAGACTGTTCAGGGTCCACGAACAAGAAAGTGCCGTCTCAGACCGTGAAGGAAACAGTGCTCACAGCTTCATGCGAATTAGCCGCATGTTCGGAATTCAAGAGGTCCCTGCCGCATGCACAAGCCAAGGTCCTCTACCAAAGACTTCCTTCAGCCGAGGCAGCGGAGGGACCTGTCTCTCACCTTCCGCATGCCCTTGTGCAGGCTGCTCCCAAAAAGTCCTTCGTCCTCTTCCACGCTTGTGCACACAACCCAAGTGAGATAACTGCTCCCTGCCATGCGATCAACTGCGCGTCGCACACTCCCACCTGAGTTTCAACGGGCAATTAAGGACGGCACTCCCAAAGGTCCATGTCTTGCTGACCATGGTTGATTGTGACTCTTCGAGGAGCTTTTGTCGACTCGTCAACTGGGGAGGCTGACTCGTCTTTGGCGTGGCTGCAGCTGGCGTTGATCCTACGCCCGAACAGTGGAAGGAGATCTCGGCAGTTGTGAAGGTGAGCATCATCTCTTCGTAGCCACGCAAGGAAGCTTCGTTTGAACCAGGCAACTCTTCGTTTGCAGCAAGGGGTGTGGCCCGCACTGCAGCCTTGCGGTGCACTCGAGCCGCTCGTGACGTGCGACCCGCCGCGCCGGATGTGTGCAGGAGAAGCAGCAGTACCCGCTGTTCGACATGGCGTACCAGGGCTTCGCCAGCGGCGACACGGAGCGCGACGCGGCGTCCATCCGCATCTTCCTGGAGGACGGCCACCAGGTGGCGGTCAGCCAGAGCTTCGCCAAGAACATGGGCCTCTACGGACAGCGCATCGGATGCCTCAGGTCGGCGCGCACTCACTTTGACCAACTGCGCGGAAGCAAAATCAGAGTACTCGATGACAGCGGCAGTACTTCAAACATCGTTGCGATCATGGGTTTCGGCATACTGCCCTCGGTGCTCTACCGCCTGTCCCAGCCGGCTAACCCGCCGGGCTTCCGGCCCTCTAGTGTCGCTGATGCTGGGCGCTTGTAACCCTACTGTACTGACGTGCGGCCTGCGTGAGGTGCAGCGTGGTGACGGAGAACCCGCAGGAGACGACGGCGGTGCGCGGGCAGATCCAGCTGGTGGCGCGCAAGCAGTACAGCAACCCGCCCATCCACGGCGCGCTGCTCGTCACGCGCGTCCTCAGCAGCCCCGACCTCAAGCAGCTCTGGTACAAGGAGGTCCAGGTCAGCGCACCGCCGCGACCCCGCTCCTCACGCTCAGTAATGCATAAAGACGGCCGTTTGAGTCGCTCGCGAATGTATTTGCGCTCGCCAAAACACTTCAAACAGCATCTTCTGGACGATATAAGTAAGCTCGACCGGAAGTCAAGCTGCTCTTTGATGTCGCTCGAGCAGCAATTTAGCTTCCGTTTTTCTGGTTGTGTTGGCTGCGTCAGTGACGTCAGCTGGGCGTGTGCAGGGCATGGCGGACCGGATCATCTCGATGCGCCACTCGCTGCGCAGCAACCTGGAGGCGGCGGGCTCCAAGCTGCCGTGGAACCACATCACGGACCAGGTGAGACGCGGGCTGTCCCGCGCACCGGCCAGCAGCGGGTCGGTGCCATGACTTGCAGTCTGCAGAGCGAGGCCCCTCGGGATGTGCTCGACTGGCGTCGCCGAGGCCTGACGTGGCGTTTTGGGTGCCTCCTTTGCAGATTGGCATGTTCTGCTTCACGGGCATCACCCCCGAGCAGGTGGACCGCCTCACGCACGAGCACCACATCTACCTCACACGCAACGGACGCATCAGGTGAGAACGCCGCCTGCCGAGGTGTTTTGAATACAAAAGGAGCGTGTTTGCGTTTCTTTTCTCTGCGGTTGCGGCATCATGTATGCGGCGTATTCCCAACTTTGTTCTTGTGGGGGCATGGCACTGAGCAGTTACGTTTTTGTCGGCTGTGCAGCATTGCTGGCATCAACACTGGGAACGTTGAACGGCTCGCACACGCGCTGCACGAAGTCACCAAGTAGAGGACGAACACTCGATTTTTGCAGCATAGAGTTGCTCGAGTAGGGGAGCTGAAGACGTAGCGCAAACGTCTTTCGGCTGAGCTTATCAGTAGGCGTAGTGCATGCACCTTTCGAAATAAGACCTTAAGGAGACCCTCTCGACAGGCCTTTCAAGGAATTTTGACAAATTCTTGCAATCATCTTGTCACAAAGACATTCAGTGTAAGGAGCCGCTGCATGCTGATCATATGATCGAGTCAAGGCCGGCCGGTGCTGGCGGCCGCCAAAAGCACAGCCCTGTTTCGAAATATACGGTGGGCCGATAAGCATGCCAAGGCCGGTGTTAAAGTGAGCGGGGGTTCGCCTGTGCATAAGACGGCGGCCGATGGCCCGGCGGACGCACCGTCTCCAGATGAGGTCTGCCAGTGGGCATTTGGCTGCAGTATGTATAGGTGCGCCAAGTCAACAAGCTTTACCAACTTCATTGTATTGTGATCTCAAATCACGCCAGAAGGGGCGGGAGTGACGATTACTTTACACTTACATTCAGTTTTCGTACGTTTGTTTGAGGCTTAGACTCGATCGTGAAGTGCTCCTAACAAGTGCAGTCGCGCGCCGCTTTTGCATTAACCACACATGCATCATTTCAGTTCAATTTACGGGAAGTCCGCAGAACGCGCGCGCGTGTTGAAGCCGCTGAGCAGGCCTTCATTCAAATGTGATTCAAGTAACATGCTAGCTGCTAAGCTCTGTCGGACTCGAACTTAGTGCGGCCCATGACGTCGCCCACATTGGCATGCACACGCACATGAGTGCAAACGTACGCATGGTTTGTATATCGATAGGCTAGAGTCTGAAAGCTGCAAGTACATGCATGTCCTGAGTCCGGTCAGCTGGCCCAAATGTATATCAGCGAGAGTACATAGAATTTGAACTTGCATGGGGCCCCTGCAAGCAATTAGCTACTATGCGCGATCGATTGCATGATCACTAGGTGCACGTACGTGTGCTCGCATGCCGCGTGGAGGCTCCGTGCAGCTAGAGAGAGATCGAAGATCCAACATGCTATACGTAGAATTGCAAGTTTTGTCACTGAAAGTTTCCCTTATCAACAGGTTCGGGCCATATTGGATCGACAGGCTTCGATCGTTGCCACCGTGACGGTTCAATTATTCTGAAAATGCCAGAAGCCATGAGAAGTTGGAATAGAAACTCGAGCTTTCGAGCTTATCTATGCACAATTACGCAGTTACTTCCACAACAATAAAAAAACGTACACCGAGCGTGAATCTCTGGCCGGGCGCATGAGCTCGTTCTTCGATGGCGACGTTCCTCGGTACATGTACGTACTAGCCGGCTATAAGAGTACAGCTGCAGCTGGTCCCTCCGTCCCCATGCCCATGAGCTCCATCACCAATGAGATTAGCCCTACCAAGTCTCCCTTCAAACTAGAAAAAGGAATGAGCCACCCACTGTTGCCAGCCCCTAATTCCGGGGAAGAAGCAGCAAGAGGGTCGGAACCGGCTTCAAAAGTTATCGGCAGTCGGAAAAGGCGAAGTTGTGCATCACGCCCCGTTGGGCGCCCCCAGCTGCTGCCCCCAGATGCGATCCACTTTGCGCTGCAGCTCTGCCAGCTGTTCGTTCACCAGTGCGCCCACGGCCTCCCCCTCTGCGCGCGCGCTGGCCTGCAGCACCTTCTCGCGCTCCGCGATCGCCGCGCGCAGCTCCTCGATGGCGCGCTGCTCCTCGTCCAGCCCCAGGCCCGCAATGCGCGCCTCATACTCGCGCTCGGCCCGCTCCTTCGCCTCTTCGCGCTCCTTCTCCGCCTCCTGCGCCTCCTCGCGCGCGCGCTTGGCGCGCCTCTCGAGGTCCTCCGCGGCGCGCTTCTTGGACACGACGTACTCCTCCACCTCCACCACCGCGCGCTCGCGGTCTGCCGCCGCCTCCTCGCGCTCGCGCACCCGCTTGCGCAGGGCCACCTGCACCGAAAAACAGCCGCGTCAACTTGTCGGTGAAGCAATAACTCGCTCTGAGAGCACGCAGCTTCTGAGCATTAACTCTCTCGTCAAAAGTGCAAAAGAAGTGGAAGACAATCTCGGACACCAATTTGTGGATGCAAGACTCCTATCGCTCTTGTCATTTGCTGCAGTATAGCATATGAAAGGAGTGCGCACACGAGGCTGAGCACCAGGAAGCTAGCACACTGTGTCTAAGACCAGCAAAACAGATATATCAACACAAACGAGAGAAGTTTTCGTAAGAGAGCAGGAAGAAGCAGGGACGTTTCCGGACTTTCTCTACAAATATATCGCTTGACCGTGCGAATAGTAAATACCTCGCGCTTCGACAGATTCTTCGCGTGAGCATTCTCAATCACGATTGACGGACTCGTGTTGAAACGGGCAACATGGATATGCCCCCAGTCCCACCAGTAGAAAGCCGCGTGAATCTGAGCCACTAAGAGCAATCTCGCGCTCGTCCCTCACCTCGTGTTCCTTCATCCGTTCGCGGTCGCCCTCAATCTTGCGCGCCGTCTCCTCCCTGCGCGCCTCCAGCTCCGCGCGCACGCCCAGCTCGAACGTCGCCTTCAGCGCCTTGATGCTCGCAGGGGACGTCACGCCGGCGGCCGCCTCGTAGCCCGCGCCAACCGGGCTCCCTGCCGCCCCCTTCGTCCCCACCGGGTGCTTCACCACCGTCCCCGGCGACACCATCAGCGCGTCCTCCTTGCGGCTGCCACGTGGCACCTCTGTGTCGCCCTCCGCCGCCTTGTCTCCGTCGCCCTGCACCTGTTCCCCCACCTTGGAGGCGTCCGGCGTTTTAGGCGACATGTCGCGCTTCTGCCCGTACCGCTCCGCCGTGTTGCTCCCCCGCCGCGCGCGCCCCCCCGCTTCCTTGTCGTGCTTCTCGACCTCACCCCCGGCCGCCTCCTCCGCTTCTGCGTACGGCCCCAGCTCCTCTTCGGCCATGTCCGGCAGCTCCGGCTCGATCTCGCTCAGATACTCGTCCTCTTCGCTACCCCCCTCGGCGGCTGCTCTGCGCGTTTTCGCGCTCTTCCACCCGTGCCGTCGCCCACCTGTCCCCTCCAGCGTGACCGTCGTCCGACCTTTGTCCTCAGCCTCTGGCGTCACCGCACTCTTTTTACTCCTCCGCACCGCCTTCTCCTCCGCCTGCTTCCGCTTCCTTCCCACGTCTTTCCTGCCTCTCGCTGTCTGCTTCTCTCCCTGTGGCTCCTTCTCGTCTTTCACGGCAGCCTCACTTCGCTGTGCGGACGCTCTTCCCCTGGGCCGGCGCTCCGCAACTGTGGTGGGGGGCGCCAGGGCTGGCGCCGAGATGGAGGTCCGCCTGAGCCGACCGGCCCACGGAGTCTCTGACTGGCGCGCTTGAGCGCGGCCTAGCGCAGCAGCTTGTTCGAACTGTGTGCTCAGAGGAATGTGGCGGCCGCGCAAACTCATGAATGGACGACAGGCATCTGCAGGAGAAGTGAAACTTTTGGAAAAAGAAGTACAACTAGACCGGTCTGGTCATTCCTGCAAGTGTATGAGGAATTTGCCTTGTGTCAGTAGGCCGCCGTCCTCTGGGGAGAATGCAGGTGCTGTTTGTTTAAAAATCAAGTACTGAGGGTCACAGCCCAGCAGCTTATGTCAGCAAAAGTCTGCTTCCAGGACAGAACGATGACTCAGAACTGGGGATAAACGAAGATGATGGGTTAGGCACAACTTAGAGCTTACGCAAAAGCTGCTAGCCAAGAAACCTCTTAAAGGCACTCAAGCTAACCATATCAAAGGCCTTGGCATTGAACCTTGAAATGACCAAGTGAAGCTGACAGGTCAAGGTTTTCTTTGCAGCAAAAGACTCGGTACAACAATGAGTGTCTTGCAGGCTCTTCAGCTTCATGCTGAGATTCAGCTAAGCTTGGAAAGCTGTGCTTGTCATGATCCATTGCAACAAGCTCATGTGGTTTTGCTATATGCCTGTTCCCACTAGATCTTTGCAAATAGGAATAGTGCCCCTTTATGAACATCTCAGCCAGCACAGTGTCAAACAATCCACTGTGAACTTCAAGCCAGAGACAGGTGCCGACAGGAGACCTTCACGTCTGACCTTTTCCCACTGTAATGCTGCTGAACAAAGGTACGGCAAGCAGACACTCCTGTAACCCTTCCTTCCACATCATCCTTTCACTCTGTAATCAGGCTTAACCTAGCGCAACAAAGCGGACGTGTATCACAGCCCCTCCACAACTTCAACGCTTTGCTGGATGCAGAAGTCTAGTGATAACAAGGTAACAGATAAAATCATCTTAGTGTCATCTCTGCATTTCTGAGAACCCTGCAAGGGGCATGGGCGCGGTATATCATGGCTCTCAGCTGCGAGCACCAGCTCAATCTCTCAAGCCAGTCAACAAAGACTTCTGTCATACCAACAAAACGCCCTTACAATCATCTTAGAAAAGATGTGACCACTTGCCCAGTACCTTGCCAGTGCCCCTTCCTGAAACCTTCCTCTACAGAGATGCAGAGCCCATTTTGAAACAAAATGGTTCAAGCCCTTATTAGCTCCCCAAGCAACCTCGCTGTCCCTCATAAGTGAGCCGTTTGGTGCATGCTGCCGGTACCAGCCTTTTACTGTCCTTTTCAATCTCACAGAACCCACACTTCCACATCAAACAAGTGCTCAACCGGCTGCTTGTTGAACAACAATTCTGAGCACAACACCAGGCTAGCGCAAGAGCAGGGAACCAAGCTCAGAGAAGCAGCGTACCTGGGATGCGGCTCTCTGTCCCCAAGGAAGCGCGTGCGCCAAGCTGTGCATGGACATCGAACGACTACTCAACTGCTGAACAAAGCCATGCACAGACCTCATTGGAAACCGGACAAGACGGTCGCGAGCCCCGTACACGGGAGTCGGTCTGGACTCTGCGTCGAACGGCCGTTGTTGACTCGACAAATCTCCAGGAGACTTCGCACCGTCGATCGAGACTAGAATGGATGAATGACGGTTACGATTTGACCAGGACTCTACCTTGCATGACAAGTCTGATGCACAGTCATCGAGTCTGAGGGATCCCTCTGTCTTTTGCGTGAGGTGGCACGCCGCGCTGCCAGGGGGCTGCCAGAGAGCGGGCGTGCCAAGTACCGTAACTTGAAGTCAAAGGGGGCCGGGCACTAGGACTACTAGGTTGATCCTAGTGCTGTTACATGGAGGATTCAGCTTCTATGCTGATGTTGCATGGCCTCGTCTACCAGCTTACGGTCCCCTTACGGTAGATGGGCGGTAACATTGATGTAGGCCGCCGGTGTGCAGCCTGTCATGCGGTCTCGGGTCGTTGCGGTAACATGTCGATATAACATGCCGGACAAGTCTCGGCGCACTCGGCTAAAAGAAAACTACATGGCGTCTCCAGCATGGCATGTCACTCATAATGATGCATCATACACATCATCTGTGATCTCTCCGCGAGTCGTCTTCCCCTTTTGTGCGGGTTTTGTGCAAATGGGGTGCAGATAGAGCTCGCCTAGATGTCATGACCACTTTTTTGAAGGTGGTCACTTGTCCACTTGGTTGCTGCATCAGCATGACTGACACTAACGCCACTGCGCATGAACTGCTAGCATGCTTTTAGACGATCTAGCTAGGATAAAAAAAACCGTCGGCATGGGATGAAATTGGAAACCAGTTTATAAATCATCAGTGGAATTTTCTTTGTAGTGTATTACCAATTTTTGGAACGTGCGCGCGCAGTAGCTTAGTATAGCGCCATGGTAGCTCCGCGATCAAACGCGTGGCCTTGGTCACACATGATTGATCAGTTATAAAAATTTGGCTTGCATGGCCCAATGCATGATCGTCCAATGTATCATGACATCCCACAGCCACAACTCATGTCGAATATAGTATCGTTGGGTCCATATATGCTGTGCACATGGTATACCAATAGAGCATAAATAACGCGGCATGTAACCGAGCCGGATCGAGCTCGGCACTCTCGATGTATCCCAAATCCAAAATCTAAATGCAATAAGGGTACGTACGTCTGCTCAAGTGTTCACGTGCAAGTGACATACCGCGGCCGGCCGCCGGCGGGAGTACTTCAATATTGTTGGATCCAAGCATTTCGAGTCTGGTCCATTATGCAGGTCATGTCCAACGGCGCACGTGCACATGTTAGACCGGCAGGCCATGTTTTCGCAACTCGCGGGGTTAAGAACTAAATCTGTGACATACATATCATTCATTCCGAAGCCTGCTGGTTCGTGGACTAGCTTCGATTATGCGACTGCTTTCTGTGCATTTCACCTATACATCCTTGACGTGCTGGCCATGACAATCGTCTCACATAGCCGTTCCCCCTGTGTAAATCGCTTTAGCTGGGCCTCCTAGGTTCTTAAGCCGGCCAACCCTCAAAAGCGGTTAAGTATCCTCATGTCTACAAATACTTTGCACGAAATTCTTGTTCACTCCCCTTTGCGCGGCTTAGACAAGTATTGTTGACCGATCCTTGGAGACTCAATCTCCAAGACACGGTCTTTTAGTCTTCCAGCTCCTATCAAAGCACTACGACAATCACTGCTTCAACCGCTGTTCGTGCATAGCTGGATACGAAGTATGCATAGAGTACGAGCAGTTGTCGGAAGTGTTCGTCCCACCGCTTGGGCCCTTGCCACCGTGCGGGTTGGAGCCAAAGCGTCCGGTGATGCCTCTCAGCTTGTTGTTGTGTCTTCTTTCAGGTACGCTTGGCGTTCGGGGCTCATAGAGGTACGTACAAGGCACCGACCGCTGAATTGACACTTTCCGCTGTGTCCATCCGGCCGTGGCAAGACACCGTAGTCGTTAAACGCAGCAAATCCCTCACGATGGGTGTCCATTCTCCCCAGCATAATCACCCCGCTAGATGTGCGCAGCCCACGGCAGGTCGGTCCAAGAAGGACGCAGCAGTGGCCTTCCGGGAGCTAGTTCCGTAATCACAGCCTTAGGGACCGCAGCGGTGATCACCCCGAGAATGGAGATGCCGCTCGCTGCGGTGGCGGTGCTCCGAGTGGCAGTGGGGGCGGGGGAGGCAGGTGCGCTGTGCCGGGCAGGGGCAGGCCGTCCGGGGTCAGGCCAGGGACGGCGCTCGGAGCAGCCGCGGCAGGGGGGGCAGCGCCCGTGCCGGGGACGAGGGAACGCGCTGCAACAGATGCAATACAACAGCGACTTAGGCCAGAGCAGGGCAAGCCAGGTGCAGGCCCGACGTGCTGGTAAGAGAGTACACTGACAAGGCAAGCTCGCAAGGGGCCAAAATTGCCGGCTTCAAGGGTCTGATTACAGCTGGCAATAATAGAAGAGCGCGTGCGTGCGAGCTCTTGCCTGTGGCGTTGTACTTGTCGGTGAGTGCGTCGCCGGGCCGGTTGCGCCCCCAGACCTTGATGGTGTGGTCGCTGCTGCCGCTGCACAGCAGGTGGCCCATCGGGTGCCACGCCAGGTCCCACACCGCAGCCTCGTGCGCGCCCACCACCTCGCTCGCGGCCTCGCTCGCGCTGCACGCCAATACACGCACGGGGTGAGGCGGACGAGGGGCGAAGAGCCCAGCAATTGCTTCCGACCATACGGAACAAGCAATACTGCGAGGGACCCACCTTTGAAAGCTCACGAAAACGTGCGCCAGTAGTTGTACCCCTGACATTTAGTGTATCCGGGCCGGAAAAGAAGCACATGTCAAAAGCTGCTAACCACGCAGCAATAAATCCGTGTCGCCTCCCCCTGTTGAAATTATTCGCATCCCCGTGCCTCACCTGGTGTACCAGATGCGGATGTTGCCGTCGTGCGCGGCGCTGGCGAAGAGGTCTTGGTGGACGGGGTGCCACGCGAGCGCGGTGACCTCCTTGGCGTGGCCGCGGAAGACGGCCACCTCGCGCAGCGTGCGCACGTCGTATAGCCGGATCAGCTGGTCGCGGCTGCCCGCCAGCAGCAGGTGCCCGCCCGCATGCCACCGCACCGCCAGCACCGTGTTCTTCGCGCCGTGCCTACAAGGAACCACCACAGCTGGGCACATGTCAGGAGCAGAACGCAAACGACGACATTAAGCAAGTCGGGCGGAAGTACTTTGGAGTCGCCTCTAAAGGCGATCGCAACGACTCAAAAGCAGCGGTTCTAGTGCTCGTCTACTGCGGGCCTCTAAACTGGCAAAACAATCCATTAATACGAGGGGCGCTTACAGCGTGCTGAGCTGCTGGCCCTCCTTGGCGCCCCACAGCTTGACCAGGCCGTCCTTGCCGCCTGCACGGACACAACAAAACCAGCGAGTCAGGCCGCCTAGTCAGCAACACGGCCGAGCACTCTCCTCTTCGAGGGTCACCATCTCAAGGTGGGTTGTTCAAAGGGACATTCTTAAACTCTTCAAGGTCGTCAACGAAAACCACGATAGGGCTCAAAGCCGTCCGGACAACTTGCGAAAAGCGTGTCGCCCCCGGCTGTTGCTGCTCACCTGTGGCGATGAGCCCCTTTGACGGGTGCCACTCCGCCGTCTTCACGTCCCACCCGTGGCCTGCACCCGACACCAAGGGGGTAAGTGCAGAAACAATCGACCAGTCGTGCTGCCACGGACAGGACTGCACCCTGGTGACGCACACACAGCTTCCATTTGGTTCAAAAGGTAGAACTTCTGCTGCTGAGCGCGTCAAGGGGCTCCTCATGGCAGACAGAAGTCTGAGGCTACAAAGCCGCCAGAAACTTGATTTTCTGGTCTCCACCGACCAATGTCTACGCTGCGGCCAACTCCTCACGAAGAACCCTGCCATATGCCTGGCCACCGGATCCAGACAGCATGCAGCGATGGCGCCTGGAACGGAAGGAATGAAGGTACCTGTCATGACGTGGTCCGTGACTCCACGCGCAAAGTCCCACACCTTGACGCTGCTGTCGTCGGAGCCGGAGCAAAACTTGAGGTCGGACGGCGCCCAGCTGCACACGAGCAAACACGACCGCGGCTGCAGATCGGGGAGGGCCCATGCAATCGGAGATCAATGGGAATTTCGCACTACTCTTGACTCAGTAATCATGAACCCTTACAGGTCTCCCTCCCCGTCCGCCGGTTTCTTCAAGGCACATTCAAGGAAGTTGGAGAATTTGTCGCCTAAAAGGGCGCACCCACCGCCTCTCCTCCCAGCTCACCTAAGGGCTCGCACCGGCTCTTTGTGGGCGGGGAGACTCTTGAGGATCTTCATGGTCGTCTCCGAGTATCTGCACGCACAACGGCAGCTTAGAGCCCCAGCCGAAAGAGGGTCATGTCTACAGCGCCCCATTCACCTCGGCTCCGCGTTTGGCTGGCCAGTTTGTCAGCCTGCCTGCTGGGCCTGCCAATCAGCGCAGGGGTGGCCTCACATGATGGTCCCGCTGTCCTCTCCGCTGATGAGGTAGTTCTCGTTGTGGCTCCACGCCATCGACCGCACAGCCGTTTGATGAGCCTGTAGACAAACGAGAAAATTTCAGCAGGTGGAATCATTGTCCCAGAATGGCCCTACTCCTATAGCCAGTTTCTTTACAAGCGCAAGTACAACATTCTACCCAACCTCCTTGTTCTGCTGCGCTGATGTGACACTTGGTCCTCGTAGGTCCTTGCACAGGCACCTGGTTGCGGACCAGTGCCCGCTTCGCGTGACGGCCAGTGTCCCCGCCTGACAGTGAGGGCCCCTCACCTGGATCAGGTGCTCGAAGGTGAAGGTCTGGCCGCTCCACAACGTCAGCTCGCCCGCCTGGGACCCCGTGATGAGCCGCCGCCCACTGGGCGTCCACTGAAAAACATAGCACACGAAGCACACGTGGGGAACAAGCATGACTTGAGGCCACCAAACTCAGATGAGGGCGCGAGAGCAGCTCAGCCAACTCCACACTGGGACATAGGCAGCAGGGGCAGTGTGGCCTCACCACGACCTTGTTGACGGAGGCGCGCACTTTGTTGGTGGTCTGGCTGACCCAGCGCGTGGCCTGGCTGCTGGCGGGGGTGCACGGGTAGCCTGCGGGGGGAAGCATCTGCACGCCACCACCACCACTCATCATCAAAATACAGCGCTTGCCCGAAGAGCAAGAAAGCGGCCTTGGAGGTGTTGCAGCTCGGAGTAGTGAATTCAGTAGAGCAATTGTGAGGGGGGGCCTGGCGTTTCTGGACTCACGTCAGCGGCGGCAGCGGGGACAGGCTGCACTGCGGGGGCGTCCCAAACCTCGCGCTGGTACATGCGCGCCTGCCACAGGAACACATTACACGCATCAGACTCACAACACACGATTTTGTGATGATACTTGGCCAAGCTTCCACCACCACCGTCGGTCAGCTCTGTAAGAGACCCACAGCTATTGTGCGAAGGCTTGAACAAAAGCAGCCGCCTAAACCCGTCACAGCTTGAGCGTTTGCCTATTTCAGGGCCGCAACTAACCTGGATCAGCCGATAGATGGTGCTGATGTGGTCCACCGTGCGGCGCTGGCGGGCGCGATAACCGGGGCGGCCTGGAAGGCAACAGAAGACAGACCATGGAAAAGGGACTGGGCCAACCCAGCCGAGTTTCTTGGAAAAACGAGACTGCAGCAGGAAAGCAAGACTCCTACGGACAAACACACCAGAAAGCGAATGCGGCTCTGGAACAAGGCCTGCCCAAAGTTTCTGATGATGCCAAAAGGTTCTAAAGTCAAAGTGCCTCTGATCGTCAGCGAGGAACAAAACGAAGGGACCATTTGTATCATGTCCCAGCTGTCTGGTCAAATGGTTACGCAACATCCACCACCAGAAGTGTAACGCCAAAGCATGCTGGGCGGCAACTTTATTCCTCACCGTCGGCTGCAGCATTTCTGAAATCGTTCTCATCAGCAGCTGGAAAACCATGATAGCTGCCCGAGCCAGACGCCATGGAAAAGTATGTGTCGCACCACCAATCAGGTGGCGTATAGCGCACTTTTCAAGCAGCACACGAAGGGAATGCTGGGCACCCTGGCAGTAGAAAGAAAGTGAAGAGTTTCTGGGCGATCACGTCTGAGCAGTGCTCGAAAATTTGTTCAGTAGTCTGTCAGAATTCCTCAAAACTCTAGGATTTGGCCCCCTTATCCCATCAACCCGCAGAAACGTCAAGAGCGCGCTCCCGAGACGTCAGGTTTATCCACCGGAAAAATGCCGTTGCTCAATGCAAGAGGTAAAACCGGCAGATGAATATGTTGGATTTTACCAATCTTGGCAACGATTTGAGAACGGGACTTCAACAATTCTGAGAGTCCGAGTCTGATCCATACGGTACTCCTACCAGATTGCATCTGGATGCTCAGGTCGGCGCTGCTGGCGTTTGCCGCCCGCCATGGCTGCTGTGGAGGCCACGTTGTGGCAGGGCAGCGCCCATGATGAGTGGTTGGACGTGCACGTGCGGGGGGAGGGTCACCAGGGTGGAGAAGGCCAGGGGGGAGCAGCGGAGGATGCGGCGGCCAGTGGCGCCATTGCGGGTGGCGCATTGCTGCCCAGCAACTGGCTGGTTGCATGGTGAGGAGCACATAACGTTTCGTGATTTCTAGAACGCACTATGCTGCGACTCCAGAAACGTCGTCACGACCACCTCACCGTGTCTGTGAAACTGTACATAATGCATTTGTGATGAAGGGTGGTCGAGGTTGAGCTTGGGGTGGAATGTGGACTTTCCTTTTGATTGGAGGTCCGATACAACTTATCGCCTGGTCTTCCAAATATGTGTAGGAGGATCCGTAGCGGCAGCCCCCGGATCCTTGAGGTGCAGCAGGCCCACATTGTCGAAGCGTCAAGTTTTTGTGGAGTGCGCCTCCACTTCCCAGCTGCTGTGCAGGATGTCGACCTCAAGGTACGGAACCGGAGCTTCTTTGCAGTCGCAAAAAGTTGCTCATTGCTGATGAATTCATGGCCATTGATTTGATTGTGACAGCACTTTAATCGGGACCTTCCTTTGCACGCCTCAGTGTTGCATAGATGCTACGATCCAGCGTGACCTCTACTGCCGTTTGCCAGTCAGGCGCCAAGACAAAATTGCCCGACCCTTCCTCCATTCGCACAGCCCACTGCGACTGGCGCTGTCCTGGTCGCGCTCTTCTCGGCAGGCATCCTTTACTCCGCCCCTCTGCCCGCAACCCCATCAGGGCTTGCCCTTGAGCAGCTGAGCCCCACCAGCTTGCGCCGCCACAACCTGGCTGCCCCGCTTGGCCGCCTAGGCGGGGCCACCAGCCTGGCAGCCGCGGCAAGCCATGCCCTCATAGGAACGAAAGCAGGAACACTGCTTATGTGCGCACTGCCGGCTGAACAAGGTACATTTCTCCCCTGGTTTTGTTTTTCGTTTTCGGTCTTGATTCGTTTTGACTCTGATGCGGCTTAAGATAAGATAAGATAAATCCTGTGATGAGTGAATCTTGTTGATGCGACTTCATTCAAAGCACTCTGCATAAACTTGTAGCAACATCGCGTGTAGTGATTGTGCTCCAACCGCTTGGACGCCACTGCCCCAGCAACTCCTCATAAAAGCCCCGCTCGTCATTTGCAGACGAGGTCACTGAGCTGAAGGAGGCGGACCGCGTGCTGGGGCGGCTGTGGAGAGGGCTCGTCTCAGGGTAGGTGCCCCTTGGGACAAGGCCTTACTACTTGCACAAAATTCGCAGTGACGATCTGTCTAAAACGTTATCTACAAAACAGTCTGTGGCTGTATCGCTCGATCGTGAAGCATTCCGTCGTTCCCCTGACATTACGCATTGCTCACAAGACGTGATCGCCAGGCCCTATCCATACAATCCTGCCTCTCCCACTGCTCTCCAGTGTGCCCGCTAGCAGCCCAATTTGCGCTGTGGCGACGTTACGATTGCGCGGGGCTGACGTGGGGGCGGCCCTCCATCTGGACGGCAGCCTGCGGCTCTGGAATTTGCAAACCCGCGACCAGCTTGTACGCGCACCGCCGTTGCACATCCCTGAGGAAGCCAAAGGTGCGTCATGATAACTGTTTTCGTAAGAGATTCTCTTACCATGTGTCTGCCTCCTTGGTGATCAAATTTGAACGTTTTTCCAGTGCTTTTTTGCAACTTGGTGTTTCCATTTTTTACTTAGTCAGTACTGCCTTAAAGCGGGTCAAGGAGCACAAGCCTAAAGGAAGAATATTAAACAACCCCAAAAAACACCGCAACTCCGCTCCTGTGGTAAAGGTTGGCCCCTTGACGCTCGAATCCACGTTATAATGCAATCAAGACTTTTCGTCCTCTAAGATTGACATCATGTATCCGTTATCCGGGGATCCAAACCCGTTGCTCCTTTGAAACAGTGGGCAACGTGCGGTAAGATTGATAGAGAGGAGCTTTGTATGGTGCAGAGCTTTGCGCAGGGTTGAGGCCCGAAGCTTTCCTTGTGTGTGCAGGGTATGCCCCTAGCGGTCTGCTGTCTGTGGATACCAGCGAAGGGGCGCGCCGCATCGCCGTTGGCTACCGGCATCCCCAAGAGTTGCGCCAGGTAGGGACGATCGTTGACGAGGCCAGACGCTGATGAACTGCGCCGTTCAACAAATCTGTTGCTTAGTGCATGGATTCCCTTCTTTAAAAGGATTTTGGTCTGCGTTTGGAAAAGTGGGTTGATTGTGGGTTCTTGCCGGCTCACGTGCCCCTGTTCTTCTTCAGGTGGTGTGCCTGTACGAGATAGAGGAGCACGGCTGGGCCGCCACCTTTGTGCAGTCCCATACGATCGAGGTGAGCCCCTTCCTCCAACAAGGACGCACATACGACGGCCAAAAACTAGCACGATGCTTGTTTCTGCAGGATCAAGCCATGCGGTTGTGTAAGCCTTTGTTCACATCTTTTGTGTGGAAAGCCTTTCAGACGCGCTTCGACATGGTTTCGTCGGGCGGCAATGCTGTCACTCCATGCCTCGTTGTTACTTGTGCAGGGCCACGTGTCGTCCCTGGCCCTCACTGCTGCGGGCCTCACCCTGCTGGCTGCTCCCACTCCCAACGTACCTGCCCGCCTCGAGCAGCGCAGCTGGCGCCAGTGAGTGCTTCCGCCGAGTTGCAAGATACACTCACGTTGTACTCTCCATTCTTACCTTATTCCTTTCAGTCGTTCCACTGACCACTGCGTCGTCACGAGTTGTGTTTTTTCACGGTTGAACCACGGTAAACGGTCTTCCCTGCTTGCGGATGACTGAAGAGGTCTGGCTGCCTGGGGTGTTATGCTCTTTCCAACAAGCGCTTCTTTCCGCGACCCCCCTGCAGGCACACTGTTGATGCGCCCTTATCTGTGGTGCCGGCCTCTGATTACGTGCACACCCGCCTTCTGCTGGGGGACGATCAAGAGGGTGCTTTCGAGCAAGTATGGGCTGCACTGGAAGACGTGGTGAGCCGCCCTGGCAACACTGCCGTACCTGTTGTCGAAGGGAAGAAGGAGACTCCACGTTCCACACGATCCAATCGTCTTTACCCCGCTCATTCTGCGCCGTGTGTATGAACGATGGGCAATAACATTTGAAACATCGTGTGTCAGTCGAGTCGAGTGACCGTTGATGCTAAGCGATCAAACGCTTTTAGCTGACCCGCCTGCTTTGTGCGGCCCGCAGGAGCTGCCAGACGTGTCGGCTGTGTTTGTGGACCGCCTGCTGTCCGTTGGCGTCTTCTCGGCCGAGGCTCTCACGCGGCTGCTGATCGCCCGAGGAGTGCCCCCAGCTCACGGTCGGGATGTGGCGGAAACGGCACAACGATTGCGACAAGCGGCCAAGGTAAAGCGAGATGAAACGGCAAATTCGAGCATCTGCTTCTCATGCTGCATACGAGCACGCAAAGGTTGAGGCACAGGAGGGAGATAAGAATATAACGCTCAGCAACGCACATTGCGGAGCCACCAGTGAAAAATGCGAGGCGCTTTTGGTTTATTACCCCGTTGTTCGATGCTCATACATGAGCCGATCACAAACCTTCCAAAAGTCGAGGGCGCTTCTTTCGCTCACAATAGTAAATGGGTGAGGCCTTTGGCGTCACTCCGGGCGCGTTTTCTCGATCGGACATATTGCTCTGCAGGTGCCTTCAACTGCAGACCAGGCAACCGCTCTCCGCGGCTGGCGTTCTCTCGCCCAGTCTTACGCTACCACGTGGACTGACCTCCATCAGCCCCTCGGGCTCGCCACCAACTCAGACGGCACTTTCGCTGCGGCAGTCAACTCCGACTCGATTTCAGTCCTAAGGGCACCCGACAAGGCGGAAACAGAACGACCAAGTACGTCGACGGAGGTAGAGAATGCTTCGCCCAGCCTGGCACGGTGCTTAGAGCTCGTTGGCGCAGGGCTGGGTAGCGTAGCAGGGGAAGTGCTGACGGAGCTGCTGCTGCGGGGGGGCAACGCGCAAGGGGCGCTGGACGCGTTCCTGGGCCTCTTAGAGGGGGGCATGTCGGCACTCGACGGCGACAGGCAAAGGCATAAACACGACCGGGAACGTATTCTGCAATTACGGCAGAGCGTAGAACAGCTGGGAAGCGGAGCAGGGGGATGGGACGGCGTGCTGGCGCAGATGAGATTGTTAATAGCGGGGCTGGAGGCGGGGCCGGGGCAGGTAGCTGACGCTGTGGCGGGGGGGCGGCCGGGGGCCGGCCTGGCGGTCGGAGGGGGCGTGCGGCAAGCGGTGGCCGCGCAGCTGCGGCGGGCGCATCACGTGCTGCTGCTGCTGGGACTTGTACAGCGGTGTGGCGCTCAGGTAAGGAATGAATCCGCCCATATTAATCGCCCGCATGACCTTGCGAAATGCTTGGGCGCCCATGTCTTGCATCGGTGACATTGGCGTTACACAAAGCCATCAATGTTCCACCGACCGGGTTTGAACGATCTGATAGGGACAGATTCGCTGTGAGCTCTTGCTCTGGCACACTTTCTGCCCCCTAGAAGTCTCAAGAAGGTATCTTGCGGCCGTATGCAGGTCGGGGTGCCCCCGCCCGTGCTTGCCGCTGTCCAGTCGGAGCTGGTCCCTGCCACGTGGCGGCTGCTGTCGTCGCTGCTGCTGGTGCACAGCCTGGCCACCATCCCGGCCGCCACGCTCGCGGCCCCCTCTGGCGTCGACTTCAGCCAGCGGCTGTCCACCCTGCAAATAGGTAAGCGGCACAACCACGAAATCACTGCCCCGAGCCAGACCTGCCGGATCTGCCCCGTGGAGAGACGGTTCCTCTTCCCCATGCATTTATTCCGTCTTTCAGACGCTCTCGCTCAGATTGTCAAGAAAAACGTGTGCGTTCCTGACAAGCAACTTGATAAGCACATGATTCCAGGTAAACACTGATGTGTAAGCAACTGAAGCTCTGTCCGTCCAGGCGACTCACGCGGCCCTCCGTCCCTTCCGCCCGGGACCCTGTCCTTGGCTGACGTCACCCTGGCCGCTCAAGGCTGGCTGCCTCCCCTCTCGTCCGCTGTCCCGCCGCCCGCTGTCCTGCTGCAAGCTGTGCAGAGCGCCCTGGGCGGTCTGCGGTGGCGCGGGGGACGGCGGGAGCCGCAAAGTGCGGTGGAGCGCGCAGCAGACCTGGCGGTGCTGCTGCTGCAACACAACCAGCACGTAGCGCTCAAGGTCAGCCGCAGCACCTCTCCGCGTTGCTTCTCAAAATGCCTAGCGTTCCATACAACCTGGGAACTTTTCAAGTATCCGGAGGCCTAAGATGCAGAGACCGTACGTTGTTGTCCACGTAGATTTCGATTTCTCGCCAAACGGCCGAGGAATGGAACGTCAACAACATCCAAACCATCCGCAATTATGCCAACTGGCGCTGCAAACGTCCGTTGCTGCGCTTTGCATTGCCAACAATCTGGAGCTCGGGTTACATTCATTCTGCCAAATGACGTATGGGACGACTCTGCTCGAAGCGCCCCACGAGGCGACGGTGATCGTTGCACACTTTCATCTTGCACTCTGCTCTGGGGTGCAGGTGTTTCTGCAACGCGTTCTTGACGTGGCTGCCAGCCTGCCCACCGACCTCGGTAACGCACCCGGCAGTGGGGGAACAGCCGCGGTGTGGTTCCTGTACGGGCTGTGCTGCCTGGCAACCACAGGGGCGGACGCTGCGCGGGAGCAAGGAGCGGAGGACGAGGCCGTGGCGGCTTTTCTCAAGTAGGGCGGCTCTGAAAGGAGCACCCTGTTGATTGGCAGTGCTGAACCATGCCGCAATATAAGGTTGAATCTCAGCTGGAGTCTTCTTTTGGGAACGGAGAGTGATGAGATACACGGGGTTGAGATTGACAGGACTTGTGTTTGCTGTTGCCGGGCTCCTTTTATGGACGCCCTGCGCAATTCTGCCCCGTCTCATCATCCTTTTCCTCGTCCTTTGCTGTAACCAGGGCTGGTACCTCCGTTGGCAGCCCCGATGCCCTTTTGGCGTCAATCCTGCGGCTCTTCTCCCCTCAGCTAGCATCCACCGCAGCAACCACATTCAACGGTAAGGCATGCGGCATGACCCTCTTTAGTTGTTGCTATTGCTGGCCCCTTGCACCCGTTAACTTCCCTGCTGGCTGCGAGTCGCTTTCGAGCTTCAATTGATAAAGCTTTACTCTTGTGTTTCTGCTACCCGTTCATCATCGATCTGGTTCTGAAATGGTTTCAAGCCTCCTTTCTTGCGTAACTATTCTGCTGAATCGCCTCTCTCGCTGTTGCCGCAGCCTCCTCGTCGGCCCTGCACCGCGTGCACTACTTCGAGCTGGTCCTCGCCCTCTTGGAGCGGTACGGCCACCTTGCCGGCGCGCTCCAGTGCGCGCGCGCCGCCCTCCAGGAGCTCGCCGCCGCCTACCCCCCCGCCCCGCCCCCTTCGGACGCTGCCTCCGACGCCGACCCAGACGGCGACCTGATGCTGTCCGGGTCCGAGCTGGCCCTCTCTAGCAGCCAGGCGCGCGAGGTGCACGCCGCGCTGCTGTGGGGCCACGTGTTCGACCTGGCGCTGCGGCTGCGGCGCTACGGGGAGGCATATGCCGCCATCGTGAGCAATCCCGACGCGGGGAGCGCGGGGGAGAACCTGCGGCGGCTGGTGACGGTGCTGTGCGAGGCGGGCGACGTGGACGTGCTGTGCGGGCAGCAGCTGGCGTACGGGGGGAAGCTGGAGGCAGTGCACCACGAGCTGCTCAGAAAGGTGGGGACGGGAACACACAGTACTCCTTTTTAGGGCCTCCTTTGCAGTCCCTAGATTCATGACCTTGTTTGGTTGGACTGGGCGTCCTCAGAAGCTGTAACATCCTGAATTGCTATGTCCACCTTCAATCACTCGCAGTCCCACTTCGTTGTGCAGTTTCTTCGTGACCCCCCAGCTTGGCCTACAACTCGCGTGACGTTTTGACCAATCTGACCGCCCCCTTAAAACCCCCGCCTCCACCCCCTTTCTCCAGGCCGAGACGTCGGACGTGGGTGCACAATCCAACCCGTACCGCGTCCTCTTCGCCTTCCACACGGCCCGCCACAACTGGCGGCACGCGGCGGCCGCCATGCACCGCTACGCGCAGCGCGTGGCGCAGGAGGCGCCCGTCACGGCCGCCAGCGTGCGCGTCCAAGCCGAGAGCGTCCTCGCCGCGGTCACCGCGCTGCGCCTCCTCCCGCCCGACAGTGCATGGCTGCCCGCAGAGGACGGCATCCCCGGGCCCAGCAAACGGCCGCGCATCGAGGGTGAGGCCACCGACAGACACTCCTGGCGCAGCCTGGCGTCCATAAGTGCGGCTGGAACACTCCTAAACTAAATGTGCTCCATAAGTGTGGAGTAGATATTCACCTTCGGGCAACATGTACCCCACTTCGGACTTATCGCATATCCATGGGAATGAGGTGAGGAGGTGTTTTTAGCATTCGCTTGTTTGCTATGTTTTTGGTGCAGGCGAGGGTGCGGGGCGGCTGCGCGTGACTGTGGGCATCCCCGACCTGCAGCAGCAGCATGCGGTTCTGCTGGCGCGCCTCTTCCTGCTGCAGCGGCCGCAGGAAAGCATCCGCAGACGAGCAGGTGCGATCACGTCACGCCTCAACAGCCGAGCGTCAGAAAAAAGAAGGGGAAAGTCTCAAGATGGGAATGCTCGTCGCTTTCATCCTGCAATGATTGCTTTGTTTGACGGCAAGTCTTGCATCTTGGAGGGTCTGAATATTCCCTTCGAATAGCAGCGCCAGGTCTAAATAAGAATGAAAGCTTTTCGTTGTCGTTGCGTCCGAAGTACAACGTCCAGTCGCTGTTTCTCATCTGCAAGCCGATTTTCCTGCGTGATTAGGGCTCGCCTCCACCTGCCGCCCGTCTAACCCAGTTGCGTGCGTGCTTTCTTGTGTTGGTACAGAGAGCGTGGCTGCGGTGCCGGAGGTGGTGTGGCTGCTGCTGGAGGCCGCCGCCTTCGACCAGGCCCTGTCGCTCGCCACTGTCTGCCTCACCGGCGCGCCCCTCCGCAAGTGAGCCATCGACTTCGTCGTGCTCCTGAAGTCGGAGGATACTGACCGAACTGCTATTTATTCTGTCGCCTCTCAACAGGCAGGATCATCAGGGGAGCCAATGCTCAAGTGATGCTTCCCGCTTTAGTATACTCAGTCACCGAGTGGAGCCGGCTTCTTACCTCGGCGCTCCCTACCCACTGCTTCTTCCGTCGCCTTTGTCGTCAAGTTACCGCCGACTTCGGGCAGCAACCTTCCTAAGAGTCTGTGCAGTTTTTGCTGTGCATATTTCAGCAAGCCAGCTGTATCAAAGCGATATTTGGGGACTAGCGACCTCAGTACTTTCTGTATGCCAGCGTGCTGACGCCTTGCCTGGCCGTGTGCAGGGAGTTGGAGGCCATATTTCGGAGCCTGGCGGGGGCGTGCTGCCGCGCACAGGCCCAAGAGGACAGGGAGCACAACCCCGCCCGGTAAGCGCATTTGCACAGAGAGCGGCTTCGGATGCTTCCGGCGCATCTTCGACTCTCTCTCTGGCAAAAGTAACAAAGGATTGCGTGTCTGCCTGAGGTGTGAGTCGGTGGATCCGTGGGCCCGGATCGGGGTCGCCAAATGTTACTGGGCGCAGACAGGCTAACAGAGCTAGCTCAAGCCTGGCTACCGTTTAAGATGCCACATCGGCCACTTGTTTCCAGGGCCTTGACTACAAAGACGTGTCTTGCCCAGCACGCGTGCCGTTCAGCGCCCGCTGCTGACGTTCTCTTTCTCCTGCCCTGGTCCCCAGGTCGGCTGCCCCCCGGTCGGTGGCGTCCTCCCTGGACGGCTTCTCCCCGCTCCTGCAGGAGCGCAGCGCCGAAGACACCACCGCCACCGCCGCCACGCTCTGGCGCAGCTTGCAGGCCTACCTCGTAAGGAAGCCCCCAGCCGACACCCACAACCCGCTCCCTATTTGAGTAACATTTTCTGGGGTGGCTTCCACATCAAGCCTTTGAATTCCTGAGATCCACTCTTGGTAGAGAGCGGAGCGAGCAGCCTCTGAACAACGTAGGTCACATCCACGTGGCAGTTATTGATGATGGATTGTCAGGGGGGTTTTGGTCCGGGGGACTGCTGCTGACGCGGAAGCTGACCGGTTGGCGGCATGCAGGAGCGGTACGACACGGTGGAGCACAACTTCGCGTTCCGGACGCTGGTGGCGGACACGGTGCTGAGCAACAGCAGCTGGAGGCGGAAAGCGCTGCCGCCCTGGCTGGCCGACCTCTGCAAGGTATCTCATTGCTGGGTCAGGATTTGTGGGGTCTTAAAAGGGAAACTCCGGCATGTTGTTGGGAGCACGAATGATATTGAAGTTTCGACCTACAGATCATCGAGACTGGCGTCTGCATTGGGAAGTAGCTCTATTCGAGTTTGGTGTGCATCGCGCCGCCGTGTGTTGAGAAGCAGAAACTCTGGGCAGAGATATCTTCTCCCGGCTGCGCTCAAGCGTACTACCCTGCGTGTGGCAGGCTGGCGATCCCGCGGCCCTGCTGCGCACTCTGCTGGAGCACGGCCGCCTGGAAGAGGCGGCGGAGCTGGCGCTCGACATCCTGGAGAAACCGAAGAAACAGGTGACCGCACCCGCCGTATGCAGCCGGTCGACTGATGGCGTCGTTGCATGGGGCAGGATTGTGGATATGTTTACTCCAATGTCTTTCTTCTTGTTGCAAGACTCAAATCTTTTTAGCCGGATGCGCAAATAACTTGACTGATAAGGCCAGCACAGCCTCCCTGCCCGCTTTTGCGGTGACAGCGCCCGCAGCTTTCTTGCAAAATTCTTTTCTTCCGCACCGCAAGACATGTTCATTGCCGATGATTACACGGTAGCCGAGCTAAGCGTCTATAAAAAGGCGTCTTTCCGAGTGAAAAACGGGTAGCTGAGGTAATGACCGACACTGTCGGTCTGCTCCTGTTCAGCGTACGTCGAGCCGGGCCGGCTTCGTGGCCTCACAGCAGCTGGGCGCGGTGTGGGTGCCGCACACGCTGTTGGGCCAATTGCAGCAAGACCTCGCGCAGCCGGGCCAGCCTGCATCGCGCAACCGCGCAAAGCTGCAGGCCGCACTGCACAGAGAGCTCCAGCAGCACGTCGCACAGGTACGTAGCACGCTGGCAGGAACCTTGATTGAAACGAAGGGAGTGGGGACCTTTCCTTCATGCTTATGTGGAGAATTGATCGTATGTGAACGATGTCGGACTTTCTGCGAGTTTCGGTGGTCGGGCCTTCCTGGTCAAGGCTGCTTGAACCAGCCTTCATCTGGGCTGGTGGCAATTAGAGGTATGGTGGTACTGGCAGTGAGCGCGGCCCACTAATTGCAAGCTGATGCTGTCTGTGCGCTTGCGCAGGTGACCAGCGATACCAGGACGCTCCATGCTGCTGCTTAGAATGCAAATGCACGTCGAATGTACTAGCAAAGCTTTGCACCCGTTCGGTTAGGCCCGTACAAGCGAGGTCAAGCCTTGCATCAGAAGCGGCCGGTTCGGATTGTCACCACGTAAGCTCAGCGGCCTAAATGATGTGGCAAACTCGACTCCATCCAATCTTTTGGACATATGCCGAAAGACGAAATCGCGCGGTTGCCATAGTCCGACATTGTGGCACTGGGCGCAGGCTGCGGACCATAGAGACTATACTGCTCAAGTCAGCCTAGCTAGCTCACTATATCATACCATAACGCGTCGGAAACTTGAAATCGTACATGATATCATTGAAGCTCAAGGACATCATGTCATCATGGAATGCACATGGCTCTTTCGTGGTCCATCCATGCAATCACATGACCAAAGCTTGGCCGCCGGGCACAGCTAGCAACTGGCAAGCTGCTCTGCACGCGACTGTTGTAGTACGCCGCAATCGTGGGGCTTCCAACCGTAATGCACATATGATAGATCCGTATATACTGCGGCCCCGGGACATGCAGTATCGGAATTGCATGAGTGCAATGCATGTAACAAAGCGATTGCATGCATGCAAATTAAGCGATCGACAATTGACACTCGACATTGACCCACATATATACAGGGACCAAAGTTCTATAAGCTTACCTAGTGCTCGCTGTATATTAAACGGATCGCCATAGAATGATCTGTGCACGTCTATAGCGCCCGGCGCGGCGCCGGCCTAGCTATTGCTCGAGTCTGACGTTTGAGCTTTTTGAGTCTGTCGCAGTGCTGATGCGCTCAGTGCTCGTACAATCTCGATCAATTACAGGCAAACAACCGCTCTTTGACAATTACGCAAATGATTGAACGTAGGTTATGACGAACATAATTGGAAGCATTGTTCATGTACTGCTCTGCTGACAGCTCGCGCTTTCAATTGTGGCGCAGCCGCAAAAGCAACACTCGCAAATACAATAAGACTGAGGTGACGGCTGCTGCAGCACCACCAGCCTGCGCGGCTGGACTCGGAGTTTAGCGTTCCAACATATGCGCGGCTCGCCGGTCGGGCCCATAAATCAAAAGATATCAGGCCACGGTTTCAAAAGGACGGGCCGGTCAGGTAACCCGAGAGGATAAAGAACTTTTTCCCGGTGGCTGGTTGCTGTACTGGCTCGAGCCACGTGTACTTGTTGGCACCATTGAGCACATAGTAAATATACTTGGGGGCGCCTTCGGCAAAGGCGGTCAACAATGCGGCCGCCACATCTGGCGTCTCGCTTTCCTGCAGGATAAGAAACTCAAAATTCGAAACCGCGCTGCGACGAATGTTGCCTCACGTTGACTCGAAAGGGCTTTCTTGTCCACAAGTAGTGGCACACCAGCCGTGCGACGATTCCGTGCTGATGCATCTTTGTTGGCATCCTAAAGAAAAAGTGCATGACCTCGAAAACCGACCGGCCCGCACCGCTCCAAACCGTAACGCCATGGATTCGAGTCGACTCGTTCCGCAGAAGAGCTCTCTCCACCGTCACGCCGGCGGAACCTCTAAACTCGTCTTGCAAAGTGAGCGCCCCGGATTACGCGATCGGCTCTGACCAGGGCGGAAGCTCTCACCAGGGGGGTCTTCCCCGCCTTGGCAAAGACGTCGCCGTGCGCCAGGCAGCGGAACCCGGTAGCCGGGTCGGCGTCGTAGACAGTGACGTAGAAGCCCCCCAGGGTGCGCCCGGGGTACACCTCCTGGTTGGCGGCGTCCAGCAGCGGCTGGACCGTCCCCGCATACCGGAGGATGCGGCCGAAGTTGCTGGCCAGCGTGTAGGCCACGACCGGGGTGCAGAAACTGTAGGTGGAGTAGAGGCACTGGGAGATCTCGGTGTAGCCCTGCGCAAGGAAGAACAACCGTCGAATCACGATTGGATTGTGACCCCCAGTACTACCGAGCAAAATCGTTGACGGCTTACTGGTTAAGCAGGTGTGGTTTGGAGGGAAGCATTCTTGTGCTGGTAACGCCCACGAGAAGACCGCCGCGTGTGAGCTTGCAGGTAAGTCTGGTCAGCGTTAACTAACGCGAGCATGAGCGGCCTGAGGAAGAAACCGCCATACGGGGATTCGGACCAGGCGCGAGATGCCAACGGATCCTTTGGAAGGAAATCCTAACACGTGCAAAGGGAAGTGCTGAAACCGGTCGCGAGACTCTCTCTCCCGGGCACTCGAAGGCCGCCGTTCCCCCTCCGCCCCCTGCCGGTTCTCTCACCGAGATGACGACGTTAGCGCCTTGGCGATGGACCTCTTGAGCCCCAGGTCCGTCTTGCCCACGAAGATGTACTCGTAAGTGCCCCCCCCGGATTTCCCGAGCTCCAGCGTCACTTCGCGGAAGTTTGTGTACACCGGGATGCGCGCGGCCGACAGGCCCTTGGTGGCGGAGTTGCCAATCCCGGTCGCGTTCGGGTAAGCGACCCGGTGGAAGTTTACGTCCAGGACGAGGGGGTAGAAGCCGTTCGCCTGATACCGGGGGTCGTTGCTGTTGATGGCCTCGTACACCTGGCAAAGGAGGCCGTGTTTGAGCGCAAACGGCAAAAGTGTTCTAAAGGGCGGGAGTAAACAGCATGTCCCGTTTGATCAACTGAGGTCGTGGACAACGTTGTGCTGGCCAACGATGTTCCCTTGATGCCGAAGATATGGATATTGGTGGAGCGGAATGATTTACCACTCGAGGAACCCGACAGGAGGAAAACGAAGAGAATCAGTAGTCGCGAAGCGAAGCTGCCACCGAGTTCTGATTGGAAGCGATACGTGAAGCTGCTGAAGTTACCGGGGTCAACGAAATGAGACAAGTTAGTGAAAACTTTACCCGTGATTAGTAAGTGGTCAGCCAAACCAAAGCCGGTGCACGAACTACCGGCAGAACAAATCAAGTCAGCACGTTGACCCGACCCACCTTTCGGGGGTCGCTCGCTGCGTTGACGTCAGCAACAACCAGGTTCACTAGGTTCACCATGGCTGCATACTCGCAGCCGGTTTCCTTGACGGGGTCCGAGTGACACGCGGGGAGGCTCAGGCTGTCGTCCTGGTAGAGGGGTAAAGGGAGTGTTAGTCTGTTTCGCTTTTGTCGAAGGGGCGTGATGCAAATCTGCCTTCGGCACCTACGAATTCTGCAGCCTAGAGAGCATCGTTGTTATGACCCGTTGATAAGGTCCATTTGTACATTCACCTACGAATTCTGCTCTTACCCAAGCTTGTGTCTTTTACGCTTGTTTGAGTCAGCCTCTTGTCAGCTGATTTTTACCGGATAACGACTGGCGGAAGGGCACAATAAAGGTGGTTAAAATCAGTGCCTAAGTCCCGTAATGGAGACCCTATTAGCTGCTCGCAGTCGCGCCGCGTAACACGCCTCGATGAGTCAAACCCATGATTGCTGTCCAGATACGCTAGGCATCACCATTGCAGCATTAAGACACTTCGAAGAAAGAAGCGCAAAGGAATGGAAGAAAATTGCATTTTGGGGCCAGTTCGGTGGCGCCTCTCACCGCATTCCGTACCGGGGAAGAGTCGGTCAAGTACCCCGCAAGAACGAAGTACTTCCGGCCCGTGACTACTGACTCCACAGGCTGGAGCCACGTGTACTTGACCCGTCCATTAAGGAGGTAACCGACGTACTGGGCGATTCCTTGCTCGAAAGCACTGGTCAGCGCGGCCGCAACATCAGGAGCCTCGCTTTCCTGCAGGGATGTCGTCGCTACGTGCGTAAAGAAAGGCCCAAGAGTCGAGTATGACTTCAGTGCGCGTCTTCGTGAATCTGAAATTCTTTGTATGCGGATACTGTTGGGGGTTATTCAGCAGACCGGGCCGGGATGGAGAGTCGGGAGTGCCTAAGAGTGTGTTCTGGAAGATCGAGGGCCTCAACGAAAGGAGTTTAGAGAGCTGTTCTTGGAAGGAAATCGGGGCTTGCTCTAAACTAATAGCACCGCCTATGAGAACCTCTCCTACGAGGTTTAGCGACGGAAATCATGGATTATGCTAAGGATATTTCTTTAAGTATGAGCTGTTCAAGGAGTAGGCCTGCCCAACATACGTGACCAGGTGCAGAGCAGTGAAGGAAGGTTCAGAGCGATGGAAGCGACCCCAGAAGGATATAGAAGCAGCAGCTTAAGCCCACGGTGCAAAAGGAGAGTACTAATCTGATGGAACATGTAATAGTGTGACCCTCTCTGACCTGGGGGGTCTTCCCCGCCTTTTCGATGACGGCCCCGTGCGCCATGCAAACGTAGCCAGTGGCGGGGTTACCGTCGTAGATCTGGGTGTAGAAGCCGCCCGGTATGGTCCCGGGGTAAACCTGCCTGTTGACTGCGTCAATCAGTGTCTGCGGATTAGGCGCATACTCCAGGCCGGTCGCCAGGTTGGTGGAGAGCGCGTAGGCTGCCACCGGGCTGCAAAAAGTGTAGTTGGTGTAGAGGCACGAAGAGATCTCGGTGTACCCCTGGGGAAGGTTGGGCAGAAGAGAGAGGTTAGAGCCACTCCTTTAATCAAAGAAGCTTCGCCTTTGTGAAGAAAGATTTCCACGCCCCAAAGACCGGAGGCGTGGACCAAACAATCAGAGCTCTCGCTGGCAAATGTGTGACCCGTGTGTACCCTGTTGCAAGTCAGAGGCTATATCAATTTTTGTGATGACAAGGAAACGCTTTGAACGGCAGTGCTTCAAGACTAGCATTCTTTGGAGTTTCCCTTCGAGTTTGATACACGACACTCGTTGTATGATGGTTTTAGACTTTAAACAAGAAGCTTTGTACGTACAAAGGTAAGAACTTTGCTGTGACGGATTGGTTTCTATAACCTGGAAACACAACAAGATTCTCAGGAATTCTCGCCTAGGAACACGAGCCCATCTCTTTTAGAGTGTGAATGCACAACTATAAGCTAGTGTAAATACAGAAGGCTATTGACGTGGGCAGCCACCATTTCCTTTGCGGCATCCCCAGGTAAGTCCCCATCTGAGCCTCACCGCTCCTACGGAATACCCATTTGGCAGTTCCGGCCCAATGTAAGACTTCTTCAGCCCGAGCCGACCCCCCGCACCCGTGAAGAGATACTCTGTGGTGCCCCCCCCGGCTCTGGCAATCGCGCGGACGTTCTCAGCGAAGTTGGGGTACGTTGGCACTCCAATGTCGTCATTGGAGTCCTGCAACTCCAAGCCAAGGCTCGAGGTGTTCACGTGAGCCACGCGAATGCCCTTGCTATCGTACACAAACGTGTAGAAGCCGTTGAACACATATCGCGGGTCCTTGTTGTTGAGTTTCGTATAGACCTGCGAAAACTAAAGGCCCTGTCAGCGTAGGGATTGCTAAGGAATGTCAAGAAGGTGAGCACCTGGGGATCATTGATTGGGCGGTGCGCGCACCATTCACCGCTTCTGTACCCATGCCTCTTTGAGTGTTCCCGTGTCAACAAAGTTGAAGGTTGCTTGATTGGCTCCTGCATCAATGGTATCTGGATATACTTTGTCGCAAATAGCAAAGATTTGGATATCCAATGAGGGGAGTTATTGTATCTCCCTCATGAGTTACAAACAACAAAACACGCCAAGCGGACTAATCAGTCAAGAGTCGGAGGTGGCCAGCCTCACATGGTGACTCTGACATGTCTTTCTAACATGGCTCCTGTGGGACAGACGGACGCAAGCCCTGAGACACCGATTTTCTACCAAACAGCCCAAGAAGATCCACCAACGTGCATCAGGTGGGAATGCAGCATGCACGGCAGTGTAGTCACCTCAAAGGGATCCTTGGCTGCCGCCACGTCTGCGATGACGTTCAGCACCAGGTTTCGCGTGATGGCCAGCTCGCAGCCGGTCTCCTTGGCGGGATCGTTGATGCAGTTGGTGATGGAAGACTGCTGCGCCTGGGTGCCAGGCTGAAGATGCGGGGAAAGACGACAATCTGTATTGGTTGACCACTCGCTGCTTGGAAGGGAGCCCAGTTTGTATCGCCAGCAGCAAGTGGATGCCGTTAGGTGCAGCAGTCCGAGAACTGACATCTGGCGCACTTCTCCGGTGTGCCAGATGGGTTAAGGTGGTGCCAAATGGTTGCTCAGCTATGAGCTTGCCAGAAAGATCTTGATGCAGGTTGACTGCAGTAATCAAATGCGGGATGAATGCAGCTTCTATTGAACAAAGAGATAGCCCCTCCTTGAGCATTGAAAGTATCATGGTATGCAACTTATGAAAGCAAACCTTCTGCTATTGAGTGCTGAAACCGATCGGCGCAGTCAAGCAGACCCGCGCAACATGAAGCAAAGAAGCAGACTCGTCAAGTCCAGGATAAGTACAGCATTTGGTGGGCATTCAGCATCAGGGTCAGCATCGGTCAACAACTATAAGTAAAAAGCAACTTTCTAGGCGCAACCCGAACTCAACTTACAGGCCCCAGCAGCTTTGACAATGCGGTCCAGTTAACATCAATCTATCTAATCCAATTAAACTTGAGCTGCAGGAATCAATGCATGGTTTACAAAGCCAAAACTTCGCTCACATGAGCCAAGCAGTAACACTAAAAGATAGAAGAAGCACTCACCAGCATAAAGCATATGAAGAGCCCCATCATTGCAAGCAGCACTGTGCCGCAGGTCCGCAGTCGTGGCCCCATGTTGTTCACTGATTGCTTAGCAACGGCGCCCATATTGTGGGCAGCTGCGTCAGCGCGCGCCTTTGAGCTGATCAGAATATAGAATGCTGCCGCCTGAAGCTTCTTTTCAAGAGGCGGCTGACTCCAGATCGAAAACGATGCTGCCAAAGTCCGCAGCCATTCAGGAGGCCGAGAATTTGCGCTGCGGCCGATTGATGATAGTGAAAGTACCGTAGTCCAACGTGATGATTCCGAATAAATAAATAATTATTTGCGTACGGAAAGTCAGAAATTCGGATTTCCTAGTCGGAAAGTGAAATTTCGGAAAGGTAAAATAACCTTGAAATGGTCCTCGGGAGCCGTAAAACTGCCAAAAACAGCCAAAAACTCCCCTTCGAAGTGAGACCATAGGGCATTCGGATTCTTGTCGGAATCAGCATATATAATTCCACTTTCCTGGTCGGATTGTTGAGAAATAATTCGAAACAAAATCGTTCGGAATCATCACGTTGGACTACGGTAGTACCAACGGTAGTAATTCCTAAGTAGTGACCAGTACCTAGATGTATTCCAGGCTCCGCCATTCACAGTATGGGCTTCGGCATGCAGGCACTGTTCACACAGAACGCACTTGTAAGTATAGGATCTGAAACACGGTAGTACAGCTCGTCCGGAAATTAATTCTCAACCGGTGAGAAGCATCCGTTTCATGTGGGGTGACTTTGGGCAGAGCATGGTAGGTACGGCAACCGGTTGCCCGTACCGACTCACCTTCCTACCATAGATTCAGGTGAGTACTTCAAAGCAGGTACCTGCCGTACTCACAATTACAATGTGGTACCAGGTACAGCAGTGGCGAACACCAGCAAAATTAATTGGTGAACCTTGCACAATCATTGGTACCGCGATTGTCGGAAAATGACCGTTTGACGTCTTTCACTGAAAACTACTGCCATGACTGACCCTTGACTTTACCTATAGGTAGATGACTTTGCCAGTCGGTTTGGGAATAAGATTAGGTACCGGTAGCTCCAAACCGCTGCAGACCAAGTACTAGAACATGACAGTCAAATATTTGCATCTGCCCCAGGGACTTTAAGCGAATTCCTGCGCAGCTTACTAATCAGTATTCCGACCTGATCACGAATTCGACACTCATCATGTTAGTGGGTGCCCCGCACCCGGTATTTGTGATGCCACCGGCTTCATGTCAAGGTTTAGCCTGGAACATATGTTTCCGCCACATATTGGCTAGCTGATCCTTACAAGCAGGCAGGCGCCTCAATGGAGCCTCAATGATGATGAACAAAGAAATTAATCGCCATTCAGCTTGAGCGAGGGTTGACACAGGAACACAGCGAGCTTCGTAAGCAGTTGCATCTCAAAGTGTGTCGTGCTGCTAGCTGCTGATTCTCTGCTCAAGAATCGGAGCCTACCTATATATAAGTGGCGCCCGTGCAATCAGTTCGTATACGCAAGCCTGGCTCGAGGCGCCTATCATATGCTGTGTATGCTCGATAGGCTATCAACGCGATACTTACGTCGTCGACGTACCCTTATGGCGAGGACCTAGCTGCATATATTGGGCGCCTCGCTTTCAGTTGCGGCGCCATGGAGCGCGTGACAACAGTGACAATCTGATTTGTAGTCAAAGTCTATGATGGCGTGCACATCGCGATCGCGCAGGCTTCCTTATACTGGTGATTCAATGAGGAACATATATCAGGCTTATATCATCGATTTCTAACGTGAACTTCAAAGGGTAGGTCGGACCTACCAGATTGAACTTCACACCTACCACAACGTACTTCCTTTCGGCATGGTAGCAAGTATCAGGTGGGAAGTCCAGTCAACTTCAATCACGAATATGAAGCATGCCCCAATTCCCAATTCATAGATTTCAGCTGAGGCCTGCAGTTAAACGCGTGATTCGATCGCTCTCCACGGTCCCAAGATGAGAGCCAAACGGACTTACTTACTATCGGGTTACCGTCACTAAAGCATGTAAAAGCCAAATTGCAACAAACCACATGGGATGATAAGTCGGCGGTACAGAGGATGTCGCGACGTCGGTGTCTGGCAAGTCACTCACCGTAAGTGGCAACTCAAAGGTTTTGGCATGAAGAAAGCCTCTATACCGGAAATGTTGTGCAACACTTTTAGAGCGTGTGTCCTTGTGGCACGTGCCCCTAGCACGGCGCCATGCAGTGACCTTCGGTGAAAGACTCCGACGAACAGAAGTAGCGATTGCTCGCCTCGCGTATCATTCCTCGCAAAGAATACTACGCCTTGAGTTTCAAGCGGCGGGCGTGCGCGGCCGCCCTTGCTCGATGAGGGTTTTGATGCTGGCGGTGGAGTGCACGCCCAGCACGGGCCGCTCCTGCCGCCAGAGTGCCGCTGCCAGCGTCCACGTGTCCTCGCCAGCGGACGACAGCGAGGGCCTGTCGCAGCGACCGTCGGGGACGCTCCTGCACACGAGCACAAGGGGAAACATAGAGCCGGGCTGGCAGCGTACCCGCAACAAGATTTTCCTTGATTCTCAAAAAGGCTGGTTCTGTTTCGTGTCTCGACTGGCTGCATACTGCGAAACCGACAGCGCTGGGAATTCCTCGACGGTTCAGCGAGACCCTGAGAAGGACGAAAATGTTGTTTTTGCTTTTATCGAGTCTTCGTCATTTTTAGTACTTCTGGTTGTGCGCATCTAACACAAAGAGAGATCTGACTTGGATCAGGCGCGCGAACAGTGCTGATGTCGACAGGTCATCAAAGGATTTGTGCGCCACTACTACTACTTACCAGCTGCCTTTTGCGATGGAAGCCTCGACTCTGTGTTTGATGCTGATCTCAAAAAGACTGCGTGTCTGTTCGGTACGATGGGAAACGCTTTCCGGGCGAACCCGCGGGCTTGGTAACCTGCACATAAGAGTCAATCAAGCAGAGTAAGCAGAAAGCTCGGTCAGTCTGTATTGTATCCTGGGAGTCAAATCATCCTTGCCGCTTACAATACGACACCACACAAGCTTCAATGCAAGACAGAGGTGTATTTAACGTTAGCCGAAGTCTGACCATTGTCTGCCCTTCAAAATCGAACATCAATTTGTGAGTTGGAAAAGAATCTGAAAGGGCTGAAAGTATGGTCCCTCTATTCGGGGTGCCCATCTCTCACGTGCTGCTCGCGGGCTGATTTTCACTCTTGTCCACGTCATTTTCAGGCGGTACTTCTGGCCGCTCTTCCGCTTCGGAAGCCTCCAGTTCCACTCTTTCGATTGACTTCCTCAGGTCGCCGTCCGCTTTTTCGCAGAAACTGCGTTCAAAAAGCGTCGCGCTTCAGTTTCAGTACGCCTCGTTCGGTTCAAACCCGCTCCCTGATGATACTTGGAAGGCGAAGCCCACGAAGTCCTCGAACAAACGCATCAACCTTGAAGCAAAACGGTTCCGGCACGCTGCCCCACCGCTTCCAGGTCACGCCACGTCGAATCGCGGTCTCACCTCGAGAAGTCTAGCCCAAGAACAAAGTCTAGCAAGCGGTCCGCCTCTTCCGCATCCAACGCGTCAACCTGCGACAAGCACTCCCCCATCAGGCGGGTGAAAAAGCCGGTCTAAACAGAGGCCAAGATCAGCGCCGTGCCTTTCTTTGTCTCCCTGCTTGTCATCAAGAACTTTGCTCACAAGATTTCAGAACCAGATACATCCGAAGCTCATCAAGATGCCCTGCTGCTGTAAGGCCAACTAAAAGTCCGATGGAGTCGGTGAATAAGCTGGCGTTAAGCCCGGCTATGAGCTGGGCAAACTCACGTCTTCTTCCGTGAGTGCCCACTTGGGCCGTCTTTTCCAGTCCCCCGCACTTTTGGGGCGAGCACCTTTCCTGCTGTTCAATCCTGAAGCACCGACTTTGTTCTCTTTCTCTGAACCCAAAGTCTCTTGTGAATCCGAATCCTTTTCTCCTCGTCTCCTCCGGAAGGGCCTCTTTGGCGTCGCTCCTTTGCCCTCCCCAGCGGAGCTTGACGTGCTTGCCTTTTCTGCTTTCGACGATCCCGAAATGAACTCCCTCCAAACATGGTCAACTTGAACTGTATCTTCTGTCGTCTCCAGTATTGAGACCTCTCGATGATGGAACGAACACACCGACTGAGCTCGTGCGCTTGCCGCAACCCTTCGACTATATGCATCTGACCCCGCTTCGCCATGATCGACCACGTCGGCATTTGCAACTCGTTCGAGAACGCTGTGTGCTCGACCAGGCAAAGACTCCTGCCTCGCTTTCAGCGCGCGCGAGTTTCTGGCCGCTCGCCAAAAGCCCAGATCACCCTGGAAGCGGCAGAAAGGAACCTCGTGAGCACCTGGCAAGATCAGCGGGTTCAATCTTGCGCAGTCCTATAGCAGGCCGCATCGCAAAGAGCTCATGACGACCGGATTGTTTCGCGTGCGAAGAGGCGGCAATCGACAGGATAGCTTCAAACTAACCTTGCCTTCCCTTATTTTCGTCCTTAGTCGGCTGGAGAAGTTTGCCACCCCGTCGGTCTTCGGTTCTGCCGCATCCTGATAGGAAGGGAATGCGGTTGTAGTGAGGCACATTCTTTAAGTTGGACTCTTTTTATTCTTGAGCTGGGTACCTGTTAAGGCCGGAAGCCTTAGCAGATGCTTTGGCATGATGTACTTGTTTCCCCTGAGAAGCTGGCTAACAGTGACCCCCGAAAACAGGACAAGAGAAGAAGACAATGGGCAGCAAGATGACTTTAAGCCATGTCCGGTCACCTTGCGCTGCTGCTGCAGCTCTCTGTCCCGCGCGGCCAGCCAGCGCCGGTGCTGCACCAGGGCGGGCAGGGGCAGCGGGTCCCGCGGTAACACCTGCACCACACAGGCCCATCCTCTCAAGCAGGATTACGACCGCGCACCATCTTGCACTGCAATCGAAGCTTTCCCTGGCAGCCAGCTAAACCCTTTGAGCTTGTGTTTGGAGTAGCATTATACGGAATTGGTGGATGGAGCGAGCAGCTGCCAGTGAGCTGTCCAATGAACACAAGAGCCCCCGAGGAAAAGTGCCAGCTTCGTTCCCAAGATTGACACGATGATCATAGTTCGATGCATCATATGTGCGTTTGTCAAACTTTGGTCTTACGGGCTTTCTCGTTTCCCCGTTCTCACCTTGGCTGGCCCGCTGCTCAGTCCGGCGGGATCGTAGAACACCACGGGCCTGAAGGGCGCACAAACATCGGAGCCCATCGTTTCTTTGTCTGTGCTGCGGCGCGAAATGCTGTGGGGCGATCGGGCATGCCTGCGCGGCTCAGCATTGGTGGGGCGCTCGCACAGCAGGATCGTCTTCCAATGGCTTGCGCTGCGGGCAGAGAATGACGCAGCCGCAGGCTCTTCTGACGTCATGGCCGGGCCACCATTGCCCTGCTGCTGCAGTCAGTTGCATGTTGTGCACGTGACTGGCACTGGATAACCAGCAAATGGGGTTACAGGAAGCCGTGAGGCGATTGCCTTTGGAGACTAGGATAAAGCTTCTCGCCCACTGCGTGACGTCGTTTGATGGGGCTCGACTTGGCCGAGCAACACTTCTGGAGGGGACCTGGCTGCTGTTAAACGTGGGCCTCATGAGGCCTTCTGCACGAGATATTCTCGTTGCAGAGACTGGGGAACTCTACATAGGAGTCTGCTGCACGAGTTTCTCGTTCGATCAGACGTCCGGACAACGTGTATCTAAGATGAATTCACTTTCTTTAATTTGGGGCGTGCAGATCATCGGATCACGTGAAGATCACCTGACGGGGGGTCTCCATGAATGATTACAGGTCTGTAGTAGGTAGCACTCAGACTGGCATCGGAGGACGCATTGGGTGATAGTGGTTGGTTTGCACGAGATTTGCATTTGGGACCGGGGTTGATCAGCTATACACGATCTTCAAGCTGATGAGGATGACATCACAATCAGGGCCAATTAAAATCTCTGACAGGATCTTGTGATGTTGGACAAACTGCCTTAGGTACACAAAGGCCGAAAAGGCAATGAACGCATATGCCCGGAGTAGCGGTTGTGCAAACGTCCCCTGATCACGCAACCACTGTGAATTCTATCGATCTATGAAGTGGCCCTTAAATAATCCGATGACGTTCTTTAAATGTTTCTGTTGATGTTCTGGGGGACGTACAACGTTACAACGTTTCAGGCCCTTTTTAGGGCATTCTTGGTATATGGCCATCAGACTCGCACCAAAAAAAACAGCAGGTGTTTCGTGTACATAAATACTTCGTAGGTTGTTTTCGTCCATTGTGTCCGGAAGTGCCGAAGGTAGAAAGTTCACACCTGAGTCCGTCGAGGCAGCTAGCCTCGGCCTGCCCGGGCCTATCATAGAAGTTTTAGTCACAGGCTGAGGGAAGGCTTGAGCCTTGGTCAACCGCGAACTTCGGAACCCAGCCCCTGATGATCGCGCGCATTTTGGAATGCCTCCGATGACGTCGATGAAATTTTATCGACGGCTGTCTAAAGGACCCATTCTTTCGCTGCAGGGTAACGGTGCAAAAGGCCGGTAAAGCTACGCTGCTCGTGCATGCATGGGCAGTTCAAACCCGACAAAGAAAACTCACCCTGGGCCTTGGCCCTGGGTGTTCGCAATTCGCGTGGCAGCATTGAAATCCTGACAAGGTGTTGGGCGGCGCCTGCAAGAACTTGAAGACGGCATCATCATGGTCACGGTGCCAAACACTTTGCTCAAACAGCCGTGTCTTTGAGCCTCGACAGGAGCACTCTCACCTTTGATTCCGGAATGGCGCCGTCTACCGACTCACTCTTTGAGCTGCGGTTGCTGCGCACTTCTCTCAGCGGCGCTTCGACCCCGCCCACCACCCCTGATGATGCCAGCCCCCAGGCCCTCCACCTGGCGGACACCCTCCTGAGGCTCATTGAAGCGGGCCGATATCTCGACGCGCTGCGCAGCTCGGGGGCGCGCTTGGTGTTAGGCCCTTCCATGCTGCCGGGGGCTGACCAGAAGCACGATGACCCACAGCATTACTATCAGGGCGTGCGAGAGAAGGCTCAGGAGCTGCGCGAAACGGAGGGGGGACCACTGTTGACGACGGCGGTCGGGGTGGCGGCGTTGTATGCATTTGTCCAAGTAAACATCCTGGGTCCACAGGCGCAATTCCCGCCCTTCCCGCTTGCGAGTTCTGCAGCTTCGGAGACCGCACATGGCGACACCGCCGAGCAAGAAACCTCCGATGATTTTGCTGATTTCGCTGCCAGCATTCAGAGTAGCACCAGTGGGGAGACTGCGGACAGTGCGCAGGCAGGGCCAGGCTTTGATTGGGACGATTGGGCGCGTCGAGAGTTAGTCATAGACGGCACGGATGTAGTGGGCCGGTACGCCCTCCCTCAGTACCTGCTGCTAGCGCGCATCCTACTAGTGGAGCCCCACGTTCAGAACCTGGGAGCGTCCCCAACCACAGAGGTTCCACCTCCTCTTCCATCAGGAGAATCGGCCTCTTCTCAAAGCCCCAATTTGCCCCAAATCACGCTGACTCCGCCTGAGAATAGTAGTGCCCCCCTGAGCGGCTACTGGTGGGCTGCCCGCACTCTGTTGGTAGAGCAGCGCCTGCTGGCGGAGCACTCGGCGTCGCTGCGGGGGGCTATCTTCCTCCTGCTGCCGGCTGTGCTGGAAAGCTTTGGAAGCGCACAAGCAGCGCAGCGGAGCATCCCAGCGGGTGATGCCTGGAAAGCAGGGGAGGCGGGTGTGGTGGCAGGAGTGGCTTGCTTGGAGGCGGGCTTGGCACAGCATGCCTACAGGCAGACTGATGCAGCGGCGGCGCTGTTCGAAAGGGCGGCCCGGGAAAGTGGGCTGGAAATTGAGGTCACGGGGGCGCTTGGGTACAGGACGCCACATCAGGTAAGATCTGATCTGCACCACTTTTTCTGATGATGTTCTCATTCCCGACCTTGTCCCAAGTGTTCGAATTCAATGCGTCTATCCTTTCCAACCCTCAGTGAGAACGTTAACCAGTCTGCTTAAATATGATTCTAACCTTGTGACGATTGAGTCTTTGAGGCCTCAGTCCAAGAATATCGATTCACCAGTCTTCAATTACTATTGAAACCAGTCGCATAAGATGGAAGAGAGTCTGATCAGTACCATCCTGCGAGTGTGACCTTTGCCTCCCCTTCCAGGTGGATGCCAAGGCGCAGATGGTCGTCCGCACAGCTACCACCGGCCCTGCAGCCACTTACGATTCAGACCCCGACGAACCCACCACTTCGACACCCCCTCCTCCAGAGTCCCTCCTCCCAAAAGACAAGTTTGCCGCCGACACCGAAGTCTTTATGCAGCCGCGCCTTGTTCCCTCCGCCCAGCCAGATTCGCAGCGCCTCACTTCAATAGCCCAATGCCTGCTGCTAGCGCACTGTTTGGATGTGCGGAAGCAGAGCCCGAGCGACGAGCTGATAGCGTGGCAGGCGGCGCCCTTTTTGGAGGCGGTGCAAGCGCAGAAAAGGCAGCGACCTGGGGTGCGTGCCGCGGGAGGGCTGGCGCGCGCCCGCTGGGAGAGGCACCGCGGCAGGACACGCGAGCGGGCCTTCCTCACCATGCAGCAGCTGGTGAGTGGACAGGATTGTGGGGTATGTTGGTTGGTTTCTAGGTCATGGATCAAAATGGAGATTCGAATTCCTAGGCTGTCGGCCCTCCTCAGCCCAGGAAATGCTCAAGCGTCGAGCCAAGCTTCAGCGCAGCCAATCAGAACGGAATTGAGGCTCACGAGTCATGTGTGACTTTCCAGCAAGCTCTGGAATTCTTCAACCCACATTTCCGTGGATCGAGGGAATGTGGGGCCCCGGGGATGCTCTATAATGATTTACCCATCACACATCCTGAGCTCTTTGCCCGGTCACTTCAACCTCCTCGACACACCAGGCAAAGTCGCACTCCCGCAAGCGCAGCCCCTTACGCTCTCATCCCCTCTAGGTGGACGAGCTGAGCGGCGCCGACATCCCTGCAAACAGTCACCCTGCAACCGCTGCGTCTCGGCTACGGTACGGGCTGTCGGTGTGGTTCCCGTCGTGGCCCGCCCTGCAGAAGGAGCTGGGCGAGGAGATGGTGCGCAACGGCATGGTGGGCGCAGCGCTGGACGTCTTCGAGCGGCTGGAGCTGTGGGACAACCTCATCTACTGCCTCAAGTGAGCGCGGCTCGGTGTTGCTGATTGCAGGGGAGCACAAGAAGGGCTTTCGAAGCATGCAAAAGATCGAATGTCGACGTGTGGAAGTGTTTCGTCGGCTGTTGTTGTCTGAAGCGCACGAGATTCTGCAAATGTCCATAGTTTTGTGATCCTCTTGTTTTAAGGGGCTCCTGGGCTCAGGACTCTGAGTTGGTATCGGACCTGAGTTGCTTGGGGGCCTTTTACTGCGAATGGATCTTCAGGTGATCTTTCCCTTTTTTGGATTTCGCGCTCTTTATCACTTGCAAATCCGAAACGAAAAAGCTAGCATCTGACTTCAGACTGGTGCGGCGTACAGGGGCCTCGGCAAGGTGGCCCAAGCGACCTCTCTGGTGCGGGCGCGGCTGGAGGTGTCGCCCAAAGACCCGCGGCTGTGGTGCAGCCTGGGCGACCTCACTCTCGACGACGCGTGCTACACCAAGGCCTGGGAAGTCTCGGCGCACCGCCACGCGCGCGCGCAGCGCTCCCTCGCAAAGTCCGCACAGGTACGCCCAGCGCCACTGGCTATATGCATTTGTACTGGTGCACCCTCAGGATTGAGATGGGTCGACAGTGGAATCGCTGAGCAATGGTTTGTAGAGTCTGTCCCTAGCTTATATGCCTTAGCTTGAGGCCTCTTCCTTTACAAATCTGACGGCATTGGAGTCATCGGAAGTACTTTCTCATGTGATTGTCATCCTGGTCGTATTGGTTTCTGGCAGTATTGGTGGAGCGACTGTGTGTCCTTGCGTTAGCTCCTTCTCCCGTTTCGAGCAACTTCGTCCCATCCTAGTTTTCCTCTCAACGGCTCTTTCTTTTCAGGGCCGGGGCGACTTTGCGGCTGCCATCCGGCACTGGGAGCTCGCCCTGGCCATCAACCCACTCTTCAGCGGGGCTTGGTTCGAGCTCGCCTTCGCCGCGCTGAAAGAGGGGGACGACAAACGCGCGATCAATGTAAGGAACCGCTTGCCGAATATGAGGACATTGAATCCGACGGCTAAAGGCAGACGTGCTGGCCCGTCAAGCTTTTACACCTTTTGCAAGGTTTGCCTCTGTAATGCTCAGCTCTTGTTCCGGCTTTCTAGAAAAGGTCCGTGAATGGATGTCGTAGAAAGCGTTCCGCAGGCCAATCTGGCTAGATGGATGGAACTTGTCAATGTTGACGTGGGCCATAGACGGATGTGTAACAACGCCCACACTTCTTGACGCAGGCGCTGACGCGGACGGTGCAGCTGGAGCCGGACAATGGCGAGGCGTGGAACAACATCGGGGCGCTGAATCTCAAGGCGGACAACTTTAAAGAGGCCTACATCGCGCTGCAGGAAGTGAGCCACACTGCCTGCAAAATTAGTGGACGGTCGCTGAGGCACGGATTGTGATCCGGCGGGGTTCTTCACTGGCTGCCGAGCATTCCGCTTGCGTTTTGGTTTAGACTCGTGAATTCCAACTTGCCTGTTTAGTGCTCTGGTTGTTTTGTGACCATCTTGTGATGGCACTCTTTCTCTTCCTCTTGGCATTTCGCCGGTGTCGAACACGACAATCTTCGGGATTAAGGTTTTCGGTTCGGCATCGAACGCCCTCGTGAGTAAATTACTGAGTTCAGTCCTTGTACGAAGCATTTGACACGCGGCAATCCGTGTGCAGGCGGTCAAGTACCGGCACGACCAGTGGCAGTCGTGGGAGAACCTGGGCAAGGCGGCGCTGGGCGTGCGCGCGTACGGGCAGGCGTGCCGCGCCACCGCCAAGGTGCTCGACCTCTCGCGCGACAAGCGCCTCGACGTCAGCACGCTGCGCCGCCTCGTCGAATGGGTCGAACACAGCCGCAAAAGTGACGCCAGCGGAGCGGCCCACTCCGCTGGAGCGCCGCCGGAACCAAGTGGGGGAATGGGCCCGGGCTTCAAATCTGGGCCGGTTACCACAACCGTGGAAGAAGTTTCGAATAGCGTGAACGAGCCGGAAGGGCTGAGCGCTGCTGATGTGGCGGCGGCCGTTCACGCGGCCGCGGATGGGGGCGACGAGGAGGAGAGCGGCAGCGGAGGGGTGGCGGAAAGCGGGCCGGAAGAGGGGGGGGAACTGGCGTCGGAAAGGGAATTATCAGCGGTTGGAGAACTACTGAAGCGAGCGGTGGGCAGCGGGGAGGGGGGTGCGGAGGTGTGGGGCCTGCAGGCACGCTTCTTCGAGGCGACGGGTGACGTGGACATGGCCAAGGAGAGCAGGCTCAAGCAAGTGCGCGCGCTGCAGGTGAGCAGCGCACCCGCGTAGCCGGGCGCGGGGATGCACTCCACATTTGTTGAGCGAGAGTCTGTTTGAAAGCTCGACCTGCGATGGAAGGAACTTGGATGCCGACGTTCAGTGACGAACAAGCATCAGCCCAGCCACTTTATAAATGTGATCAAGGTCAGTTTCCCTTCTCGGCCCCTCACCTACTGAGAAGCGGAGCGTAAAACGCACGAAACATGTTCGAGGAGTGATTGTGATATTCAGGATGTTTGCCTGACTAAATGCTTGCTGTCGTGCTTACTTGCAGAGCTCCAGCTGGCAGCACGAGGACGCTGGGTTTGAGGCGATGGCTGCGGCGTCCATAGCTCTCGCTGACGTCTACATGGCGTCATCTGCTGCTGCTGCCGGTCAAGGGGCAGGCCGCGAGAAGCGGGAACTAGGGGCGGCGAGGCTGCAGCTGAGGGGAGTGATCAAGCAGGCGCAGGAACGGTTTAGCGGTACGGCCAGCTATGCTGCCTTGGAGGGAAGTCTGGCGAAAGTGGAGGAAGCTCTCAAGAACCTCAGCAGTGGATGATGACACTCATTCTATCGAAGGCGTCCTTGCTCGATCGCTTGCATGCGCACTCGCCTACAAATCTCGTTTCTTGGATGCTTATCGTGTCTCGTAGGGAGCATAAGTGTTCCGGTTTCGGTCCAGTTTGACCGCAGCTTAGTCTAGCTAGGCGCCGCTGCTTGAAAAATGATCCCACGGTGAATCAAGTCAGCAAACGCGGATGCGAATATATATGATCACGAGATCTGACTTATGCACCCACATGCTCATGTTCATGGCTTCGCGTGACACGTTCGGGCACCTGGCGTGCGCAGTTGGACGCTCAGTTCAGGTTAGACTCTCGGTTCAACGAAGATTTGATCAGGCCGCGCGAGAACAATCGGCACGAGCCTGTTTATAATCATCGACTATACACCAATTGAACATGTCAGTGTGCGCCCGGCTGCATGGGCGGTTTGAGTCCTATGCCAGTGACAATCGCGCGATTGATCTCGTAAGACGGTTCACCATGAGTATCGGCTATTGAGATAGGTACCGGCGTGCCATGCCGAGTAAAGTCTTCGAAACAGCTTTCTCGCGGTGTTGATGAGCGGGCCAATGTACGACTCCAGATTGTAATTGCCATCTCCAATACAATAGCTAGCGTGAATCTTGTAAACGATTCAATTCCACTTCAACTTCGTCTAGCATATCCCTAGTCCACAACTCGTTTCGAGCCCTCTGACAACATTAACTATTTTGCAGCACGGTAGCTCAACTGGATAACTGGATGTTACAAAGTTACCGCAAACTCGATCGAGGTCGAGGCCATAAAGTCTTCAATTTACGGCGTCCGCGAGCGGAAACAAGCCTCGGCGTCAGAGTTGTCGAGTCAAAAATGAATGATATATAGGCCAACGTTGCACGCCCACTGCTTTGCAAATCCCTAGCCCAGCCCCTGATTGAGCTTCTCTGAATCGCTCAGCAGAAAGCTGTGTACAGAGAGCATGGTCGTCGAACTACGCCCTCTCTAAAAGGCTGTCATATTGATCAACTGCAAAACGGACCCAGCCTGATCTCTCCAAGAATGTATCCAAAAGCATTTACGTCTAATCGGCAACACCACACCCCCATCATTCAACAACGTGAGCAGAGCAGCCCCAAATATCTCACAATTACTAGTGGTAGCCAATTGGTGCAGGGGACTCCTTGAGATCCTTTCCTTCCGTCTTGATGTTCTGCAGCGACGAGGCAACTGGCGCGTAAGCATTTGCTGCCCTCGAGTTCCTCGATGAAGCACAAGTAGCACATGCAGACAGGCGGCCAGGCAAACCTCAACCCCCATCAATCGCGGAACTACAATTTGGAACCCTTCAGCGGGCCCGAAGCACAGCGCACGTGAGAGAAGCAGGCCAGTCTGCCAATCTTCACTACCTAAATCCGAAACCATGCAAAATGGCGGACAAGTGCCAATTCTACGTCCAAGTTCGACATTCTCCTTTCTCTCTGTCCGTATCCAATAGGAGAACAGAGTTACTGCAATTCTTAATCGCTTCTCATGTGCTCACCGCGGCGTAGTGGTTGACGTCCCGGTGGTGCGCCTCGTCGGCCCTGACCGCGAGGACCACGTCGCGCAGCTTGGCATCCTTGGGCAGCCGCCAGTAGTCGATTGCAATCGCGGGGGCGGCCGTGTTGGCGATCTTGCCGCTGTCAATGGCCTCCAAGTAACTGCGAACGCGAGAGGAAGCTCCTACTTATGGCCGTCGATGGGGTTTAAAGCCGTAACCAGAGCCCCGCCTTGCGGGTTAAGGAGGTTGTGGAAGAAAGACGTCAACATGGAGTCAAAACGGAAAGACGGCACGCCAATTCAAGGAAAGTGGAATAGAGGAGAGAGCACAATCAAGTGGAAACTGGGAGGCCTCAAACGGAGTCGCAGGTTACTGGCGACGATGACGGACCTCACAATGTCTCAGTGTGAAGGAGGCGGCAGGACAACAGGATGTACAAAACGGATACACACGCTCAACAAGATAAACAGCAAAACTTAGACACTAATCAAGCACGCGGTCGAGTCCTTACTGCGTGTAAGAGATGACGGCCTCCTCCTCCAGGTATCCCACGATGCGGTGGCAGACCTTGGGCCACAGGACGTACGCCACAAAGTAGGCGTTGAAGAAGACGCCCTGAACCGCGAACACGAGCGCGCGCTCCCACAGCCGCGGCTTGGTGATCTCCACGAACGTCATCAGATGCATCCGCTCGTTCTCGGCTTCTTCTAGCAGCGCCTTGATCCAGCCGCCGCTGTGCTCCATGCGCCGCAGCGACTTGCAGTGCAGCAGCATGCCCGCCACCTGGCAGGCGAGGAGGGGAGCCACGTCAGGAGACTGAAAAGTCGACAATTACACGAAAAATACTCGAGGCGGAAAGCAGGGAGTGTGAACGGTATACTGGAGAAACTCATCCTAGTGTAACCAGGCCTGAGGTCATTGAAAACTTGTTAAAGTCGAGTCGAATGAGAAGATTTGCTTACAAAAAGCAGAATCTCGTATCTAAACGATGTCAGAAGAAGCGACTTTAGGTTAATGGATAGTGTTTCTAAAGGAAAATCAGTATCTGGAGCATGTGCCCACAACCTGCTCAAGTGCTAAGACGGAGTCAAGCGGCTTTGCACTCACCATACCAGGGACAGCAGCCACAGTCTCGAGCATGACAGCACGGCAGCCCCACCGCTTCTGCAAAAAACGGAAGCATAGCCAAGTAAGAGTGCTGCGCAAGTGATCAACACCACCAGCTGCATGAAGCAAGACCAATCACGAAATTGTGTGGGGCATTTGGAAAATGTAAACTCTGACAAGTTTACGCACGGACTCTGAGCAGCTTCTTCGAGATTTTTTCCTTTGTGTCTACAACTGATTGTGGGTACATGATTCCTCGGTGAACTCCAGGAGCTTCTAGTAGCACCTCCTGACAGACGACAGACGATAGACGATAATAGGACATACTTGAATTGTGGAAAGACCCATGGACCAGCAGTGACAGCATAAATGCAACATAACGGGATCAATCTATTCTGCCTAATCAGAAACAGCAATTCCAATCTCACCTGGAATAGCGTATCGGCCCAGAACCTCAGGAACTTGACCGTCTTGAGCGCCACCCAGTCTGCAACACCAGAGACGGGCCAGTGCTTCTCGAGGTCCACACTGGTGTCAGCCTGGTACGAGTCTGCCGGCTGCATCAGATAAACCAAAACGGAGCCGTCAGTCAGACTGATACCCAGACATAACGGGCTGTGAAGATCGCGTACTCCGGGGGAAAAGGATTGAAATCAGTATGATCGCAAAACCCAACCAACCGTTTCTAAGAAACTTCAAGAAAGAACGTTCGCGTGAATGAAGAGTTCCCGTGCTATACTCTTCATCACATCAACTTACGAATCGAAACACAGGCAATGTTCATCTCAATCCCTACAACACATGATGGTCATCCAGATCCTGGCGTCACCGTCAGATGTCATCATGGTCAATGTATCAAGTGCATAGATTAGACAAGAACCTAACTCTTAAGGCAAGCACCACTAGGCAGAAACCTTTGAAGTGGCAAATTCACAGAGGCCCAGAACAGCGCCACTCACCGTGAAAGAGTGCCACACCCAGGGGGTGCCATCGACCTTGTACAGCTGCTTCCTGCGAATCCCCCAGTAGTCATACTTGCCCTCGGCCAGCTCCTTATCCACCTGCGCCTCTGACTTGTTCATTGGCTGGCCCTCATGCTTGTATGCTGCTCCAGTGGGGGGGCTGACCACCGCAGACCCTTGCTGCAAGGGAGGCTTGGCAGAAGTGGCATACACCCTTGTGCCTGGAGGGGAGGAGAGAGCAGGCTGGTCATTGGAAGCAGTTGCTTTTCTGGTCCCTTGATTTTAAAAAGCCAATCTGAAGTTGAATGAAACTTGCCATGAGAACCCCTGCCTATTGATGGTTGACAACCTTAAAAGATCTCATGTCGGCACCAGACGCATCAAGTGAACTGGAAGCACGTCAGTAGTACGAAAGGTTCAACCAATCAATCCGTGCAGGATTGATCATTGCATCAGGACCATCAGGCTGATTATATCCAAGAAGTGCACACCAGACATCAAACACCTGATGGGCAACTCCTATACCACTCACCAAGAGACATGTTGTCAAATGAATCAAAGGCTTGGAACTTGGTACTGGGAAGACTGCAGTCCCTGGTGATGGCCCCCTGCTGCAGGCTCCAAGACCCCACGTTGGCACTGCTTCCCGTGGCGCTCTTTGAATCCGTGCCTGTTGTCAGGTTCAGAGGATGCGACGGGATGGCACTGCTGGCAGACCATGATGCAAACTGCCTGGCTGCGATGATGAAGAGGGGGGAGTTGGGAATGGCGCAGTGGCTGTTGGCGAGCAGCCCACCGCTCAGCTGCGTGACGCTCTTTGCGAGGGCAGCGTGGACGACCATGTTGCTCACTGTAGACAGCCCAGAAGAGCTGATGCACGAAGCGCTGTGTGCAAGAAGCTTCTAATCCGAGTGTTGTTGAAAGTTGCGTAGATTGGATTATGGAGATTGCAAAGAGAACGAGTGGAAGAATTTGGTTCAATCCTGCTTTGATGTTCGAAGGCATTACATAAGCGCCTGCCAATTCTATTGCAATGGACGAACGTCGAAGCAATGATGCTATTACGTAGTGTCTACGAAAAGGTGGCGCATGAAGCCTGCAAGCCTGCAGTTTCTGTCAACACCACCCCGCGGGCCTGGTTTGCTGAAACCTTGCAGTCGTGCTGCATTTTGCTCTGGTTTGCCAGCTGAGGCTGCACAATGCCGTGCTTTGATTCTCGAGTTCACGCGACATTTTGTTCCCAATTGAGCGAATGAGTAGCAAACAGCTGGCAAGGTAACGCAACCGCAAAAGCAATCATCCCTTTATTTCCGGTACGGCGGCCGAAGCCTAAGGCCGTCGGATCTTGCAAATTGAGTATGGAATGTCTCTCAACCGTCCGATGCATCAAACTTACATATGAACATCCGATTGGTCCTCATCGCCGCTCCAGACTCAGAGTCATGGCTATTCGCATATTCCTGTACGTACATACCTAGTTGTGCTGCCGAATACCTTATCCAGAGGGCTTGAACCAACCTCTTCCTTTTGAAGCTGCGTTGCTTGAAAGAGTGAGGCGATATTGGAGAAGGGAGTCTCCTTTAATCTGACCCTCAGAAGGTATTTGTCTGCCTCTAGCAGCTAACGACAGTTTTTGGAATTGTAGAACAAGCGGGCCAGCATGGCAAGCGCCAATGTCAACTTCAAGTCGCGCGATGAGCATCGCAAAGCAGTGGAGTTGGAGGAGGCAAGGAAGGCAGGCCTTGCTCCTGCAGAATTGGACGAAGATGGGAAAGAAATCAATCCCCATATTCCCCAGTACATGTCCTCTGCTCCTTGGTACCTGAATCAAAGTGGGCCTGGGTTGAAGCATCAGAAGAATTGGAAAGAGGGGGGCAGCATCAAAAAGCAGTGGTATGACAGAGGGGCGACGACATTTCAAGCGTCCAAGTTTAGGAAAGGGGCCTGCCAAAAGTAAGTTTCGTTACCAGCTCAGAAACAAGCACAGCATCATTGGTTCTTTTATAGTTTTGAGGTCGTGAACAGGTCTACAGAGGACATCTTCAACTCGTTGGTCTTGCACCTTCCTTGCAATTACCTTAAGTACTTTCGTTGTGAAAGCCAGAGATGTATCCAGTTGTATATTTCAATAGTTCGCGTTTCGTGCTTCATGATTGTCTTGTATCAACACCACTTCGTAAATGTGTCCGGAAAGGTTTAAGGTCCACTTGCTGTCTTGCCAGTCATCATTCTTGTCCATTCTTACTAGATCAGCAGGATCGGTAAGCGGCATGATTTTTTGAATTTCAGGAGTTGATTTGGAACAACACTCTCGGGCAGCGCGTCGATCACAATGCCGATTCGTCGTCGGTCGTGGATGCCCTTGTGAGCACATTGTGTTTGTGGGTCAGCAAGCACACAGATGATAGAGAAATGCTTTTGGAACCCAACCTACTCAACCCTATTACAAATGTTGACGCTAGTATGTGCTGAAACCTTGTGCAGCTGTGGTGCCATGACGCATGATTCCAAGCTGTGTCTGGAGCGGCCGCGCAAGCTGGGGGCCGTCCACACCAACAAAAATATCGCCGCGGACGAGAAGGTGGAGGAGATTGAGCTCGACTTCGAGGGGAAGCGGGACCGCTGGAATGGGTACGATCCGAGCACGTATGCCCGGGTGATTGACACGTACCAGAAGCGGGACGAGCTGCGGCAGAAGGTGGTGCGGGAAGAGAAGCTCAAGAAGAAGTTTGCCAAGGCGGCCAATGGGGAAGGGGCCATTGAAAACGGGGAGAAGAAAGACGGGTCGGACAGTGAGAGCGAGAGCGATGAGGAGGGGCAGGATGAGGCCAAGCTGGACGAAAGCAAGCAGATGGATTTCGGCAAGGTGGAGAAGCGCGTGAGGACGACGGGGGGTGGGGCGACGGGCTCGGTCAGGAACCTGAGAATTCGAGAAGACACGGCCAAGTATCTCATCAATTTGGATATAGAATCAGCGTACTACGATCCTAAGACGCGGTCCATGAGGGAGGACCCGAACCCGGAGAAGGCGCCAGAGGAGAAGTTCTTTGCGGGGGACAATGCGTGGCGGGGCAAGGGCGAGGCAGAGCAGTTCAAGCAGCTGAACATCCATGCGTGGGAGGCACTGGAGCATGGGCAGGACATCCATATGCAGGCCACGCCGTCGCAGGCGGAGATGCTGTACAAGGAGTTCAAGGTCAAGAAGGAGAAGCTGAAAGGGGCCACTAAGGAGGCAGTCCTGGCCAAGTATGGAAACGCGGCGGCCGCGGACAAGCCCCCCGATGATCTGCTGCTGGGGCAGACAGAGGCGTTCATCGAGTACGATAGAACGGGGAAGCCGCTGAGGGGTGACAAGATCGTGGTGCCGCGGAGCCGGTATGAGGAGGACGTGCTGATAAACAACCACACTTCGGTGTGGGGATCGTGGTGGAAGGACGGGCAGTGGGGGTACAAGTGCTGCCGGCAGACGATGCGTAACAGCTACTGCACGGGGCAGGCGGGGATAGAGGCGAGCGAGGCAACGGCAGCGCTGATGCAGAGCAACGTGGAAAGGAAGGAAGCGGAGCCAGAGGTGGTGCGCGAGCGTGAGGAGAAGAACACGGCGGCGTGGGGGGAGGACACGCCTGACGATGTGCAACTAGACCGGGAGAAGTTGAAGGACGCGCTCAGGAAAGAGCAGGATAGGGCAAGGGACGTAGAAAGGGACGAGCGAAAGAGGAAGTATAATGTCACGTACAGTAGTGATGTGACGGCAGAGGAGATGGAGGCGTATCGCTTGGTCAAGTCAAGGACAGATGACCCAATGGCGGCCTTCTTAGGAAAAGACGGCGACGTAGAGGACGACATCTAGTGCTGGGATGTTCCTTGGGTAGGAGAACAAAGTCTCGTTGTGTTGTCGTGCTTCTGACAGGATACCTCTCATGCAGTCCAGCTTCGGATGTGTACATCGCCCTGGCATTCAGTCGATAGTGTGCCAAGATATGATGTTGAAGTATCGGGACAGGGCGCATGCCGCCAATCTTGACTTGGAGAGCTTGATAGCGATCGATAAGGGCTAAACGATGGACCCTGTGAGTCACTGTAAAGCCACCAATTTCGGGCCTGCTGAAGCTCGCGGCGATCGATCCGTCTCCTTAGCATGACCTGTCTTCAATGTTCGCCAACCCTTTTTATTACCGCGGCAAGATACCAGGAGCTTTCAATGAGAATATTTTGCAGCTCGATCGATTTTGCACATGCTGCCCGGGTCACTCGTGCAATCGATCTTTAATGCACTCATGCAGACGATCAGGATCCTGGAGTATATCTTCGATTGCATGGCCATATATGATCCCATATGAGCTGACACAAACTTACAGGATTGCACTTGCAACTTGGCAAGTTCGTATATGATGATACAGCATATATCATAAATTTCGTGGCCAGAGCACTAGAGCACACACACAGTCGACGATCGCAATTCTGCAAGCTCTTGCGCCAGAGGGGCATGCGGCTGGAGGGGAAGACCACGTACCGTCACTGTGTAATACAGATTAGCCACGCAGCTATAACAGTAACAATAACAATAACAATATCGATATGAACAATAGTCGTTGGCCAAGCCAACGATCAAAGCTATGCGCATGGCCCTGGCATGCCCATGCAGGGCCGCAGGCTATTCAATTAGGCCCAACTTTAGTACGTACTCAACACATGCTCGGTCTAGGCCTAAAAACTCCCAGAACTTTTGCAATCATCAGGTCATCAGGCGCAGATCCGTTCACTGCGCATCTTAATACACTTGCTTTTGATATGATGAACAACATACCATTCCGCTTTGGCAAAAGAATGTTGAACCGATGACTGGGTGCAGAAAACTTACGACAATCTTTGCACCATCATGTGATTGAAGCAGCATCATGTCACGCCGTTTTAGGCTGTTTCGTTTCTTTAATCAACTCAGATTATTCCCAAGGTCGAGTACTCTCTATATCTATATCTACTGGGAGTTCACTAGGTAACCCGGGACCTTGAATCGAAGGAACAGAATGGCCATCTGATAAGAGAACCAGAAGCCAAACTGCAAACGAAGTTTCAGAAGCATTGAGAACAGCTGCCATGAATGGGCCCACAAGGGTTTGTATGCAGCTGTGCATCACACCATGACATTAGAAAGCAGGCCACTGGGCCTCGACTAAAACTCCTTTCCAGAAAGACCCTGGCAAGGCAGCTCTACCTCAATCACCATACAAAAGATTCACGTCAATCTAGAAGAGCTCAAAAAGCTTACCGCTCCTGCGCCCAGAAAACCAAGCCGAGTGTTCCTGCCTTTGCTCTTGTCCGCCGCTGCGTCAAGAGCTAGGAGCGACACCCCTCCTAGGACAATCATGAAGCCTGCGGAGAGCCCCTCAATGATGTACTGCGAGTTGACACGACCCTCCATGAAAACCACCGGCCGTTGAGCGCCAGTCCGCGGATCCTGAAACAAAGGGAGCGTGCCCCTGATTGGAAAAGAGCATTGTGACAAGCGAGTCAACAGTTTACTAGGAAGGTGGCAGGTTCATCCATCATCAAGTTTGCACCCTTTTGGTGACAGACATCCAAGATTTGCTGATGGGGGCCTGCTCCAGAATAACAATTTTGGGCCTAACGCTCTTCCTTGAAGAAAAGGCAGGCTGCAAGGCTCCCCCTTGCGAAGGGGCTGGGGGCACCCACCTGGATAACGCCCATCCCTGGCGGCTCCTGGATGACATCAAAGACTAGGCCACTGATGACAAAGAAGTAGCTGATGAGGACCAGCGCAAAGACGGTCATAGCACTGGGTAGGCTGACCTGCAGGGGAAGCAATGCGCAGCGTCAAAGCTGGTTCTGGTCCAACAGCTAAGATATTGGAAGCTTGCACCATACCACCACCACCGCAAAACGCTAGCGCACACCTGACAATGTAATATAGACTTGTAAGGATTGGGTGCCATACTTGATCAAACAATTTTGAGAGTATGATAGAATTTAGTTGACGAATTGGTCATGGTGGACATGTATCAAACTTATTTCCCCCCCTTGTTCTTTTTGACTGATAAGGTGTCCAAATACAAGTACTAAAACTCTGCCTCCTCCAATTGCCTGACACACAAATACGTAGGAGGAAAAGCGCAATGCATCTGCAAATGACTTTCTGAAGCTGGAAGAGTGGTGCCAAAACAATATGTGAGCCCGATCGAAGAAGTCAGTGGTGGTGCAGCTTGCCTTTGGAACTCTTAGCCTGAGTTTCGGAGGCCGCAGGAACAGAAAGAGCGGTTGGAGCAGGTAGTAGAACGGATCCATCTCTACAGCAAGCCTACGGAGGAGGAATATGCAAATACGGTCGAAGCTTCTGCCAGCAACAGTCAATGCAGCTCAACAATTCTTCTGTGCCAACTCATTTAGATTATAGCCAATTCATTTGCAGGTTGCAAGCTTGCCGGATGTGCGTCTGCTCTGCTTTGCCCTGAAGCTGTTTGCCTGCGCGCCCTCTCCCTCTGCTCTTGCCTCTGCAACGTTCTTCAGAACCTGCAAAGTTGCCAATTGCCAGCAGCTTGGATTGGCAGCAGCACATTCGCTGTTATAAGCAAAGTAAGGCGTCCTATAAGTGGAGATTACTTTTTATATTATATCAGGGTGACAGTCACACGTCCAACCGGGTATACTTGTATTCCACGGTAAATTCCTCCCTGATTCCAAAAATGCTCTGCCAACATCACTTTCAAAAGGCCCATATTGCCCATTCCTGGCGCAGAAGGCAATTGCCCCAGGGCCAAAGCCACATGTTCTGTCCAGATAGCTACTAGCAGACGGTGGCGGCCAAGGGACAAGTAGGTACTTGCTTGTGAATTGTGTGTCTTCAACTCTAAGCATCACCATGACTTCTGGCCCCGCCCGCACTTCTGGAGCTGCGTATGACAGCTTGTCAAAGAGTGCAGCCAACTATGTCCCCCTTACGCCCCTGAGCTTTCTGCGAAGAACAGCAGCGGTCTTTCCGGAGCGCCTGTCTGTGATCCATGGGCCTCGCAGGTGGCCCCTCCTTCTCAACAGTCTCTGGCTCAATTCTCCTCAGGAAAGGACGATGTAATCTGCTTGTGAATCCTCCATGGTGCAATGTGGTCCAGCCAGCATTTGGTGCAAAGGAAATCGATTCGAGTTTTTGACAAGGTGCTCACAGCATCATCGAGGTGGTGGAATGACCGCTGATTATGTATGGAGAATAAGACCGAAGATCTGGTTACATATGGAGAATGAGACCGAAGATCTTCGGGGACGAAGACCGTTTCAAAATCTGGATAAAATCAGACTCTCTTGTAATGCAGTTCTTCCTGCCTGTTTCCAGCCGTGCAATATTGCCATCGAGTAAACCACCAAACTGGAGAACTGACTCTGACCACGCTCTGACAATCAACCAAGCTTGGACCGTCTGTTACAATCCTTTTCAAACACCAGACTCCATCGGAGCCACTGCTTCTAAGCCCCACTCTGCCCCCCTGCAGGTTCACCTGGGGCGAGACCTACCGCCGGTGCTGCCAGCTGGCGTCCGCATTGCAGAAGCACGGCGTCGGGCAGGGGGACACAGTCGCAGTGGTCGCCCCCAACGTGCCTGCGCTGTACGAGGCGCACTTTGGCGTTGCGATGCTGGGGGCTGTGCTGAATGCCGTCAACATCCGTATGGATGCGCGCATGATTGCGCACTTTCTGACGCACGGCCAGGCAAAGGTCGTCATGGTGGACAGGTGAGTGGGCTTTTTAGGGGGCTTCCTGGGAGAGGAAAAAGAACCACGTGCTTTTGTCGGGGGCTTGAGCGAGACGTGCCTGCTCTGTCAATTACCTGGAAGGCGAGGCTTTTGCATTGACTCTGGTCTTCTTGCTTGTGTACCAAATGTTTTCTTGTAGGTCACTGATTGATGTACTGTGTACAATCACCCAGTCAAAGAGAAGCCCTTTGAAAACCGCACAGCGAGCCTCCTGTCACTTCTGGCGTTCTGCTTCCCTAAAATCACAGCCATGTGATTACAGGGAATTTCTGGGCGTCACTGAGTCTGCCCTGGCACACGCCAGCGAGGCCGACCGCAGCTTCCGCCCATTCGTAGTCGTCATCGACGACGCCACCGCTGACATCACGTGGCCCCCCAACGAGCCATCTTATTGCATCCGGCGATACACAGAGTATGAGGAGCTGCTGGGCCGGGGGGATCCTAACTTTCGGTGGGAGTGGCCGACAGACGAGTGGGCTGCTATCAGCCTGAACTACACCTCAGGGACAACGAGTAATCCGAAGGGCGTGGTGTATCACCACCGGGGGGCGCACCTGAACGCCATCAGCAACGCGCTCGTGTGGAGCATGCCCCAGCACCCCATCTACCTCTGGTAAGGGAGCGAAGTGGTTGAGTTGAGAAAGTGGTGCTTGTGTCAAAAAGTGCATGTCCGTTGAGTGTCTCCTGCTCGCAGTTTTGTTGGTCAGCTTTGTCCACATATCGGTGGAGAGAATCTCTGATGCCACTCTCGGATCTACTCTGGGTCATACGTCCAATTGGGCAATTCGACATGTTTCAAGTTATGCTTTCAAGGCGAAAAGCACGATGACTCTGTCTTAATTCCTGAAAAGCGAATGACGAGCCTCTGTCAAGTGAGACGGCTTTATCATGAGCTAGCTGGCCAGTCTGTCAACCTTGGTTAATCTCCGCAGATTGCCCTTGGCAGGACGCTGCCCCTCTTCCACTGCAACGGCTGGTGCTTCCCCTGGACAGTTGCGCTGCTGGCGGGAACCAACGTCTGCTTACGTAAGGTCAGGGCATTTTCCTCCGTGATTAACATTGATTCCATTCAGTTCATCGATCCCACCACTGGTCCGACCGCATGCGTCTTGAACATCTACAGAGCGAAAGCTTGAAAAGGGACGGGCAACACGATCACTGATGAGCTGCTCTTATCGCCGCAGCCCCACAAATATTTGTGCGCTTGTCGGGTTTGAAAGGCCACCGCAAGCCTTGCGCTCGTCGGAAGCTCAGCAGTCGTCTTCAGGATCGAATGCAAGCAATTGATTGCTGAAACACGAACTCATGACACAGGCTTCAAACCGGTTTTCGAGTCGCATCCCCGTTCTGGCGCAACGTAGGCTCGGAGAATCACTTCCGCAAACTCACACTCTGGAAGTCCTCTAACTCTTTAAGGAAACCCCTTCAAAACCGAGAGCCCGCTAATCTGGATTCGCAACGTTTAACTTCTCCAACCTCAGACGCCTTTTCCGCTTTGCCAGGTCACTGCTGCAAACGTGTACTCTGCCATCGCCCAGCACGGCGTGACCCACTTAAGCGGCGCCCCCACCGTACTGGGGATGTTAGTCAACGCGCCCCCCCAGGAGAAGCGGCCCCTGCCGCATCCGGTGGCCATCATTACGGCAGGCGCGGCGCCCCCGCCAACCATCTTGACCCGGATCGAAGATGCGGGCTTCAAGGTAGGCGGGCAGAGTGTTGCAGTCCGTTACAAAGGAACTATTGCTAAGTTGGCTTGCAGGGGGTTTGGAAAATCCAAGAATGTAACGGAGCTGGTCCTGACCTCCTATGCCGAACGCGGAAAGCTCACAGCTTCATCGAATACCGTAAATAAAGTCGCTGATAAGATACCTCTGCTTTTGTCCTCCGTCAAGAGCTACAAAAGACCCAGTTGACTCGGCCTCCCCTCACCGACTGTGACCTGAGCAGTTGTCCTTCGGTCCTCAAAATACGAAGCGTGGGGACCCAACAGACTTACGCCTCGGCCTACTTCTGCAGGTGACCCACGTGTACGGCCTGACCGAGAGCTACGGCCCTGCGGTGGTGTGCGCGTGGAAGCCGGAGTGGGACTCCCTCCCGGCCACGGAGCAGGCGCGGCTCAAGTCGCGGCAGGGCGTGCCTTACCCCGCGCTCGAAGGCCTCGACGTCCTCGACCCCAAAACCCTAAACCCCGTGCGAGCGGACGGGGAGACGATCGGCGAAGTGATGCTAAGGGGAAACGTGGTCATGAAGGGGTATCTCAAAAACGAGGCGGCGACAACGGAGGCGTTTGAGGGTGGGTGGTTTCACACGGGGGACCTGGGGGTGAAGCACGAGGACGGGTACGTGGAGCTGAAGGACCGGTCGAAGGACATCATCATCTCGGGGGGGGAGAACATCTCGTCCATCCAGGTGAGGCGGTGGCCCCCGCAATTATAAGATGATGACACCTCGGGGAGGTGAGTAGGGATTTAAGCAGGGCTAGCTGCGGGACTGATCCCACGCGATCGAGCGTGCAAGGGCCAGAATCGAGACGTGTGCTGAACTGCGCGCGTGTGTCTGCTCTGTGTCAACTCTTGGTTTCCGTTCGAGCGGGTCAGAGACGAGCTTTGCCGGCTTTCTGTGCGCACAACGTATCCCGTAAGACGCACAAAAGTTGAGATGGGACCGAGAGGAAAAGGTGCTATTGAACCTCGAGAAGCGAGTAGTGGTCCCGTAGGCAGTCTCGACCAGAAGCGACGTTTTCCCAGATTGCAGACGCAAGAACGCGCGTCACAAACTAGTTTTATCCCCTTGCCTTATGCAGGTCGAAGGCATCCTTTTTCAGCACCCTGCCATCCTAGAAGCCGCCGTAGTCGCGAAGCCGCATCCCAAGTGGCTCGAGACGCCGGTCGCTTTTGTGACGCTGCGGGAGGGCAGCGAACGGTGCAGCGAGGCCGAAATCTTGCAATGGTGCCGGGAGAATATGCCCAGATTCATGTGCCCGTCAAGGGTAGTGTTTAAGCCGTTGCCAAAGACTGCGACCGGGAAAGTCCAAAAATACGTGCTGCGCGAAGAAGCTAAGCGGATGCCGGACGCAATAGAGTCTAAGTTGTGAGATATCGGTGGTTCGACCTGATATCATCAGAGCTGCCGTAGTAAGTACGGTCGGATTGCTGTCTTCTGAATTGGCAAAACCCAAATCAAGTCGTCAACCGCTCAATCTCCTTCCATTAAGATGGACCCTTGCCCAGCTTTTGCTTTGCAAGTTTTTCGGAAGTCGTTTTGTAGCGCATAAGTGTATCAGTGAGACTCGAATAAAATCAAATATTTAGAGACCAGGAGAAACAAAACAAGCTCAAAGACGCATTTGCGCCAGATCTATCTAAGTTGGACGTTCAACAGGATGTGAACATATTGTGCGTGTAAGGCGCTGTTACGCAGCGTCACAGGACCACGATAGTCAACGTGTGAACTTGATATGCATGGATTCGACCTCACTCTCCGACTGAGTCCGACCCGCCCCGGCTATGTAAGTTCCTAGTCGACCGTCGAGGCCGCCAGCGGCGGCCGCGGCGGCCCGGCCGCTCATGAACTACGTCGAGAGGCTCATGGCTAGGCTGGCACATGTGCCAGCGCAACGAGTGCCAGTGCAATTCTTTCCGGCCATGTGCAATGATGATATAGTGCACATATGTGCGGCCGGGCGCGGGCCTTGAGCTCTAGGTACGTATACGGTGCCCTCGACAGGCCGCGGGCGCCATGCACGCGTATTCACTGATTACATCAGTGTGCATTATGTGCGGCTCTACATGCGCCATGATGGGCCGGGCCGCTTAATTATGTGCGCCCACGGCGCGGCTATATGCAGTTGCTCCGGCCGTCCGACATGATGCCGGGATCGACCGTCCATTACACATATTGTGGGTGACTCGATTCTTTGCGTTGGAGCATTTAAGGGCATCAGGACAACAAATCGAATTGCTCAGAATACATATGTGGCTAGAGCTAGATTCAGAAGACTTGCGGCCGCAGCTGACTGTAGATCCTATAAAGGCATGAATTATAGCCACATTCCGACTCCAAGCGAGTGGTTCGATGCAGTTCTGAGAGAGTGATCGGACGGTTGGGGTAGGCGGACTGAGCTAGCACTTTGTTACCAATACTGACAGTTTATCTATGATCTACCATATCAATACTTTACATGTTCGCTGAGACGGGTCGGGTCAAGAATCATCGCTGAAGCCAATTACTTCCAGAGGTAGTAGGCCCTATAGAACTTCTTTGTATGTGCGGAATCTGATCAAGCGCTTACCAAGCTTCAAAAGCTCCCTGCTATTCATATGTGACGGACATTGTACCTCATAGCAAGATATCGTTTCTCATCTCTTGGAAGCGCATACGGTCGTACACCAAAGATCGACAGGCACAAAATCAAAATCAATCTCACTATGGCTCTATCGCATACTCGGCTTTTGACGATAGTCTGCTAGCAGCTTTTTCCTGATCGTCAGCACGCCGCATCCATGTACGCAACCAGCAAATCCCCCACCGTTCCTCGATCCGGCATTTTTCCTGCCGCACCGTAGATGGGCGCCATGCCCTGGTCCAACTTGTCGGGCGAGCTCCGCACCTGCAGGACAGCAAACGTGTTACCACAATCAGAAGCACACTCATGACGACCTAGCCGCCCCCTTTGGATTAACCAACTGCAAGCATCAGATGGCCCAGAGTCTGCGCGGGCGGCACAAGTCAAAGCTGGGTGAGGCCGCCACAACGCCGATGGTAAGCAGCGGGTTTCAGTCCAACGGACGGGGTGCCTCTTTCTTGGCAACACGTTCGCTTGGCATGTGTTTATCTGGATTCAAGTCCATAAATGGCTGGGTTTGCTGTGCGGGCTTACGGTTGAGACGTAAGTGAAGCGCGTGAATCGCTGGCATCACGCGATTCCAACCTTCCACGAGCAGATACTGGGGAAGAATCCGACTACATTGGACACGGACATGAGCTGTACCCTCGCTCACCGTCTCGACGGCCTCTGCCAGATCCCGCAGGAACGCATCCACGACGTCCACGTGTTGCAGAGTGACGCAGATGTGCACACTGCACAAACGCAGGAGGTTCTCTTAAGCTGCGGCACAGCTTGTTAAAAATAGACAAAGTCACAGGCAAACCGGTGACGCAGAGCCTCTGTCAATGAAACCTTTTGTCGATAACTTCACTAACCAAGACAATGGAACGCACCAACGAAAAGCGTGGAGCGGGCGTTGCATACGGAGAGCGTCCAAGAGCCAAGTTTTCATGGTGAACTTCTGGGTCTCGTTCAGATCGCAATCCATACGGAGTGAAGGGCGATGCATGCGAGGATCAGAGGAGGTGTTGCGGGTTTGCTGTCGATATCGCGGGTTCGAGTTGATTAGGAGAGGGTGGCTTGAAGACTGTGTGAATCAGAAGGAGCCCTAATTTCCGGCAACCCTGTATAGAGATATTTCTAGGCCTCACCTGGGCGGTCGTTGCAGCGCGTTCAGGCTCCAGCCCTTGGCGGACATGACGTCATTGACCTTGTACACGTCCAGCTCGCGAGAGCCAAAGGCGACGACCGTGACCACAGGATCGCCAAGCACGAATAGGCCGTCGATCGCGTCAATGCTGCATGACAACAAAGAAACGGCATGCCGTCAGCACCAAAAGAGCAACCCGGCAGGCTTGATTGCAAAACGGTCTGATCGGGGGCAAAAGAAAGAAGCACGTTTGAAATCACACACAGGCATCTGCATCGAAATTAAAGTCGGTTGTCTGACTGTCAACAAAGGAGTGTGATCAACGTCGAGCCGGCCTGCAATGGACAATTCAATGTCCTGCTTTGCTCCAGCACCGGGGAAAAGCTCCAATGGGACTCAGAGCACGATGCAACTTGAGGCCCCGCCCAGGGCATCAAGAGCGACGCTGCTTGGACCTTGCTCAAAGCAGAAGCAGCAGAGTCCTGCGATACAGCCCACCCATCCTGGCTTGCTACAGAATCGAACAGGAAGTATTTACCACTTTGAAGTCTAGATTCGTGCATATACCTTGAACCTTCTCGAAAGATGTTTCCATATGCTTTTGGCACGGACTTGTCGCCAGCAATTTGCGCTCACCCTTTCCGGATGGCTTTAGCCGCCTCCATGATCCTCTTGGTCACTTGCAAGTACCCCTCCCGCCCGTTCAGCAACAGCGCCGCCCACGCGGCCGCCTGGAGCCCGCCTGCGCGGCTGCCCGTCGCGGTCGGGGACACGTACAGGCCGCCCGTCCACTCAGTCACTGCAAACACGTCCCAGAGTTGGGGTTCGATTGGTTGCTTTTCGACCAGGATAATTTTAACAAGACTCCTTTGGCCAATTGTTAATCGCTTGACTAGACCAAGGGGCGGCATCTACTCAGTCATGGGAGCAGGGCAGTAGTCACTAGATGCTCAAAACTCGCACTTTGTTTAAGGTCGTCCTGTAGGCGGGTCTCTCGTCAAAATTGGGACTCTTATACCAATCGTGTGGAAACTTTGATATCTCCCAGCCACTCGGAAGAAGAGTGCCTTTTGATTGCGTGAGTTCTTTCCATCTGTGAACCACTTCCGGAGAGTTTAAAAGGGACTCGCGAACGAAACATATCGCTCTTGAGCACGTACCTTCCGCGATTCATGCGAAGCGGTCAAGGGCGACAGTAACTCCAAGAGCAAAACTTGTCCAAGTCCGCTGACTTGTTTGAGTTCTGATTCGACATTGAGCGTTTCCCTAACGATTCAGCTCACCCGCAAGGAACTGGTGGCGGCGCAGCTGTCTGTTTCTGTAGAGGATGAGGCTGTTGCCTTTGGGCGCCAGGCCGTACTTGTGCAGGTCCGCCGAAATGGACGTCACGCCGGGCACGGAAAAGTCGAACGCCGGAATCGGGTACCTAACACAACAGAAATGTCATCAGTAAAAGACGCGGCTGAGGAGCAGACACTTCACAAAAGCACACGGACTGAACCGAACGGGAGAGTGGGCTACGTGGCACAACAACAAGCCTGGTTCTTCAGGGAGGGAGCAAAGGACGCTTCCTAAATGCGGGCCATGACAGTTTTTCGTCCTCGACCTTCTTTCGGTTTCAATCTCTGCTTTTCTGCCCCACACTGCTCACCCGAGCTCGCGCGCGAAGGGGAGCACGAAGCCGCCCAGGCAGCAGTCAACGTGCAGGCATATGCCCTTCTTGAGGGCCAGCCGGCCGAGCGCCTCCACGTCGTCGATCGTGCCGTGGGGGTAGCCCGGAGCAGACGCCACGATCTGGATGAGACGACGCCACTGTCAATCAGCTTGCGACGTTTGCGTGTCCGTTCAGCCCGGGGAATCGAAGCTTGGAAACCCTTTTAATATGGTTTGCCAAGCAGTCGGGTGCGCAACGTACAAAACTCCGTCAATGTCTGACAAGAAGAAGGCCTCAAGGTGGTACCGTTAGCAACGCTTGACGGAAACATTGAACGTCTCTTGAGTTTTCAGTCACAGCGGCCCCAATATTTGACTGGGAGCACGGGCGATGTTGCGTGCTGAATTCCTAGAGTTCCGAGCTAGCCGGGGCGCGGGCGACTTGCCATGACTGTGTTGGCGTTGATGTGGCGCCGGATGGAGGCCACGTCCGCCCGGTAGTCCCGGCCCACTCGCGCTCTCCGCAGCTTGATGCCAAAGTAATGGCACCCCTTGTCGTACGCGGGGTGTGCCGACTCGGCCATCACCCTGAGAAGACGAGAAGAGACTGCTGAACGTATGTGGAAACGGAGTGCATGGCATACACGGGGCGAGGGCGCGCTAATTCTGCCATCACCCTGGGCAGATGAGAAGCAGTCGCTCGAACGGGTGAAGAAACGGAATGCATGGCGAACGGGTCACACACATCTTCATTCGAGCCCCCAGTGGGAACTTGACCGAAAGATGCAACGCATGGGTCCTCAAAGCATCGCCGCGGCACATTGCGACGTTGCTCTCCCCGACCCGGCCTCTGTACAGAAAACTGCTTCACACAACCAGCAGTTTCGCAGAACACGACCGAAGCTGATTCAGCCGGACGGTCCCCGCGAGAGATTCATACGAGAGCCGAAACAAAGGGTTCAACGACGCCTCACAACTCGGGCTGCGTGATGCCCCTGACCGCACGCGCGTAGTCGCGCGCCGTCTTGATCGCCATCAGGATGCTCTCCGTCCCGCCCGTTGTCACGTTCCCGCACACCTGGTCGTCCCCCCCAAAAAGCGACGCGCCCATTGCGACGACCTCTTTCTCAAAGCGCTGCCCGCTGGGGAAGACGTCCGGGTGCAGCGGGTTGGTGTGAGCAAAGAGGCCGTACGCCGCGGTGAGCACGCGCGAGTATTCGTCATACTCGGGGCCGCCCATGTATCTGGAAAAGTAAAAATGAACAATTGTGTCAGACTATTTTTTACCCCTGAAAACAGAAACCAACGGCCTTTATCCTAGGAATGGACTCTCTGATACTGCATTGGGAACGTTGCATTTTGTTGGATTGAATACTAATTGGTCCTCGAAAAATAATGTATGTTCTCACAGCCCACGCAATAAAGAACGGATAAGAGGCAGCCTAGTCGTTTGGAGGCGGGGCGCCTCTGCAACGCCTGCCCCGTTCCCAATCAACGCACTGGTAGCCACAGTTATGCGCTCGCTTGGACCCGTCTGAAACACAACATCAGATAAGTTCCCCACAGGCTGCTCCCGCACTCGAATAGTTGCAAGTTTGTGACGCTCACACTGTTCCGGAGCAGCGGCCCTGCCACTCCTTGTCCTTGCTCTTGATGTCCTGCAGCAACGTCAGCACCTCCTCCTGCGACTTGCCCGCCTTCGGAAGCTCGCGCAGACGGTCGATGCTGGAGTGCTGGAAGCCCTCTGTAATCTTGCTCACCACCTGCGGGTGGAACAGATCATTAGCGAGCCAGGCCAATCTATAGGTTTATTGAAGTGAAGTGCAATACGGCCCTTTGCAGATTGAGCGAGATGGTCAGCGTACTCGTTTGGAACAGCCATCGACCAACTGTATTTGTTCTTCGATGGCACATGGTGACAGGCCGACCATTCTGGCGACCGTCACATTGTTCTGAAAGGATGACTCAGATACACATGAGATTGTCAGACACTGGGCAGTAATCGATGACGCGTGTACTGTACACCGAGTGTGGCTCAACTTTGAGAGCAGTGGTATGTACTGCTTCTAGTGTCCACTTCAGGAGAAAATATCTGTCCAGTTACTATCTCGTGCAAGGCTCTCAAAGACGTGGCAAGAACTTCGGTCAGGGGACTTGTGCAGGTGTCCTCACCTTGTCCTTCTCCTTCTGGATGAAGGCGCCAACGAAAGGGAGGCTCTTGAGCACCCGGAAGGCCACCTTCACAACGGACCCAACAATGCCTGCACATAGTGTATTTCAACTTAGGCAACATCAGGTAGCTTTAGCAGAATACATAGCCTCTGGACCTAATGCTCGATTGCCAGTAAGAAGAAGCCTACATTGACAAGAAGGCTCAATGCTCTACTTTCCTCAGTCCTTGAAAAAGAAGCTGCCCTTACGGTTCCTACTAGATGCAATCACATGCATGGCAAACAGAGCTGAGACAGACACAAAATCCTCACCGTCATCTTGAATGGCAGTCACCACAGCCCTCAGCAGATGGAGCACCTGCTGCAACAGGAGCACTGCGACCACCACGCCAATGACAACCTTGAGGGGCTCCTGAGCCGCCAGCTGTCCATTGAGCTGGTCACGGAGGGTGGACGTGGAGTTTCCCGCATGGTGCCAATGGGTGACCAGTGTGTCTTTCAACTCAGGGGGCAAGTGCTGGGAGAGCAGGGTCCAGGCACGGTGTAGCCCTGCAGGGGAAGGGGGAAAAGAGGGGCTGATTTTTTATCAAAGTAACCACATAAGTGAGATGATCCACAGTTGTATGGAAGGCCACTTTCATTGTTTGTTGGTCCTGCTGCATCAATTATGAAGAACATGCGAGATGAATCTTGGAAGCAAACAATACCTGAGGAGTAAAGCAGGAGGTCCCGCCCAGCAGGATTGAAGCAATTGATGCTGGGGGTTTTAAGTTTGCCCCGACGCTTGGAGGGTCTGAATGCAAGGGCCACCATTCATGATTCCACCTTTCCTGTTACAGCTGCAGCACATTTGAAATCACCAACACTGCTATCCTACGCTAGTCATGAAAACATGCATCTTGCACCCTTTGATAAGGTCTAGTCATGTCCACAGTACCCCCCCTGGTTGGGCGAGGTCTTGATTTTCCACAGCTGCGCACTATCTTACATAAGATTTCGTTGAAAAGCAAAAAGTCAATTCATATAACACGAGAAGAACATTCCTGTTCAATCAGAAAGAGGCTCACCTTTTACACCACCCTCCATCAAGGACTCCTGGCAGCAGCTCTTCATCTCTCCAGTCTTGTTGTTCAGCTAAAAGAAGACCATAACGCCTAGTTTGAGATCTGGCTGGCTGGGCGCACAGCTTTAAGCTGTCAGCTTGAGCGGCTCAAGAATTTCTGCTGAGACACAGCCCTGTGGAAAGGAAAGGGAAAGGAAGATAAAAATGGGGCAGAAGCTCAACGAATCTTGGCACCTAGTGAGGAAGCACACGGAGGGCGTGTATTAACCGTGTCTGGATGCGCCACTTTCCATGGCACCTTCCCAGGCTCTTTCCTTTTGTGGACTTCAACTTCAACTTCAAGTTCAGGTTCAAGTTCAACGATGCCATGGCCCATGCATGACCTTGATGCTCAAATAAACGTTGTGCAGACAGAACCTCCAAGAGCTTTCCGGGAGTAGCAGGAAGAAGGCCCAGGTCCGAAACTTTCTAAGAGTCCTGGTCGGATCGTGTCATCTTGCAAGCAATCCTCGGCGCACTTCAGCACTTCAGTTCCTGCTAGCAAGTCCCAGGAGGGCGGGTGTGGAGAATAGCGGACAAAATTCCTGATCTCAGGAACCTTTCCCGATCTCAGGACCGGCGACACTTGTAATACGTACCGTACGACTCCGCCGGTCGTGGACAAAGAATCTGGGCCCTTATCTTTGTATTGAATTTGCATCGAACGGCTTCGATCGTTTTCCGATGATCACCGGGCGGCCGCGTAAAATTCGGAGACAATGTAAGAGGGGTTCCTCTACAGGGGAGACCTGAACCCCCGGCGGTTGTGTCCTCAGATCCGGAATGTCCTGTTATCCGGAACCTGAGATCAACTTCTGTACGCTATTCTCCACACCCGCCCTCCCCAGCTCTGGCAGTGGCGGTCGAGACGCCCTGGCATAGAGTAGGTAGTAGGGCGCCACGCCGCCAGTACGCCACAGTGAATTGCCCTCGTCTGCTGCGACCACCTCGAGGAGTCGGTGGCTTGAGAAGGCATGGCCCGTGACCTGTCAGAAGAGGAAGAGGATGCGCAGCAATTGAAACTGGGGGGTGGTAAGTTCTGCGAGAGTGGGCGGTGCTCGCTGAAATTTCTCATTCAGGTTTTGCAGAAGGTGATGCATTCTTCTTTTCTTGATGTCTTATCCGTGATGACACACTTTTTCATCCGGTCCCCCACTCTTATCTGCAGGGTTTCAGCGCGCGCAATGCCTTTTAAATGCGGAAGTGATTGGCATTCTGGAGCAACGACAGCATCTAGAGGAGAATAACAACCAGGAGTTCACCCCCACCCCGTAAGTTGCCCAGATTTCCGTGATTGCGTTTGCGTGCTCTGCTTGTAACGTTCTAGAGGGTGCCCCTGATCCTTCTGTCTTTGTCTCAGTCTGCAGTTGCAATGACTGGGCGGGTCCAGTTGCCCCCTTTGGTATTATAGACTCTGCATCAACCGCTCTCATTTGTTTTTCAGACAATTGTATCATGTGCAACACCTTCTGAGCCAATCGCTCTATATCTTGCGATGCTTCTGCCAACATCTGATCACATATCGTCCACGCTTGCAGTGTCTTTGACAAGTCACTGGAGTACGCAAAGCGCTTCCGGAAGTACAACAATCTGGCGGCAGCAACTGAGGCTAGGAAGTGAGCGACCCCATTCCCTTCAGCTTGCTTTTAACAAGTACTTGACATAGAAGGACAGTATGCCATGGTTGGTGATCAAAGAAGTTTGCAGGACAGACCAGTGTTCTTCTCTTGGTGTGCCCCTGATGGGGTGTTCTGACCGAATTTACTGTGCGCTCCCATAGAGCCGATAGAGAGAATGGATCTTCAAATGGTTGGATTCATCTCATTGACACAGCCGCTATGAGTGCTCACCAAACATATTTCAGGAAGTCTCTGAAGACCGACTAGCTACCAGCCACATCGCTTGAGTATTGATGTTAAGAATGACTTGCAGGCTGATCTTTTGATTAATCTGGATATGGCTTTTTGTCTGCAGAGAGCTCATGAACAGGAACCTGGAGCAGTTCGAGATTTGTGTGATCGGCAACCTCTGCCCAGTCTCAGCTGCTGAGGCCAAAGCTATTCAAGCATCGCTGCCGGTGAGTCTCACAATGCAATCCAGAAGGCACGAATTTGCAAGGTGGTTCATTGTATCTAGCAGAATCGAACGAAAAGAACGAAAAGAATGCTTTCAATGCAGCGGTTGTTGCCATCGTGTTGGCTTTAGGACGACCACTTCTGGCAACCTGTCAATGGTTCTATGAGAGGGATCGGGCTTGGAACGAGTTTGCTGGATCTGGAGTTCTCTTGCTGTTGCTTCACGGAACCATCAGGCAGCTTCTTGGCCCGTGTCATCCTTGGTTCTTCAAAGCCTGGATTTCAGCAAATCTGAATGGTGTTTAACATCTGAATATGCATTCTGAACAGGATCCCTATCGGAAGGACAAAGAGGGTCATCCGGACCCACTGAGCGAGGACGACATCGAAAAGTTGCTGACTGATATAGCGCACATCAGGCGCTTCAACAACTAGGTCGATGTCGGATACAATTTTCGATTTGGGCTTCGCACAAGGCCCTGCAGGTTGAGTGTCCCAAGCAGCGGCTTTGATGGACGCAAGAGCTAGATACCCAGGCTTCACTAAGCAATGACACGTAGATGTAGCGCACGCACATATGTCAAACTCACCTCTTGTGTGAGGATCGTTGGAATATTTGCATTCGAGCTTGAGGTGTTGTTACTGAGTCAGTGTCGGAAATGAACTGAACTTCGTCTTTCAAATCTACTGTAATGATGAGCGCGTCCAGAGCTAGATATCGCCTGTAAGCTCCGCGTGTGCACATGCAACCAAAAAGTAGTCGAGTCAATCAAATCTGTATGTACGCATATTGCTGCATATAAGTGAACCGTCCACCGAAAATATAAGTGACGGTTTCTGACTCACATGCATGCTTGAATTGCCGGCCCATGGCATATTGCAATGATCATGGGCGGCCGCCGATGCGTGACGCGGCACGCATGACCATATATCACTAGCTAGTCCGACATTTAAGTCAGCGGTCACTGACAAGCGTTTGTCAGTAATATGCACATGTGCCATGCCACCGATGTACTCGAATCATGCTGCATATGAAGACATGTGCAGGTGCCGCTTTCAATCTGCATGAACATATACAAAATAATAAACAACTATGCTAGCTTGATCCTCTAGTTGTCGGAGACTTACAGCACGTGCAGCTATAATTGCAAACAATCACAGTGCCCTAGCTATAGTGGCAGGCAGATGATGACGGCCGTTAGGCAGCAACTAGGCTCCATGCCGCCACATTTGTTGGATGAGTGACTCAATCAGCAGTGATCATGCCGAGATCGCGCGCACATCCCTTTCTCCAAACGGACAATACATCCGCCAAATAGACAATACCTGCAGAGCCGGCCCATGAACCAAAGATACAGGTAGACAGGAGCGCATGCTGTCCTGAGCACTTTCACGTGTCCAAACATGCCAGCGCAGCCAGGAACACTGCCGGGCCAAGCTTTCAAATCACCAGGGTTGGGGCGGGTCTAGGCGGCCTCAGTTTGATGGAAGCGATGATCGACTGTATGGAAGGGGGTGATTCTGGGGACCCAAGCGAGGGTGGGGAAAGAAGCCTAGCAGGGGGGCGAGAGGCCTTGCTTAAGTGTGCGCCTATTCTGCTTTCCCCCTCCTCGTTCCACGGCAACGAGAGCTTTGGCACCGCCCAGTCGGCGCTCTCTTCCTCGTCATCGGATACTAGATCTATGAAAGGATTGCTTGCTTCCTCTTGACTTCGGTCACGCCTGCTCACACTTTCCGTCAAAAGTTGCCCATCATTGTCGCCCCATGTGCTTCGCCGGCAAAACTTTTCACCGTCTGTCGACCTCTCCAACTCCGCTAGATCCAAGGAACCGGTATCACTTCCGCTCCGCCCCGTGCTTTTCGTTGCCGTCCGTTCGGTGCTCCTCCCGCATCCGCCCCTCCCAACACCTTCGCGCAACTCTTTCCCCCTGCTGGCACCAACAATTCGCGGATCCGTGCACTGCGCTTGAGTGACGGACGTCGGCCTTGAAATTCGTTCCTGTACCCCTCGCCAAGAAAAGTTCGCCTCGGTTTCTTCGTCCGACAGCGAGCCCCAATCGCAGGTTTCTACCGTTTCGTGCCGTCGTCTTCTTTCTTCTATCTTCGAGGCGGCTGCCGCGCTCAAAGCCCGATCTGCTGGTCGCCCCGTCAGACGCAGCTCCGCCAGATCAAGGCATGAGTCCTCATTGGTGTGGTTTGCGGCAGGGCGCACGTTCTCGGGGAGTGGTGCTAATACCGCCGACAAAGCATCCGACGCAGACGTACTCCGCCTGCGCGCAATCTTTCGAGCCCCTGACGACTTCTTCTTGCGCAACTTCTCTGCTGTCTCCGCATCCTTGAAGCTGTTCACTTCGTTCGGAAAAGCTCTGCAGGAACGGAAAAACTGATTCATACTTTTCACCGAAAACCTGAAGCGGTCCCGCGTTTTCACAAGAGACGCAAAATCGTCAAGAGCGGAACATGTCACGAAATTTCCTTCGGAGCTTGCCAAGTGGAGACGCGAGAGCTTCCTTGGGCCGCCAGTCAGGACGGCTGCGGCGGAGAACGACAGCTCACTAACACGTAGTTTGAGCTTCAAGCGTGGACATTTCGAGGTGATCAGTTGGAGCATTATGAACCCGCGCAGGTAGGCAGGACAGAGAAGAAACTCGGACTCACCTCTCCAGCAGGCCTGCGGGCACCGTGGTAGTGTCGATCGCCGGACTGCCCTCCCAGGATACCTCGTAGCTGCGGACGTGCTTCACTGTGCGTGCCTTCAAGATTTGCTTTAACGAGTACTGCAGGGGCCGCATAGTCGCCGCCTGTAGCAAGAGCAGGGACGGTTGGCTTTTCGAAGAGATGTAAACGGGCAAGCTTTCACTGCGAGCAGAAACGTCCCGAGCCGCCCAAAGGTTGTGTCGGCAAGCAATTAAGACTGCGGTTGCAGAGATTGACTAGCAGACTACTTGGCGCTTCCTCCAGCCAAGTTCCTAGCTCGTTCCGCTTGATTACTTTGATGATTCTAGGCGAAAATGCAAATGCTTTCGGATTTTGCGTCGACTTATCGAGAGCGGCGTCTGGCACGTGACACGTGGCTTTCAAGACGACACAACGACATGCCACGCACGGTCTGCCGCAGCTCAGCACAGCAGCGCTTCGACGCGAGTGTCAACGCCATCACCACTTCCTCTTTCAGCGCGACTGTTGGAAGACCGGCTTCATACACCGGAATCCGTTTCCAGGCGAGGCATCGTCAAACTTATGACGTACGTTTTAGCAAATTCCTAACGGACTACACAGATGATGAAAGCAGCCCACGTGTCAGACACTGTCCACCCTCCCGAAGAACGCCATCACGACTTGAAGCTATCCTACAGTTCCGTGCAACTCGGTTGACGGGCTCACCGGTTCCACAGGCAGGGGATTGCGGTGCGGCCGCGCGGCTCGCTGCCTGAGGCACCTCTCCGCCAGCTTCGGTAAAATGAAGGACTCTGACACGGGCACCAAACGACAGCTTTTAGGGTCAGCCCACGTGACTCCCAGAAGTTTCCAAGCCGACAGCCATTGACTGTCTCAGTTCCAGGAATCTGATTTTGACTGCGCCGTTTGAGATTAGAACAAGAAGAAAACGGAAGGTACGGTACGGCTGAGGGTGTCAACATGCAGTAATGCAATCAGACTTAGGGCAAAAGCCTGCCGTCCCAACAAAGAGCATGTACCGGAAGCAAGAAACTGCGGATTCAGAGGCCCGTGCTGCTCACTGGTCTTGTCGGGCTCCCAGTCGAGGTACCGCTGCATCAAGTCTATGAGGGAGTCCAACTGCAGCTCCATGCTTTGCTGAAGCGCTCTGTTTCACAAGCAATCGCCATGTGTCAACCAGTCGCTTATGATCCGTTGACCAGAGGTAAGAAGAGAAGGGGTTTTTCTAGAAAGCTTGCTCAGGATGAGAAAGGTGGGCGGCAACACGACACATAAGCGAACAATCATTATCTTGTCTTACTCCGCGATGCCCAGTGGTTCGACATCGCTTTACACGTCAGGAGAAGCTTGAAGAAGACGAAGACGGGAAATTACGACCGCTCCCGGGCCTCCTTACCTGGTGACAATGTCTGAGGTGGGCGCGTGCACTTTGGGCTCCAGGAAGGCCTTGATCACAGTCGCGATTGCCGCATCGTCAATCTGGGACGGGTCGCCTGGGACAAAGCAAGTGTCAACCTTTAGGCACCTTCCTCCCGCATTCGTATCACAAGCGCAGCAATGAGAGCCCTTCCAGATCCTGGCAAATACCTTTCTAGTCCAGCCTTGTTTAGGACGCTTGTGGTGCTCCAATCGGTCTCTGCTTTCGACATCAATCTCTACCGGCTGAAGTTGCAATCTGCCCATGAAAGAAGCACTGACGGACGGCATAGGGTTCGCACCTGGAGGTTCGGCCCCTTCTGTTGCGCGCCCCGCCTTAGCTTTCGAGTTTTTGGGCCGCCCTTCGTCGAGAACGGCCTGCACGCCGTCTCGTAAGATGGTCTTGAGGACCTGCGTCTCGCCCAGCTGCGCAACTAGACGCGTCGCCTTTTGTACGCCGACGCCCTTCACCCCGTCGTGGTAGTCAGAGCCCAAAAAGACGCCGAGAGCAATCTGCACACACGAGCATCTGTGTTAAACGCCACTTGAAAGCGAAAGTGGACGGATGCATCCGCATCAGAGCCATATCACCTAAGTCTCACTCTAAAGTGGCTCCGCAAAACCAGGTGATACCAAAATTGCGACGACAGCGGATTCGGCATAACGCTCTAAGCTGTCGCCAAAGCCAAATGAGTTGTTTGCTTTCGCTCGTAATGACCTCATCTACCCATCCGCTTCTTTCTTACGAGTGTCAAGACACGAGCCGGCCGCTCGAGAACGTAGAGGACACTTTATCTAATGCAAACATTTTCTTTTGACAGAAAATTGATAACAGTTGGGCCTGCAGAACGAGGCTTTTTCCTTGAAAGGATCGACTTTCAATCTGCACTCTTTGCAGCGCGTGCGCCACAGCTGGTGCCCTTCTTACCAAAGAGTTCCTGCCGAAGCCGAGCTTGTCTAGAACGGCCGTACTGGTACACGCCTCAACGACACCGTCGCACCCTGTACGGGAGACGTCTGGCACGACGTGAGAAGCTCGGAAGGGGTGTACTTTAATTTGTCCTACTGGCCTCAATCCCACGAGTCTATTTGTGGATGAAAGTGAAGCGTCAAGATTCCTCAGAAAGACGAATCCAACCCGTGCAGGAGTAGCAAGACAGTCTACCCTTCCAACCGCGCTCTATTTCGAGCTCCGCCTCAGCTGCGTGGGTCGGCGTGTCCCAAACGGCCCACAAGTCACGGACGACGAGATGGTGATATATGCCTTTCAATACGGCAAGCTGGTTCGGGAAAGAAATGTGAGACTAAGAAATGCATAAAGGCGCACCTGACTGCCCGTCCAGCTTGAAGGTGCGGTACACCTTGAGTGCCCCAAACAAAAAGGCGTCCGAGTCCGTTGTGATGCAGGCGTCCTGCGCAAGATGCATCGAGTCTGGCGCAAAACTGCAGTCGCTCAGAACACGCAAGATGACGACAAGCAAGGGTCTTTCAAGAACTTTACAGACAAGCCAAGAAATCACTCGAATGTTAGGAAGCCAAAAGATTTGGAGAGACAAGAAAGCGCTAGATCAAACTGCAGACAGCTTGCGACTCCCGAATGATGTTGAAGTTTTTGGCTTAGATTACGACCCCAGTAGCGATCATGTAGCGGAGCACTTACGAAAAGTCCAGCCGCGTTCAGGACCGCGCACTGCGCCTCAGCATCAAGTGTGCTGCACGACATATGAGGCGGGGAAGAAGTAAGCGTCGGAGCAGCGTCTTTCGGACTTGATGGTTGCACGAAGAAAGAATACTGACAGGTGTCAAGAAGTACACCGTGGTCAAGCAGGTGGCGAAACTCAGAAGACTTGAGCGTGAACGAACTTGCTTTCCATGTTTGTCAGCCCATCTGTTTTTTCAAAGAAAGCGAGGTTGACTGCTTGTAACAGATCCCAAACCGTCATACCGTGTTTGAGGCGCATGTCAAGCAGAATCTGACAAGCGTGAGGACTGGAATAGAGGCCATCAGCATCTGGGACGACCTTGAAAATCTGTCTAACAAAAGCTGGTCAAACTACAATCTGCCTGGTATTCAAACCAAACCCCAATCAACAAGCGTAACCAAGCTAGTTCTCACCTGCGGATACAGGGAATGCCCATTGCCTCGCAGAGGCGGATTGCCTCTTGCACTTTGCGGCCGAAGTGAGAGTGCTGCGGCCGTTTTGATGCTGCCCCCCCAGCGTACCGCTCCGCACTGGCCTTGTCCTTTTGCTGCTGGGACAGGGGGCCTTGCAATCGGGCGGTCACGGTGGGCCTCTTCAACTGGTCGAAGTCACCATCTGTTGTACAATGAAGTTATTATGAAGGTGTCAACCCCAGTGCGGTCTCAATCACTAGAAGTTTCATGTGAGCCTGGGCCCCATTGTGAAGCTGCGCACGCCAGCTTCGTCTTCTCCCAGCTGCTTCGATTGGTGCTGGTTGATTTGTGTAAAGTGCCAGGGCAATTGGCTGGGCATCTGTGTCCCTTGTTCTGAGTACGTGCTCTGCTAGCTGATTTTCGGACAGGTCTTGGACAATTGCACAACCCAAGTGCGCATCTGAAGGGTTCCAATACTATACTGCGACATGCAAAAGGACAGTTCCAATGTGGATATCGAGGAGGGGATACATATTCCCATATGTTAGCAATGACGCGTACACCGGACCTCTCACCCTGCTCTCCCTATCCCCAAATTGGATTCTTTGGTGAGCTAAGCCGTTGAGTTTGTTAAGGGTCCTGCACTTCCTTGGACCTTTTGCTGTGCTGTGCTCAAAAAACCCACAGTTTTTCTTCTAACATCCGAAAAGGAGCTAAGAGGGGGCCCCTTCGCATGAACTCAGAGCAGTCACTTCACCTGCCACGCAGACAACGATGCAATTGAGGGCCAGGAGAGCCCGCAGGCGGTGGAAGATGCCCTGGAGGTGAAGGTGGGGCTGCCAGCGGGCGTGCACCCCCGGCATGCGGTGCCCGCAGCACTCCACGATCCAGCAGGACAGGTCCACCACAACGCGCTGGTTCCTGCAATACAGAGGGTGCAAGAAGAGTCGACGAACCAGCTGGAGCTCACCAGTTCGGTCTTGAAGGATGCAGCGCTTCTGGTCACAACCAGACAGTCTGGAGGATGAAGCTACTCTCATTGTCTATTTGGAGAGGGCTACGCACTGCTAGAGAGATCGCCAATTCTTTACAAGCAAGAGGGGCGTCGATTGTGACCATAGCAGAATCTACAGAACCAGATACATACTATTGAGAGTCCTCTCTGCTTCCGGTCAGGGAGACAAATTGACTCCGCAGTACTAACAGCATCAGAAGGATAGAAATGGTGAATGACTTACTCGATGGCCCCAAGTGGCAAAGCACAAGTTGCTGGCTGCAATATCGTCCACAGTTGATGGACACCCATACTGATGCTTGCGCTGGACCTCGCCTGGTATTTGTGTAATGCTATGGCTATGTCTGGCCGTGCTTATCTGAGTTCGGATTGACTGTATGAACAGCTGAGCTAAGTTTAGAGTCTTTTCCTTAAGGGTTGCGGCACTGTAGACCTAGCATTGTTGACTGTTGCCTAGCATTGCGTCTTTAGAAAGCCCTCAGTATTGCAACAAGAGTACAAATAGGAATGTTGTAGACCTCAACCTTTCCTGCTAGGTATTCTAACTACAGTATCCATTCAGACTAGCTCTTTGGGCAGCATACTGTATATCGCCAGGCACGAAAGCCCATCAGTACGTGACAAAAAGGCCTTTTCTGTTTCTGGACAGTGCATGCTGTCATGGCACATGGTGGGCATGTACCTAACTCACGAAAAGCACCGTACCATACCAATCAACACACAGGCTGCAGCTGAGCTAGCTCGCTGCTTCAGTGCAAGATTCTTTGCCTAGCCCTGGCCAAAAAGGTACGAGTCAGGACTAGGTAGGTACCGTACGTACTATTAGATTCAGAAGTTCAGAACACAAATTTGAAAGGGCCTGAGGACGGTTCAAAAGCAGTGATGAGCACTTTTGTCCGTCAGATTTGAGCTACGTCCTCATCGACCGCTCGAATCAGCGTACTAGGTTTGTGCGCGCACCCAACAGGCATCCAAACAGCTGCGATCCCGACGCGGCCGAATAGGGAGCCTTTGGGCTGCATGTAGGTAGGTATGACAGAGACATTCTCAGCCCTAGCAGCTGAGCAGCTGCATGGGCTAATAGCAGCTACCGTTGTGGTCACTGTCACTCTATACATGTACTTACTACGTAGTAGTACGTAGTACGTACGTGTATAGAGTGACAGTGACCACACACGTTCCAGCATTTGAACGAAGCATGGAATCAAGCTTCAAGCGGGATTCGAGAGGTAGGTAGGACGCGTGCGCATGCGGATCAGGAACTCCGCAAATCTTGATTACTTGAAGGCTGACTCAAGGGCAGGCGGCTAGCCTGGCCCGGAATTAAGGGGCTGCATGCAGCTCTACAGAAGGCGCGGCGCGGCCAGACCGATCAGCCCCCTCCAAAGATCTGAGGTCGGATCACTATATATTCAGCTATAGCTAGGTATAAGTCACTATTCAGTGTTGGCACTAGTTGAATTCCGTATACCATGAAATGCTATTGTTTCTTAATCTTACGTATAGTAGCCAAATTGGCAGTCCGACCTAGGTGGTCTTTGAGCTCTAGTATAGTGGATCGCAGAAGTATCAATTCATGCATGGCTAGTAGCTAGCTTACAGCCGGCCGGCCAGGGTCACTCATGCAGTGTCAAATAAGGGTACCACCGTCCGATCGCTGTCACAAAAACTTGCCGGGACGGCAAGCCTGTATAGTACGCACTGACATCGAATGCATTTGAATAGCTCGACCTTGACGTGGCAACCGTTTGGTATATGAACAGGCTCCAAGCCTGTCGATCCTACCCGTTTGATCGGTAGTTGCCCATGGCCGCCTTAGTACAGCTCTCAAGGTGTCATCAAATCATCACACAAAGGTTATGATCAGACACAGCACTAGCTCGTATACGTATACAATTGACATCCAATTTGAACCCAAAAGCGCCCCCTGTTGATACCTTACACGAATAACTATACATAAGTGCACGATGACCTCCGCCCGATTGTTGCAAAGCTACGTTGAAGCAACAGGTTGCGCTAGCACAATTCCATGTCATACTGTACTTGGGACACTGTCTATTTCTGGTCTGTCTAAGCTAAGCTTGTCAGCATAAGGGTTCTCATACTCGAAGCTGAGAAAGTGCTTCAAACGGATCGAGGTTCCTCGACTGCGGCTGCTGTCTCGACGAGCTTTGCTGGCCCTTCCCGTTCATGGGGAGGGGAACGGTCGCAGCTGGCGGGTCGAACACGCTGGTAGGCGCGTCGAAGAGACTGTCTCTGGCTGGACTCGCTGTAGCGCTCCTCGGCGCTGATCCTGCATCGTCGAACGACTGCCACGAGCTGGAGGCAGGTAGGTTGGCGAATGAGTTGGAGGGAGAGACTCCAGTACTTGACGGGCGCGACAGCGGTTTCTCTGCTCTGGACGGCGGGGGGGAGAGGGAGGCAGCCCGGGCAGACGCAGGGTTATCAACCCGGTTCCAGAACGAACCGGCCGGGGGAGGAGTGTGCGAGGCCACGGGAGATGCAAAAGACCGCCGGCCCCCCGGCTGCCTGTCCTCATCTTTGACCAGGCCAACCACGGGGCTTGACGCCTGCACAGGAGCCGGCACAAAACGTGAGAAGCAGACTCAGTATCGGTTAACCTGATCACCGGTTAATGTGCGGGCACCTTTAAGTGACGGAGGCTGCTAGTTGGAAGCACGGAAGGAAGTTCCGAGCGTTCAAGTCGGTAACTCGTAGATCACACACTGAAGGATAAACCTTTGTAGCTCTTCATCAAGCGCTTCACATGCGTTGAACCAATGTCCTGGCACGGCTCTCACCTAAAAATCATTCATCAGGACACGTGTTAGCTGCCGCAGAACTAGACCCAGTTCTGCGGCACGGGTGCCGTATTCAAAGTAAGGCCCGTCAAGAATACTTCACAGCACTGTCCACTATTGCAACAGCACATGAACAAATCATCCTCCCACCTGCATCTCTTTGATCTGGTCCTGCAGCGCCCGAATGATGAACTCCATCTTGCTGCACCGCTCCGCCAGATACGCCTTCTCGTCCAGCACCTTGCGCAGCTCCTCCCGGACCCTCTCCAGCTCCGCCGCCATCGCTTGCCCGCCCTCACTCGGCGTCCGCGGCCGACCGGGCACCCCAACCGGCCCCTGCGCGGGACCGTTTGCTGACACGCTGCTCCGCCCCGGTTGATTCGTGCTCCGGGAACCGGCCGGCGACTCGCCTGTGAATGGTGCAAAGCCCTGCGGTTCTCTGGTCTCAAAGGCCGCGAAAGCAGAAGGCTGCGCAGACGGGGCTTGGGGGGGTGGGAGGCGCGGAGATGGGGCCCGTTCGTGCGAAGGCCCGCGGGAGTGCACCGGTTTCCCCTGGGCTGGCTCGTGGATCGAGTCCACGTCATCATCCAGGCGACCGTCAGGGCCGGCTTTCATGAACCCGATCTCGGAGCTGTCGTCAAAGCCTGACCGCTCGTGACCGGTGGCGCTTGCAATCTTGCTCGTGAGGGTGCCCTTCACGCTTTTGAGCATGTCGGCAGCGGCCCCCGTCTTCTTCAGGAAGGTGCTTTTGAGGCTGGCAGACTCCTTGGGCTGGGCCTCCGGTTGTGGGGATGGTGGCCGGAGCTGCAGCATAAGAAACTTCTCAAATCGACGAACTGCTTGCCTGCATAATCAATGACGAAGGAGGACCGGCAAACAGATGTTACAAGCAGTACCATGCCTTCAAGCAACCGTGATTTGTCCCCTCTATCTGCGCTTTAACAGGAGCATTGCCCAGTCTGCTGATGCAAGCTTAAGCAAATACCGATTCCGTTCAGGTACGATCTTCGAGGAAGAAACTACCTGCCTGTCACCATAGAAGCATCCTCGTGACGCACGAGTATCTGATAAGTGCCTGGGCCCTGACCTGTCCAAGGGTCTCCTCCACAGAGGCGGAAAGTTTTCTGGGGCTGTCTGGCGGGCTGCCCCCAAGGGTCTGTCCTGTCGCAGGTGCAGAGGGTCCACTGGTGGAAGTGGCAGAGTCCCCAAACTTGGCCCAGAAAGCGCCACCGCTTGCGGCACTTCCGCTGGGGCCACTAGGAGCTGGTCGTGCGGGAGGGGCCGGGGCGGCACGGGCGGGCTTCGGAGCTGCCACAAAGCAGTGCACTGGTAAGAGACAAGCTTGAGGCCCCAGGTGAGCAATGCCGTCTCAGCACCTCCTGTAACGGTAAACCTTTGGATCGTCAAGTCTCCAAACGCACTGAACAAACGGCCTGTGGCCAATGGATAGAGAAACAGAATGGTCTAGAATATTTCCAGTTTTGCCATCTCAAAATGATAATAAGAATTCTGATTGCAGGAAGGAGATGAAGGAGTCTGGAGTACCTTGCTCTGTGCTCCTTGTGCTGGGGCCGGCAGTCTTAGCCGCCATGGGCGCTTTCTCTGGCGCAGGCTTCCGGGCTGCCTGCGGAAGCAACTCGTTTACAGTACGCCAGACCTGCAAGGAAGAGAAGCCTCATTCAATCGAGTCCTACGCTCATTGCGGCAGGTCACAATCTACTCATATCTGGCTGGACACAGGACCAAAATTATGGCTTCTGAACATATGAGCAGGCACTTCCCTTGAGGAGCACTATCCAGGGCTCCTCGAGTAGGATATCAAGCTACGGGGAACGTGTTGGCTGCGGATGCAAGATTTGTTTCAGAGGGCGAGGTCCAGTTGGTGAAAACGTACCCGGCCAACATCAGGCCTCTTGCCAGGTTCCGCAGAGAGCATATCCTTGATCAGGCTGATCAGTCCAGGAGTATACTTTGGCGAGTCTGGTATCCGGTAGTTGCCGTTTAGGATTTGCAATTTGGACTCCCCATCAAATGCGGACTTGAAGAATGCCATCCTATAAAGAAGGCACCCCAAGGCCTGCAGAAAAGACAAGAAAAAGTTGTTGTAAAGATTGGTGCAACAGTCGTCTGCCAACAACCCTCTTTGACAGAAAAAACTCATTCACATCCTCAGCCACTGGTCGCCGCAGAAAATGGTCAATGCAATTGTGTTCTCACCCCCTCTCCTTGACTGATGGCCATCAAAGAGAAAGGAACTCCAAGAGCTGAGACAAGGGCTGCCAGAGTACTGGACATTTTGGCCTCAGGTTGCTTTGTTCATGAACAGAAAGTTTTCATCAGACGCTGTGCAGCAACTATTTTTCAGCGTTAGTCAATCTTCAATGCTCTTTTAACTCAGATGGAAGACTCACCCATATGTCCACTTTCTCTGAAATTAGTTCTCGTCGGTAGAGGTCCCACATCTGCGAATGAGAATCAGATCCTGTTAAGCTGGATTCACAAGAAAATTGCAAGATTTCAATCCATACAGAGGAATGCGAGGCAAATGGCTCCTGCAGACCAGAAGTACGCTGCAATCCATAGCTAAAATGCCCTCACCTCAGGAGCACGGTATGCTGGAGTCGTATGCTTCCTGATATTATCTTCCTCTTGGCCCATCTCCCGCTCTGTTTCGAAGCGTTTGTGATTCGTAGAGCACGAACCGAAGTCGCACAATTTCCATGCCCCTTCCCCAGCCAGCAAGACGTTTTCTGCTTTCAGGTCCCTGATGCAGGAGACAGATACAGCCAATTGTTACTTGTTAAGTCCGAAAGAGGCCTCAAGTAGGAAGGGAGCTCAACCGGGGACCGCAAGGATTGCAACACAATGCTTTTGATCACTATAAGAAGAAACTTCAGATTAGGGTTTCAGACACTGCAGTGTCTTCAGACCCAATTCAATGATGGACAGGAGCTTGTGTCATGCATCTCTAACTCACCTGTGTGCAACTGGTGGACTCTGGCAATGCATTGCATAGACAGCATTGCAGACGTCCCGGAAGATCATCAACACCTGCTGCTCATTGAAGAACTGCCCCTTGCTCGCAAGATTATCCATCACATGGACAAGCATGTTATCGCAGTAGTCTAAAAGCAGGAAGCACTCTTTGCCTCCCGTGGCAGGAGTGTCCTGGAATGAATGTGCATGAAGTGCAACAACGTTGGGATGGCCTCGAAGCTGCAGCATTATGTTTATCTCCTTCTGGACTAGATCATATGTATCCTTATCTCGAATAACCAAATGTTTCAACGCAAACAGCCTTCCTCCTGCCATGCACTTATACACAACAGAAAAGCCTCCCTGTGCTATTGTCTTCTGCACTTGCACCTTCATGTTCCCAACATCTACTATTCGACCTTCAAGGCCCCCGGACTCCTTCGGAAGGAGTCCCTTAAGGCGCCACATGACTATGCGGAAGAATAACAAATGCAACAAGGCAGGGACAAAGGAGTGAAGAAGGTTCCAGCAGAAGCCCAATCTATCTCCTTCCTCAATCCCCCCTGGCTACTCCTACGCCCTACAACTGTACAGCGCTACAGGGGCGCACAAGTACGCTGCAGCCTGCACACACCAAGTCCTTTGATACTGAACCTGAATGCGGCTGTCTGCAATTTCGAAGCTTTCTTTTTAGTTCAATCTGGAGTGCTGGAGCGCGTATACGGTCAGCGTTGTCGAACATTTGGACCGAATATGAACGAGCTACTGTAAGTTCGAAAGCGTAGAAGTAATGTTCAAACGGGCCCCTATTGCAACGTGAAGCAACTTTCGACGAGGAAACACCTTCCCTTGCTGCACCCCAGCTATACATATTGCGATATCTCCAACGCCCTATGTATTCTTCATGGCTCTAATATGATCGTATACGGTAGAATGTGGGTTTCGAGAAAAGATGATCATGTTCATTGAAACGAGCAGGAGAGGAGGAGGTGTCACTGTCAACGTCAAAATCACATGTGGCATAATTGATGGAGTGGCGTCTTCATATGCTCCGCTGTCTGCAGTGCCCTCGTTTTTGACGGAGTGCTTTTTGAGGTGAACCCTGTGAACGACACATAATGTAATTCAGCTGGGAGAGGAGCTGACACAGGCCGGCAAATGGTTGATACAAGAGGAGGTACTGCAAGTGACCTGAGGGTTTCACATGTGACCTTGTTCCATGGTCCTTGCAGTTGATAAGCAGTTTTTCCGGAAGTGCCCTACGAACTGATTAGGGAGCGTGTAGGATCGCAAACATGGCCAAGCGAGCCTACAAACTGCAGGAGTTTGTGGCGCACTCCTCTAATGTCAATTGTTTGAAGATTGGGCGCCGGTCGTCTGGGGTTCTCGTGACTGGAGGCGATGACAAGAAGGTCAACATGTGGGCCATTGGGAAGCCAGATTCCATCATGGTGGGTCGTCCAACCTGGACCCCTAATGTGCAACAGAGCTCCTCGCTGTATCTAACTTTTCCCCCTGCTTTGCATGACCCCGACTGCGCTTTGAAAGTATTGGAAGAAAAGAGTGGTGCTTCCCACCTTTATAACAGTTGACGATGTGACATGAAGAAGTTGTCATCTCGTAGTCCAGCTGCTAAGATTCGCTGAGCTTTTCTCATAAGGTTGCGCCATCGATGAGGCTTTCACCTTGAGCGTGCATTTGCACTGGTTTTGAGCTGACGATCTGGGCCCACACCGGTAGCCTGGACGAGTCACTGTCCATTTTATGACTTGCGCAGCTGCAATCACAAAGTTTGAGCTGGCAGACGCTTGGATTTGTCCACGAACTGCTGCATTAATGACTTTTGTAGTCCAAGTCGACCATACCCTTCTCCAAGTGAGAGGACTTCTCCAAGCTGCCGCTCCGGGACCACTGAGCCAAGCTTGCACCTCCATATTTTGCACTTTTCAAAGAAATCTTCCGACCCGGACAAAACACATGAAAAGCAAAGCGCTTCTTCTTGTCTGCAGAGCCTCACCGGGCACAGCAGCCCAATCGAGTGCGTCACCTTCGACCTGGCTGAGGAGATCGTAGTGGCCGGCGCAGCTGGCGGCACTCTCAAGATCTGGGATCTTGAGCTCCAGAAAGTCGTGCGAACTCTGACGGGCCACCGCGCGAACTGCATCTCTGTGGATTTCCATCCATACGGGGAGTACTTTGCGTCGGGTTCACTGGACACTAACCTGAAGATCTGGGACATCCGGAGGCGCGGGTGTGTTCACACCTACAAGGGCCACACGGGGGGCGTGCGGTGTGTGAAGTTCAGCCCGGACGGAAGGTGGCTCGTGTCGGGCGGACAGGACAACTCAGTCAAGGTCCGTGGTCTGCAACACTTGTCTCGGCTTTTGTTCATTTCACACCCTGCCGCCAGTCTCCCAGGTTTCTTTGCGAGCTGCTTTAGTTTCATGTTGTCAAGTTCAGCTGGTTCGCTCAACTTTGAAACCCTTCTTTGCTCTTTCACACTGTGGCCTTCAATGAAGAGGGGTTGCTTCACTCCTTGCGGTGTTGTTCCTTCACCTTCGCCGACAAGTGATGCTCGCACCAAAGGAAAAGCTTTCTGTTCCTGTCAGTAGAATGACAGTTGCTGTTTTGGTGCGCAGCTGTGGGATCTAACGGCGGGCAAAATGATGCACGACTTTACGCTCCATGACGGGCCAATCCACGACCTCACGTTTCATCCCCACGAGTTCGTCCTGGCCACTGGCTCCCAGGACCGCACCACCAAACTGTGGGACCTTGAGACGTACGAGCTCATTGGCTCAGCTGGGCCGGAAACAACCGGTGTGCGAAACGTGTTTTTCACGCCAGACGGGAGAACGGTCCTCAGCGCCGTTCAGGACAATCTCAAGGTACGGATTGTGCATGTTAGGTGAAGAATGGTGGTTAGAGGTGGATGCTGAAAGGTCGCCAGTACAGAAGATAGAGATGTGTGGGGTTTGTCTCCTGCTGCTGGTGGTATTTGTGCTGCTGTACCGCAGCCCTCAGCAGCTTCCGCAGAGCAATTCGCTCGTTCAAACGGGAAACAGCCTTGATCGGCAAACCGAACAGCCGCTTGCCTCCAAAGTTCCTGATGCTGGCCAACGGTCATTGGAGTGAGTTGCTGCAAGTCAAAATGCTCGTCGCGACCTGGGAACTTGACGAGAGGTGAATCCTTTGACGTTAGGACAACGTCCTGGTCCAGTCGTTAACCGACGCAGCTGCTTTGACCTGGCAGGTGTGGGGCTGGGAGCCTGTGGTGTGCCATGACACAGTCGACACCAACTGGGGCCGCATATCCGATATGGCGCTGCACGAGGGCAAAGTCATAGGCTGCTCCATCCAGCAGAGCACCGTCGGCGTCTGGATCGTCGACCTTTCCCGCGTCGCGCCCTTCTCCGCCGGAGCACAGAGCAAAGCGGCCCCAAAACCGATCAGCCGGCCCGCAACCGAGATCCGCCCCGTCAGCAACGGCAGCGATAACGGGAGCCAAGTGGCAAGCCGCGAGTCGAGCCAACAGTCTAGCCGGGCCACGACGCCCGCGAAACCAATCAGCCGCGCCCGAACCCCTCCAGACAGCGCTGAGCAAGTGTTCAGCAGCCCGTCCGTGCACGCCGGCAGCGCATCGTCGCCCCCGCCAGCCAAAGCCGCCGACTTCTACGCTCCCCGGGCGTCCCCTGCGGCAGCAAGCGGAGCGCGGCAGGCAGGGTCTGTCATTGCCACACCTCCAAGGGGATCCCCCCGGCCTGGAGCTGATGTTTCTACAGCGCCTCTGCCGTCAGATAGGAGTGAAAAGCGAGAGTTGCAGAGGACACCCCCGCGAAGAAGAGAAGAGGCGACCCCGAGAGGAGAGAAGGGTAACGGCGGCAGCAGCTCGCTGCCAAGAGGCGAGGACCGAGACCCCATGGGCGAGGCGGCCGCTTCAGGAAGCGGACGAACAGAAGAAGGGACGGAAGGTGGAGTAAATGTCAAGCACAACAACGGGAGTGTGACTGACCGCAGTGCTCCCAAGGATTACGAGCGGCCCTCCCAACCTAACAGCTCCGCCGACGACACCGGACAGAAAGCTGGGATCGGCCGGCGCGTCAGCCGGGCCGAGAAGAAAGAGATCGAGTTCGAGATCCTCGCGCCTGCGGGACCAAACCCGCACCGTACGTCGGAGGCTGACGCTGCGGGGGTGCCCACGTCAGCAGAGCCAGTGAGGGCCGGGGGCAAGCGCCGGTCCGGGCTGTTCAAGCCGGAGGACCACGACATTTTCGGACCAACTCGGACTGCGGACGGGGCGGGCTTGAGCGGACGGGATTCGGACGCTGTAGTACGGTCCGAGAACGGGAGGGAGGCGGAAGGGGCGGTACCGAGCGGACGGGGGAAGTCGCCGAGAGGCGAGAAGGAGACTAAGAGCGTTGCCATTGCGGCCCCGGGGGACTCGCTGATGAGAGGGGCGGCGTTGCCGGGAGCGGCGTTGAGCACTCCGGGACCGTCAGGTATGTGCGGAGCTGCGCAGTCATCGTTCCGTCTTTGGAAGTCGTTTGTACTTGCCCGACGACCCGAATATGCAAGCCCTCTTCACCTGGTGATGTTGCTCGACCTCGTTTGAGAAGGTGGTGATTTTGCAGCCAGAAGTACAACGCTTGAAAATGAACGGAGACTTCACCTGCCTTGTATTGCTGTGTGCCTTTGGATGTGCCCGTCTGGCTCCTGCCAGTTTTGCAATCTTGTGTTATCTAGGCCTTCAGTGACTCTCACGTGTGTTGTTTTCGCTTCTCAGGTCGAGAGCCACCGTTCTCGCATCACACCCCGGCCTCCAACGGTGGTTCCCGGGCGCGAGTTGACGCTCTGTCAGCCTTGTCAGCGTTAGCACGGTCACCTTCGGTTACTGGCGACCGGTCACGGAAAGAAGGGCCGTTGGGATTAGACATCAAAGCATTCCTCCCGGTAAGCCGTTGACTCGAATCGGCTCTAACGAAAGAATGACTTTGGCCTTGCAAACGTTGCTGCCAAGTTGATAATTTCATAAGTAGGTCCGGTCAGTCGGCTTTCAGCTTGCTGGATTCTCACCTAGGTGCTGTCCATCTCTGAATCCAGTTGCGTGAAACCGACGCGAGTATCTTTCTTTCGTGCTCTTTCTTCAAGCAGCAGTACGTGAAGATCGAGCGTCCTCATGTTGTCGACTTGATCCGACCAATCTTTCTTACCCCTCTCGAGAAGCACTTTCAATATTGTTCTCGAAGACGACGTCAACGGTATTCAAAGTCTCATCTGCTGACGTATGCCTTTTGCACTGACCGCTGTACTGTTCTCGAAGACGACGTGAACTGTGTACAGAGTCTCATCTGCTGACGTACCCTTTTGCACCGTCCCCCACAGAAGAGCGCCTCCAAGCTGGCCCCCGACGGGGACGCCGCGAGCGTCTCCGACGCCGAACTGATCGAGTCACTCATGGGGCAACACGCCACAATGAGCACTATCATGCAATCCCGGCTCACCAATTTGGCGGTGGTCCGCACTTTCTGGGCGCGTAACGATCTCAAGGGGGCGATCGAGGCGATGGACAAAATGGCGGACCATGCGTTGTTAGTGGACGTCCTCGGGACCATGGCGCACCGGTCGGACGTATTCTCACTGGAGCTGGCCGCGCAGGCGATGCCGCTGCTGGGGGAGCTGCTCACCAGCCAGCACGACAGGTGCGCGCTCGACATTTCTCGTCGCTGCTGTTTATGTGTATTCTTTGTGACGGGTGGAAGCGACGCCGTAGTAGCATAGTTTGTGTTGGGACGAGTGCATCAGTTGTGACGTAACCGGGAAAGCTGCTTACCAGCAAGTACGAGATGTGCGCGTGCGGATATTTTGCGGCTGATTGCATGCATGTTCGTACCAACTGACGGGGTGGAGAGTTTCGGAAGAGAGGCCGTAGTGGTGTGGAGTGGGATGTGACGTGTGTATATGAGACGCGTAGCTGTGCAGTAGCGGCTCCCTGAGATTGCCTCGGTGATATATTAGCCGACAACATTTGGAGACTCTGCTTGGATTGAGCGACTCGATTGGGCGGCCCTTGTGGGCAATTTTAGGCTGCTTACGTTGTTCACTTCCTACGTCAATCTCTGTTCTGCAGATACGTCCTGGTCGCCATTGCTGTTGCCGCGAGCCTGTTGAAAAGCTTCGGCTCGCTGATCAAGGAAGCCAGGCAGGCGTCCCCGGCGGTGGGTGTGGACCTCAGTGCAGAGGAAAGGTCAGCATCAAAGTTTCCGGGTTTAGAATTTTAGGATCCTAGGGGTTAGGGACATGCCTGTGAGCGGTAAGGTTTCTTTTGTGCTGCCACCCTCTCCAAATGGAGGAACGAGACCTTCGTAATTGTTGCTCTTCTCCTTTAGCAAGTCGGTTCTCTGCTAGCAAACAACTCTTTCCGGTGAAATTTTACCAGCCTTTTGCCATCCGCGCTGGTCCTGAGTTAGAAAGAGCGATTTGACTCGTCTGCTAATGGCCTCCTAAGCTGATTCCCACCGTTCCTGTGGTGCAGATTAGAGCGATGCAATGCGTGTTACCGTGGGTTCCTCGTCTTGAGAGGGAAGCTAGAGGGCCTAGCAAGGTACGCTGCCTGTGCCTCCTTTGTTTCTTGAGCACCTCACTCTTTGAGTACGTTGGCAACTGATATGTTGCTTTTCATTCGGGCATCGTACGTGCCCCTCAAATGAGGACTTCGCGGGCCTCGAAATTCACAAGAGTTTCGGCTATGCAAGAGCGCGGTGTCATACGTTCTTCTTGTTTCTTGACTGCGCAGGACTAGTGGGGAGGTCGGCAAGATGTCAAGGGAGCTCATTTTCGAGCTCGAAGAACTACAATGATGGCTTGTCGTGATTGACCGTCACTTAAGCAGTAGGGTCATTGAATGGGGCCTTCAACTTCAGGATTCCGCGTACCTCGACTTCCAAGGCCGTCGCCGTGATTAGTGCCTACATCTGGCTTATGTCAGATCCTCTCGATTACAATCGCAGTAAAGGCTCTGTTTTTATATGCATCCGACCATGCGGCGGTCATCAACCTTTACGGCCCTCTAGTATATACAGCTCTACGTTGTACATCAATAGCATGTGCATCATGAATGTCACAAGTCTAGGATTTGCGCGGCTGCAATTGAGTGATTGCAATTCTTAAGAATGATTGTATATTGTATATCAATAATGCTTATGGATTCTAACTATGGTTCAACTCCCGGCATCATGATGCCGAGTGACTCGTCTCTTCCAGCGGCCACGAGATCTCATGATCGAGTCGAATTGGCTTGCAACACTGATAGATCGAGCCTGGTGTCTGTACTATTGAATACCCGGACATACCTGTACCAAGTTGCACGTACAGGCTGGCATTCTGCCGGTCGGACGCCAATTAACAAGCTCGGACCGCCGCCGGGATCTGCCAATGCGCGCGCGCGGACGCGTTTCACAAATCATGAACCCCATGCAGCCTCATGAATCCAGGCGCTTGCGCATGGTAATGGTCGGTTTGAACTGGGGGATCATCCAATTCGCCGATCAACTTTCGACCGTCGGATGTTTTGACGCTTGCACGTCTACCCTCCGATGTGGTATGTACAGTGTATCCTACTCTGCTTGAGAGCTGTCCAGAGCTGGCATGAGGTGCAAGCGCTTTGGAGAAACCTACAAGTCGCATTGCACAGCAAGCATACATGTGCCATAATGGGCAGTCGGTGCATGGGGAATACGAATGGGAATCCAATTTGAGCTTGAGTGGGTGGTGGGCCCTGATAGCTGTGTGAAGCGCATTGAAGATCGGTGAGCATGTTTGGAGTCAAGAGGTGGGGCGGGGCCGAGGTGCATGAAACTAGCGGGGCAGAAGCGCAGGCGCGGTTGGAGGCATGGAAGAAGAAAGCAAAAGAGCGTGAGGAGGCCAAGCGCAAGGAGGGGCAACAGGGTGACTTGCCTTTGGAGCCAAATGTTGCAGGCGCCAAGAGTAAAAGCAGCTCACAGAAGGTGAAAAGAACAAGTAAGGGAGAATCCAATGGGGCTTTGGGTTCTGCCAATGAGCACATTGAACCCAGAGAGGAAAGGCAGCTAGTTCTTGCTAAAGAGCAATCAGATGCGGTCAGGAGAAAAGCAAGTGAAAAGGATAGCGTCAATTTGAATGGAGATAAAGCAAAGTTGCCTCCGGCCCTGGATCTAAACAGGGCAGCAGACAAGGAGCCTGATGGGGCTGAGCGTGATGGTAAAGGTGGTGCTGCGCAGAATGGCCCCAGAAGCACCGCAAAAGCGGCGTTTACCAAATCAGCTCTCGCGCTTCAGGAGCAGAGTGCACGAAAAGCCGTAGAAACAGCGCGTGCCGAGAAACGGGAACTGAAGCGGCGGAAGGAAGTCGAGCGGGCGCACGACATCATTGCGAAGAAAGCAAAGAAGGCTGGCAAGGCAGTCACTGCGAATCTAGATGTGCCGCCAGTTGATGCTCTAGAGGAGGATGAAGAGGCAACAAAAGAAGAGAGGAAGCGCCTCAAGCGGCAGAAGCGAGAGGAGAGGAGGAAAACAAAGGAAGCCGGCGCTCAAAATGACTCTTCGAAGAAACAGGCCGATGAGCGAACGACAGCTCCGGTTGATGTCGCCGAGCCTAGCGAGCCGGAGACCGGCCCTTCCAGTGAGGCTGTAGAAAGAAGTGAGCACGAGGACTTTTTAGAGGATGAGGATGAGCAGCGGACAGCAGCCGGGGGGGAGGCGCCTGCAGAGGCAGCGGAGCACCGCAAGCGGAAGCGAAGAAAAGCGGGTGGCGAAAGCGAAGATGCGGGGGAGCAAGTGGTCCAAGATTTTGGAAGTGGAGATGGGGAGCACCGCAAGCGACGGAAGCAAAAGTCTGCTTCTTTGGAAATCAGTTTGGAAGAACCCAATCCCCAGTCTCTGCCAGAAAGCTTGGAGGGTGGTGGGGTTGATGAACATACTGCAGAGCCCCAAGCGGGCCCAGTTATACTTCCTGAAGCTCCCCCCACAAAAGGCCCACCGCTTTTGCCGTGGATGCGGGCACCGATTGAGATTGGGGAGGATGAGGGATTGGAACTGAGCCTTGTGCCTGGGTTGGATCCAAGACTGAGGGGCGCGCTGGAGAAGACGGGGGTCGCGGGGCTGTTTCCGGTGCAGGCTGCTGTGTGGAGGGAAATGGTAGGCAGCTGAAAGATGCTTCAGAACACAGCTTCTCAATTGAACTTGAGTGTTGTTTTGGCTGTTGCAAAGCGGAGTTGTTGCAAAACGGAGAAGTTGTTCTCGAGTTCTGGTCAAATCGGTGGAGGCATGTTCCCAAAGCTTGTGATGCAAGCATCTGCTTGACATGCAACCGCATGCATCTTCCAGCTCAAGCCCACATTTCTTTTCTGGGCGTTCTTTTCTATCTGATGCAAATCTCATCAGGATGCACGAGCAGGACTGCGAAGAAGTGTGACCCAACACGTGTTGTCGTCTTACCAGGTGGCCAGCGGTTGTGAGGATCACGACCTGTGCGTGTGCGCCCCCACCGGCAGCGGCAAGACGTTCTCGTATGCGCTGCCCATCTGCCAGGGCCTCTCCACCCGCATCGTGCGCAGGCTCAGAGCGCTCGTTGTTTTGCCAACACGGGATCTCGCCTCTCAGGTGGGGAAAAAAGCATTTTCACACCTAGTCTGCTGCACTTCGAGAAAGAAACACCTCCAGTAATGTGCCGCTTGGTGATGCTCCCTCCAAAACTTCATTGCAACGCTGTATTGGGGTTCAGCTTGGAGGAGGGAAACAACAATTGGAGCATTTAATTCTGAGTGACAGGGGCATTGCATACCAGCTATTCATCTCTCCTGCAGTCTGAATCTCGCCAGGGCAAAGTCTTCCCTTCATGAAACAAACGTCAATTTTGGTCACAGGTGAAGGCCGTGTTCGAGCTGCTGGCACCGTCGCTTGGATTGGCCGTCGGTTTGGCGGTGGGGCAGACGTCTCTAGCAGGGGAGGCGCAGCAGCTGGTCTCTTCCGCGAGATGCCCGCCAGGGGATTGCGCTCCAGAGAGCGGTTCTTCACTGTCTGACAGTAACGTCGACATTCTGGTGTGCACTCCCGGGCGGCTGATGGACCACGTGCACGACACCCCCGGGTTTACGCTGCAGCACCTGCGCTACCTGGTGAGATAGATTCGGGTTGGTGGTATTTGAGTTGTACGCAAGGATGGGACGTCTATCAAAGCTTGTGGTCCCTTTTCATTGAGGTTCTCGGTGTCAGCCACCTTGTCTTGGACGGAATGCAGAATCTAGAACGCAGGATGACTATCAATGAGAACGGCGTGCCATTGATATAATAGGAGACCGCCTGACCAAAGCAAGTTCGCAGGACAGGCCAAAAGTCCATCGTTCCCCAAGGGTGCATGCTTTCAAATCTGTCTATGTCGTTGTCTATGTCGGTTGAGGGCAAGGCAGTACATACGATCTTACCCGATTTACACTAAACTAGATGGTGTTTGTTTGTCTAGCCGTTGAAGTCTGCTCAGTCGTTGAATTACAACGCGCATGCTGTGCTAGCATTTGTCGGATGACAGAAGCTGTGTTTGGTCTGACAAGCAAACGACATCACCTCAGAGCTCCGTGACGTTTGCACGTCAACCCTTGTCACTAACCCGCTTTTCTCTTTCTTAACCAGGTGGTCGACGAGACCGACCGCCTCTTGCGACAAGCCTACCAAGACTGGCTCCCGATCGTCCTCGCCGCTGCCTCCGCGCCCTCCAATCAAGGAGACGTGTCCACCATCCGACGGCCGATGCTGGAGCGCGGCATTCGGACGCCCGCGCCGCGCGTGGTGAAGCTGGTCCTGTCCGCAACGCTGACGCGGGACCCCGCCAAGATCCAGCAATTGCAGCTGCACCGCCCTCATTACATCGCTACGAGTGCGAGTGATCACCGGTACAAAGTGCCGCCGCAACTGCAGGAATACCGCCTGGTAAGAAGGCAGGGGGGGAGAATTTCATTGGCTTTGCAATATCGTTGTGTTTGGCTTTCTTGGTAATCGAGCAGAAGCGAGTCATTCAGCTTGGAGAAGAAACAGCGGGCCCCTCTTCTTCGCAGCGTTGGATTTTTTCAGTCGACGGCTCGTGGCTGGCTCGGCTCTTTTTGTGATAGCTCCTTCTTGTCTCCGGACAATTGGTACTGTTTGGCTCCTGTCGTACCCTTATCATGGCTCATTGTAAGCTTGTCGGACAATTCTGTCGTTTCACTTCGTGCAGAGACATCGATCGCCCATTCCGATAGAAAGGACACGTGCCTCTGTGAGGAGTTTGCGCAATCCTCTTGAGCCCTCATTCCTTGATCGCAGGTGTGCACCGCGGGGGAGAAGCCGCTGTATCTCATCGCGCTGCTCCACCAGTTGAAGGGCCAACGGACCATCGTCTTCACCGCGTCCGTCGAGGCGACCCACCGCCTGTTCACCCTGCTTCAGGTACGGTCGTTGTTCATTCAGAAAGCTTGTCCTTTACCAATAAAGCTTGTCTCTTTGATGGTCGAAACCCGTCAAGTGCGTCCGTCGAGCGCACAGTACCACGGGCGCTGGTCAGCAAGATCTGGAGACGTTCTTTGACTTTCGTGCGGAATTTTACGCCGGAACTTGCGAGGTGTATCGACAGAGTCCGACGTGCCGACATCTGGCGGTGAGGAAGACATCTGTCGAGCGGTTTGAGACTCTTGCTAGGTTCCAAGAGCTGCGGTCAGTCAGCTGCCACCCTCAGTCAAGTATCTCTAAAGGGAGTCCGTACCGTCGAAACCGGCTCTCCCTCCTAAGTTGTCCTTTGTATCTTGTTGACAGTAGTCATTATCACCTGGCTGTCACTTGAAACCATAGATACAATGAGACTCCGTCTGAAGCAACGTCAACCCGTTGTTTCCTCGGAGCAGGCGTTTGAGGGGCTTCCCGTATTGGCCGGGGAGTACTCGAGCCTGCAGCCGCAGCGCGCGCGCAGTGCCACGCTGGAGGCGTTTCGGCGCGGGGAGGTGGACATGCTGGTGTCCAGCGACGCCATGACACGTGGCATGGACGTGGAGAACGTGGAGAACGTCATCTCGTATGATGCGCCCGTCTATGCCAAGGTGCGCCGCTGGAGCTATCGGTGTGAGGGTTGCGATTAACTTTCCGTCGGCTCTCAACTTTCTCGCTGCAGTTGGCTTTCTGTTTGCAGTGGACCCTCGTGCTGGCTTGTGAGACTGGTTGGTTGTAAGACTTGAAGCGTGGTCTGGTCCGGACTTGGTCAAGGCTGCGTTCGAAAGAACATTGAATGTTGCACTTTTGTTTACCCGTCATCTCAAACGTGTGCATACGTAGCGGCGTCTGATTGGGTTCTGGCGTCCTGTTGCGAAGCTGCAAGCTGATGCTTCGAAGAGATTTTGTAAGGAACAGTTGTTTCGAAACAGAACGGCTCACTGCCTTGTTTTTTGACGCCGTCCCGCCGATGGAATGACAGATGTCTATCCATCACTTTCGCCTCAAGTCGAGCACGTGGCGGTGCACTCTCACTTAATCTGGTCATTTTGACACGACCACCACGCACTTGTCACTCCCGCATCAGGCCCCTCACGGTTCGCTTTCTCGGGCCCCTAAACCTCGCACCTAAGATGTTGTTTTAGACAGAGTGTTTGTTAACACCGATAAAGGAGTGAGTATAGTATGTTTTCGACTCCCAAGAGTCCGCACCTAATGCATGGCAGACTGGCTGTGCAAGTTCTCGGGTGCGAGTTTAAGGTGCCCGAGTTTCACCCCTTACACACCCCAAAAAGCTTCTCCGCTTTCTACGCAGAGGTGCGCGGGGCGGAATTCTGAGTTCATCGAAACAAGTTTCAATCAACAAAACAAGTGTTTTCTGCCTGTTTCAAAAACCCTTTTCCGTCGTTCCTCCTATAGACGTACGTTCACCGAGCGGGGCGGACTGCTCGGGCGGGTCGTCCCGGGCGGTGCTTCACGCTGTTGCGGCGGGAGGAGGTGCGGCACTTCAAGGGCCTGCTGCGCAAGGTGGACAACAACTTCTGCCCCGACTACCCGCTGCCGTCCGCCGCCACCGACGCCCTCGTGCCGTTTTACACCGCAGGTAAGCTATGGTGCCTGTTCACACCACAGACAAGCCTGGGTGCCGTTCAGCATCGAAGGACAGCCGTTGTGCGGGTAAACGTTGCAGGATTAAACCTGGACCGTCTTGTCACGACCTGCGGGAAATGAATATTATAAAGGAAGAAAGTCTAGGAAACGTGTATCGAGTGCTAGAGATTTGCATTCCGCCCGAACGTCCTCCGATGTGACTCTTCATGCTGTACAAGGCTTCATGAGTGGAACCTGTTACAGCGCTGTAGATTTTGCTCAGAAGGCGCGTCGCCAATTCTATTGCTCCGGCCCCCCGTGAGGTCCTGTTCGCGGGCCTTCTTACATACACGTAAAAAGCCCTAGTATTCTGCCCATCAAATTGTTGCTCCTCGCAGACATTTCTTATACTTTGGATTTTCAAAGTAAGGTTGTTCTTTTCGCGTGCAGCTCTTGAAAAGCTGAAGGAGACGGTGGCGGGGGAGAGCGCCGGAGGCGGCAGTACTAAGCAGCCCCCTGGATGACAGGTCAGGGCTGAAATTCACTAAAGAGTAGTCGGGGCTCAGTGGCTACAGCGTTACGTAGAGAAAGAGACCATCATGTCGATCGTGGATGCACCCTCATCGAAGTCGGAAAGCTCGCAAGATGCAACATGAGGACAGCACTTTGAGGTGATTCGTAATCAAACTAGCTTTCGATGCACAACAGAATTCTGTGGCGGGATATGTGCAAGCTGCCAGCCAGACAGTGACTGCGGCTGCCATCCCGTTTGCTGAGTGCACAAATAAATCTGCATGCCACGTATCTCGATCATGCACATGACGCACTGAATTGATCATGCTCAATATCCCAATTCTGCGACGCGCGCTAGTCGATCAGGCGCGTGCCGCGGCGGCGCGCTCGACTCCTTAGGTTAATTCAGCACATGGAGCAGCGCGCTGCATGGGGACTTTGTTTAATGAGTCCGACTACATGCGCGATGTACAGAATGCGGGCAGCTAGCTTGCATGTGCTGGCATGGCACATGACATGAGCCTCAGGCGCGCGCATATTGACGGGTCCTGCATGGCGGCATGGGCCATAATATTCACATGGGGCATTGTAAGCCCAAGCGCTTCAGTTCGGGCGGCCAGCCATGGCTAGGACCGATCTTAAAATGTCGATTGTTTGCAAGACTCGGCATTTTGAGTTCTGGCACCACAACCCATGTGACAGCACTCACCATACAATCCATGTGATAGCCGCAAGACGTGGTGAGGACTCATTCATGCAATTTTGAGATTGCCTCGATATTAAGGTTTAATTGTCCATGTTAGTGACCCGGTGTGCTCAAACCTCCCTTGACCCTATCTCCCAAAAGCTTGATTGCCGTTTGTACGTCCTTGTCCCCCCGACCACTGAAGTTCACAACAACATTCGTGCCGTCCGCTAAGGTAGGACACAAGTCCTCGAGGTAAGCCAGTGCATGTGACGTTTCTAGAGCCGGGATAAGCCCCTCCAGCTTCGACGTCCGCTCGAAAGCTGCACAGGCAACACTACCGTCAGGATCAGGCGTGTTTTGAGGCAACAATGAAGATCAAAAACTGGCGAATCAGCCTCGACAGAGGCTAGGCGACTCGATAGCTCTGAGTTCCAAACCATCAGCATCACCACTGAATTTAAGCAACATACCAAAGCTGACAATTGCATTGTTTGCCCCATCATTTAACAGAATAGCAATGACCACGTGCAGCAGGGTTTTTGCTCCCAGGTATAACTAACGACAACAAATTTCGGCCAAGTGTAGAGAGCCCACTGACCGTCCAAAGCTTCGTCGTCCGTCACGCTAAAGTATTCCGCCCGACCAAGGTCCTTGAGGAAGCTGTGCTCAGGACCCACTCCCGGGTAGTCCAAACTGCATGAGACATATGGGACGGATCAGACCCAAACACATACACGCTGCACAATCTCCGATTTGGATTCTCAAGGACGATACCGGCGACTGACTCTTTCTTCAGACTACAACTTACACATGTTGAACAAGTTCAGTTCGGAGGTTGCCAACCCCTAAAACGAACTCGTTTAGCGTATTGTTGGTTAATCGAATCAGCATCTTGTTTGTAACCCGAATCAGCATCTTGTTTGTCACCCGAATCAGCGTGGACAAAGCACAACCAACCGCCAAGCCGGCAAAACATACCAGCCGCAGGCCCCTTAAGGTATACAAAGAACTCGGCACTTTTTACTACCATAGCCAGACCTTGCCAAAGTAAGCAGAGCCGACTGATGACCTCGGAAACTCCACCTCATTCACCTTCACATGTGCCTCTGGCAAAACCTGGCTGACTGCCGCATGTGACGCCTGGTTCTTGCCAAGCAAGCCACCACCTAGCACAAACGCCATGTCCAAAAGTTCCGTAATGTTCTGAATTAAAGCTTACCCTGCGCTAATGGAGTGCGGCTCGATGACCTGCCCGTCCGTGTCCTGCAGCAGGTAGCTCATAGCCCCATGGAGCACTCCCTGCGTGCCAAGTGTCAGCGTCGCGGCGTGCTTGTCGGTGTGTGTGCCGTGCCCTGCAGCCTCCACCCCAATCATCCGCACATGCGCGTCGTTCACGAACTCGTGGAAAAGACCCATTGCATTCGAGCCACCCCCCACGCACGCAACTAGAATGTCAGGGTCCTTGCCGAACTTTTCATGGGCCTGCCGCCGCGTCTCCTGCAGTACGGAACAGAAGATCTCAGGAGGCAAATTTGAGATCTTCGGTCAAATTCGTCTACTTTGCATGTACCTGAAGTCTCTGCATACAAACAGCTGAAGGCAACTTAAATCCTACTGCAGTGTGTGTAGCAGACTAACCAGGAAAAACCGGACCAAGATGCTGCTTTTTCCGCAATCAAACTTCATGCAGTTTGGTGCCAGGCCTATTTAAGATGCGGCGCAGTCTCGCGATCAGCGGCTGGCGGACATAGTCCTTTGCTGGTAGATTGAACAGCCCTGCCTCTCTTTCGTAGCTCACTAGGCTTCACCTAGATTTAGGCTTGCACATAAGCAACCACCCGGAACGCGAGCTCAAATGGTCACAGGGGCTCACTTCGCGTTAATCAACCTCAAAATGCACACATAGAACTTGACAGCTGTCGGGCCCTGCTCACCTCTCCAATAACTGCATGGAAGTCGCGCACCATCATGGGGTACGGGTGGGGCCCTGCCACACTGCCCAGAATGTAGTGCGTGTCCTCCACATTCGTCACCCAGTCTCGGATTGCCTCTGACGTGGCGTCCTTCAGCGTTGCAGTGCCGGCCGTCACTGGTCGCACCTGCAACATACCCAACATGCTTTCAGGTGTGCCGACCGCGAGTCTGCTTCCGGCATTCAAAAGTCACTTGCGATATGCTCGAAACGTCTCAATTTGCACTTTCCAAGGAGTGTATTTTTAGGGCTAAGTTGAAAAGCCAGCGCAAGTGCCAGACTGAAAACACGACTACAGAGCTGGAATCCTGTTGTGCATCAGCCACTCCAAATTTCATGTCCTTAGCAAGACCCAGTACGAAAGCTCAGGGGCTCGTACCTCAGCTCCCAGCAGCCTCATCCGGAACACGTTGAGCGCCTGCCTTTCCATGTCCTGCGCTCCCATGTAGACCACGCACTGGAAGCCAAAACGGGCACACGCAGTTGCAGTGGCGACGCCATGCTGGCCGGCCCCCGTCTCCGCAATGATCCGCTTCTTGCCTGAGAGGAGCGATGTGTTCTGTTTTGAGCCTCAGAGACTACTCCAAGGATGTGCATGCAACAACAAGCTGAGGCGCTCTGTTGCTTTCCTCTGGAGGTAGCAAGCTAATGGCTTTTTAGCTTCATAAGCAAGTTCAGAGATGATCAAGCTGACGAGTGACGGACGAACTCACAGGGCTGATGAATGATAAACCAACTCACAGGGCTGTTGGGGGTGGACCAAAACTGCCTTTGAGTAATGAGAGCAGATTGGTACTCAAATACTTTTAGCGGCCACTCTCGAAATGAAGGAACTCTACTACGAAACTCCTGTCCACCTACGGTATAGAACCAATTTCAACAAACGTTTAACCAATTCTCACCAATTCGCTTTGCCAGCAGGGCTTGCCCCACAGCATTGTTGATCTTGTGAGCGCCGGTATGATTCAAATCCTCTCGCTTCAGGTAGATGTTTGGCCCAGTCCCGTCTTCCCTCTTGTAGCGCTCCGTCAGTCTCTCCGCAAAGTACAGGGGAGACTCGCGGCCAACGTAGTCCTTCAAGATGCCTTTCAGTTCCTCCTGTGAAAGCAGACATGCGCGAGAGGATTGTGCGTCAAAATCAAGGTACTCGTGCGTCATTGAAAGTTATTGGGGCGGCCATTGATGTACTTCTATCACCGGAAACAATTGTAATTAAAGTACACCCAAAAGTGTAGGGTTTCTTTGCATGAAAAGATCTCTGAGCTGTCAGTGAGATTTTTGCTTTCATTTTCTTTTCGTACCTACAATTGAGACCACCGAGTCCTTTTGTGTGCGACTCTGAGACTCTTGTGTAACCAGTTTGAAACACATTTTGTAAGATCAAAGTAAAGTCTCAAAGCACAAGTAATGCCGGTGGTAATGATCCACAGCTTTTGGATAAAGTTTAAGAAAAGCCCCGCTCACCTGGAATGCTGGATCAGCAGTTACTTCCTTGTATGTCTTTTCCAAATCCGACAGTGCATACATCAGGGTCTCGGGCACATACTTGCCCCCATACTTGCCAAACCTCCCCATCGCATCGGGCCTCTGGAAATCCCCCACATTCTGCTTCACGTCAGCCTTCTCAGGGGCCATCACACAACGCACTGCCTGGTCCTGCCGCCCATCCTTGTATACTACACTCGGCTTTGCAGAAAGCGTTGATGAGCCGCGCAGGCAGACAGAAGCGGACGATGCAAGGGGCGCCACAGTCTGCTGCTGAATGCGGCTTGTCTGTGAAAGGCTCAGGGCGGAATGCCCGGCAGCCGCCTTTGCAAACGTGCCTGCTGCTGCCATGCTGGGAATCGCAAACTTTCCTGCTTCGTTGAAAATACCTCTTGCGCTACCGCAAGCAATTGAAGACGTCCAAAAGAACCGACCTGCGCCCCTGCTAGATGATTAAGTGCTCAGCTTGAAGTTCAAGTTCTCTGCCAAAGCAGAGCTGCTCTAGCACACTCAAGCAGGCAGTCATCACAGTCTCCAGAAACAGACGTAATCATCGAATCTTGATGGAGCTTACGTGTCGCGCTGTTGAATTGCTAAACTCGAGATCTCTGCTTCGAACGGCTGAGATCTTACCGGGAGAGATTTGCCGCATTTCGCGTGCTAAAAAATATTATTTGTTCCACAAGGAAATCATGCTAGTCGCAAGTGCATAGACCAGACTCCGACAGAGTGTATGGGTATTGGGCCTGCGTGGGCTCTGGAACTCTGAATCTGTATACCTAAACGAAAGCGGCGGCAGCAATGATAGGGTAGCAGGTTAAACAGGATGCACTTAATGCAATGGTCCCTACGTTTTTGCGCTACACATCATACTGAAAGGAGTCTGTCCAGATGTTGTGTCTAGCAGCGTGTTAGATGCATACAAGCGGGACGAATCACTCAAATCTAAGAACGAGCATGTTGACGTGTCACAAGGATTGCCACCGTCCTGAATATCACATCATATCATATCGAGCGGTATCATTCCATGATGGTAGGGCGTCGCAGATTGGGATAGTTTGAGCACCGCTCGTGCATGACTTTTAGAGGGTATAGAAGATTCTCAATCTCCGGATGCGAATCAGCCTTAAGGTGCATCGTTGAGATTTCCGCTCAGATGATATGCTCTCAGTGAACCTATGGTGATCTCTTAATGCTGGTTGAACCTCAGAGAGGTCTACACCAGCTGATCAGCAAAGAATAAGTATCCGTGAGATCAACAACCGCAACTCAGAGCGTTGTTTCTCCTACTTTCAATGCGTAAAATTGTCTCGGATCACCTTTTTCTGAGCGTCTGTTAGTGAGGGCGGGAAGGCGACTGTAAAGGTCACATAAAGGTCCCCCTTTCTGTTGCTTTCGTAAGCAGGCATCCCCTCTTCTTTAACCTTCCGGACTTCTCCAGGCTTCGTAACTCCCTGCATAGACCAATCATGGACAGACGCTCAGCTCTGGGGCGAAGTCTGCCAGCAGGTGCTTCAAAACAATCGGCACACTTCGCAAACCTGCGCCCCATTTTCGGTGGACGGAGATTGGATGGCATAAGGTGCTGAGGAAACAAGCGGAAATCACGTTTTTGCCTGCCACAGAGTACCTCAAAAAGGTCTGGGGAGACATACCTTGAACCCAACAGCCACTTTATGCCCGTCCAAATGGGTGATGTCCTTCTCAAACCCAACCAAGGCATCAACCTGCGAAGTCGGGCACAGCTCGCCAGCGTTGGTCTTAAAGGCGGCCGGAGTCTTTGACAGCAGTCACGAATGACTATTGAAAAGAGTCTACGGCAGCCATGTCCCCATATGGAACAGCAGACTATTCAACGAACTCCGAGAGGAGACGTAAGCAGGCAGGTTACTGGTGGCTATCGAGGATACATAAGCAGCCAGGAATGTTAGCAAACCCGGGAGGAGACAAATGCAGGATCTCACCAGAGAAATTGTGACCTGCATATGGAGGTCGTCTCCTTCTCGTCGGAACGTCTTGTGCGGTCGAGTTTTAATCAAAAACTGCACGAGGCAGCCCAGAGGATTTCAGAAACAAGAGCACAAAGTTCGACGAGCTTCCCCAGTCGCTTCCCTGAGAGAGGAAACGAGAAAGAAGAGACTTCTTTGAGAAAAAGAAAAAGAAGTGGGATAACAGTCTTAGTTTGCCATTCCGTCGGAGTCAGCTCGAAAGCGGTCGGTCTCTCACAATGTCCTCGACGCATCCATGGCTCATCAACGAAGGACGATTACAGGCGACAAGCAGAGAAGGCCTGGGCCTTGGAGAGATTGACGGGCAGCTGATCATTGCTTGATTGGGGCAATGGACGCCTAGTCAGACGCTGAGACCTCTGTAACAAAACAATTGGACGACATGATTGATCAGTGGACGCACCTTGAGGTCCCCTGCCTCGCCATCCATGATCGGCTCGCCTTCTTCGAAGAAGACAATCTCCTGCAGAACGACACCGGGGCAGATTAGTCGTCAAGAGCGCTCGCGTGAGCAACTCGGATCTAGCGGACTGCTGAACAATAACCTTACGAACGAGCTTCAGATTAAACTCTGGAGCCCCGCATTCCCAGCCGGCCTGTCGAAATCCCGCTTTGACATCTCCCGGCTCACATCCGCTGGCAGCCAAAGCATACATAGTAAGGAAGGGACGCTGCGCACCTGTCCTTCCTTCATTCCCTTCTCCACGTCCACATTGATGTACTCTCCTTCCCGGTCCAGCTTCACGTTTGGACACTCCTCGCAGGTCTGCAAACAAAGCGGGCTAGGTCAACTAGATAACGCTCCGGAAGGAGATCTAATCTCGAAACCAAAACGGATCAAAGAGGCTAATCGAAGATCATACACTCCCACCGAACCTTCCGCTAATAATGGCATAAATGCAATTGACAACCACAACATATCTGTTTGATTTCGAAGCAACATGCGCACCGGACCCCCCTTGCTCAACAGCACCACCTACGGCCACTACATACAATGGAGGCAACTGCAAAGCGCACCTGTTGGGGGAACTGCTGGAACATGCCCGGCCCGATCTGCTTGGTGATGACCTTGGACTTGCAGTTGCACTTGCGCTTGCCGGGTGCGGGCTTGTACACCGCCTTCTCGCGGTACACCTTGTACGAGCTGCCCATGTACAGATCCTCCAGCGTGGCCTGCAAATGCACCACCACTGTGTCGCCCTTCGGAATCTTCTCCTCCTCATCCTCCTGGCCGCCAAAGCCAAAGCCCCCGCCAAAGAATCTGCGCAAGAAGGATAAGGAGTTGGACACTGCGCAGTAGACTGGGTTCAAGGGTCTGGGACTTGGGATTGGTGCTCGTTGGGATTCAAAAATCGTGAAGTGCTTTGATTGGGTTCGAGGGCCTGAACTTGGGTTTGGCGCTTGTTGGGACTCAGAAATTGTGAAGTGGTGTAACGGGGTTCATGGGCCTGAACTTGGGATTGACGCTGGTTGACAACAACCGAGGGCGCTTCCAAAAGACAAGCTCACAACCTGCGGCTTCCGGGGAAAAGTGGTGCCTGCTCGTTTTTTTCCTATGTTTTGTCAAGGCCCAACAAAGTACATGGCCAGATGACTGACTCAACCAAGAGTCAGGACTCTCACCCTACATCCAAGCACTTGCCCATAGCCCGCATTGACACCAATCTCTTGGTCGCCAAACCAGACCACCGTAAGGTCAAAGTACTAATCTTAAACATAGTCTCTAGATGCTGTACACAAAACACAATCCCAAGCCTTTTGGTTCAACTATGGCACTTTCACAGTATCTTGGTTGCTTTAGGTTGCTTCGAAAGAAGTCGGAAAGTGTGTTGGGCCGTCGACAAGTGTCAATCTCATTCCCCGTATGATGGACAGGAGCTCAACCGCAACATCATCAGTGGCATAGTGCACCTGAAAGAGCATCCGGAGTGCGCCTCATTTCAGCAGCTGCTCCGACACTATTTGCACTAGCTTCAACCATGAATTCTCTTCGACTCCATGAGCCTAGAAAGAAGCACAAGTTTATTCTGCATCTTTTGATCCAGTGTTTCCAGATGGCCGTTCCTTGTGCGCTACTATCTTGCCAGCTTTCTGTACTGAGGAACGTTGAAAGCGAAGGAACCTCCACCCAGACAGGGGAAAAAAAACAGCTGGGATTCGGGACGAGCAAAGAGCTGGGCTTACTGTGAGAAGATGTCATTTGGAAACCCGCCACCTCCTCCACCACCCTGCCCATGCTGCTTCAAGCCCTCCTCTCCATACTTGTCATAGATCTGCTTTTTCTCCTTGTCCGCAAGCACCTCATAAGCTGCACCACCAAGTCAGTTGACACGTAAAGTGGACGCAGATATAAGTTGCAAAAGGTCAATATTTCCTCGTGTCTGCCCGGGTCGCACATCCATCCCATGTTTGCCAGCAAAATGGAAGGGACATATCCTGTAGCAAAGAAACTTCGTGCCAGCCAATCCAAGTACCATGCTGCAGCTCATATAATCTACAAAGATTCAAGGTATAAATCAGGAATTTCCGTCGACTCCGCTGAGCTTTGCAGATCATACTTGGCTTCCACTGCATCAGCTCACTCGGTACTTTACTGAAAGATCCTGAGTGGTAACAAAGCCAGATTCCAGACGGTTTGTGGCGATTGCCATGCTCAGACTAGATACTGATGACCAAATTTTCAAAATTACGCTCACCGTGCCCAATTTCCTGGAACTTTTTGTGTGCTTCTTCGGTTGGGTTCTTGTCGGGATGGTACTTGAGGGCTAGTTTTCGATAGGCGCTCTTGATCTGGGCATCGGATGCGTGCTTCGAAACTTGTAGGGTGTCATAGTAATTCCGCCTGCAGTATCAGGTGTTAGGGTTTCGATTTGCTTTCGAAACTTGAGTGGACGTACTACCACCAACTGAAAGGACCTTGATTGATCTACAAGCAGGCCCACTCATCAAAAAAATCCAAGAAGCATCGATCAGCTCCGACAAGCTGTGCGTGGTAGAAGGCAGAAAGATCGAGCTCACCCTGCATAAACCTCATTTGCGAGAAGCAGCAAACACGCAAGCGCTGCAAGCGAAGCTCTGATGAGGTGCATTATGCCAGCCCCACAGACGCAGATCTGCACCCCAGCGGACCGCGTTTCTGAGATGAATTTGACAATAGCACCAGCGAGAGGCTGCGTAAGACGTCTACTCAAGAGTCAGGCACTAACAGGTGTGAAGGTATCAGCAATCAGGATTGATCGTGCCAATGAATCAGATATAGACGGGGATTCGATCAGAGCGCTGCGCCAGGTTTCTTCTGCCCTCCTTGAAGTTGAAGTCTCTGCTTCCGTCATGGACATTCAGTGATGCAAGTAGTACATAGCACTGCACTTGGAAAGTGTTAATAGGCTAGTGTACCAGGCCGTCGTTCTCTACCTCAATTTTTTTGACAGATGACCCGGGCAGTCCGGGCGGTCTGACAGCCATAAATGCTACCCTTCGATACTATTTTGGGTTCCCGGTACATGGGCGGCTATGGTTAGGGTAGCCAGGTCGAGGCTTAAACCGTCGGGAAAGCAAAGAGTCCCCGGGGAAGGACAGAACAAAGACCTAACCCGGCGAGTTTACGCGCTTGGCACCCCTACACATTAGAAACCACCAACCTAACCCTACCCTTACCCCGGGCTTCTGACCTTTTTCTAACCAACCGCGGCCGCCACCGTCCGGGAAGAAGTGAGCCGTCGATATCCTTTCAGAACGCCACGCGGCGGCCGCTGCATTGCGCGTGAGCTCATCAGAGATGGAATGTTTGTGCCAGTCGTGACACTCGTGGGAGTCCAAACACACAGCTGACAACGGCCTGTTAACACTTTCCAAGTGCAGTGCTTTGACCTTTTTGCTTCAGTGATACACCCAGCTGCAACCGCTGTACGTGCTGCAATCAGTGCAAAAGCGCTACCCTTAGTGGGTTCTGGCGCCCTGCCAGAAACAGCAAAGGTACGAAAACTTCTTGTCCTCCTTCCCTGATACCGTGATACGAGCCAGTACGCCAACTCACAAATCACGGCGCACTTTCTGAATCTAAGCTTAGCCAGTAACCCTAATCTCCGGTCCCTTCACATTTGTCCGTCCGATGTGCTACAACCCGCATATCTTGCGGTCGAAACTTTTCCAAAGTGGATGGGTGTCCCATGACCTGCAGGCTCTAATCCTCGCCATTGGCCATGTCACGGAACCCCAATGAATCATGATTCTGATTGGATGTGCTGCGGTGGCAACAAACTCGAAGTTCTTCACTTTCTTCCACTGCTCTAGCCTCTACTCTCGAGGATACCTAGTGCTTGAAGAGTAAGTGCAGTCGTGTGGGAGTTGTGTGGTGGTGTGCCCTGGCCGCCTGGCAGGGCGCCTTCGAGATTCATAGTCGCAATTGCATCGTAGCGGGCTCCACCTTCGAAGTAGCCACTGAATGTTGGATTTGAAAGTATCCAAGAAAAACCAACAAGGTAGAATTCTCGTGCAACGGTTCACATTGACGTCCTGGCCTCCTGGTGCTCAGAAGGTTGCCTTGAGCGAGCGGGAACAATCCAGACCTATTTACCAAGGGCGGCCTGACATTTCTGGCCGCGCTCGCGTCAGCATTTCTGTCTTACCAGCTGGTAAGAGCTACTTGCAGTTGGTATAAGAAAAGGTTGTTTTCTTAAACGCAAGACAGAACAAAGGGGGCTTCTCTCAATACTTTGTGTTTGCAGTAGGCAAGCTGCAGTGGTACAGACAGAGCATATATAGTGTAGGCAAAGCTATTCCAAGAAACATCATAGAAGAAGATGGATTGCTGAACATCAATTCCTTGAAAGCATATTGTCTAGGAGCTCAAACAACGTGGTTGGTGCACAGGGATTTGTTTGGTAGCGTGATTGCGTGGGGCGTACTTTTGAAGCGCTGGGGGCTGACCCCAAGACATAACGCAAGCTTGCCCCCCTGCTGACCTGAGAGTAACAGTAAGTGCTTACACACCGGACAAACGCGCTTGCTGTTCCAACATTCACGGGAGTGGACGGCTGGTGAGGTGGGTGGCAAGGGGAGGGGCGATGCCGCTGTTGCGCACAGTCCAGGCACCCCTATGCCACCTCCATTGCTCTTTCTAGGGTGGCAATTGCTTGTGTAGAGTAGACGACTTCATGGAGAGCTCAAAATCTGGAGCGGGTGACCCAACATTGCGCAACGGAGACTCTGGCACTCCCCCGGCCCCTGCCCTGCCCCCGCGGTTGCAGGCCAAGGATAACAGCCTCAGCCGGGCTGACTCCTTCCAGAGCAAAGATGGAAGTTCGGGGGAGTCAAAATCGAAAAGCCACAGCGAAGCAGAGCGACGACGAAGGGAAAGGATAAACGCCCACCTGGGAACACTACGAAATCTGCTGCCACACCCAACCAAGGTGAGCGTCGAGTACCTGAAATATCCAGCAATTGAAGCCCCAGGCATTTTGAGCAAATTGCAAGCGGTCTCTTAATCCTTCTGCTTTCTGGAAGCAGAGTGAATCCCCTGTGGGGTATCAGCGTGTTTGTTCATGAGGAATAAAGAACCAATTTGTCTTTGAGTATGCTTGCCTTCTACCAAGGTTCCTTTCAAGGGGCAAACACGTTTGGTAGTTTACAATGTTTTTCTATAGCTCTTGGGATGACCTCAACCTGAGACAATGATTTCTCCCTGCCTAAGCTCCCCGCAGAAAATCACGGGCCGGTAATCTATTCCAACACACTTCATAGATATTTCTTTAAGGCCAACTTTGCAATATCACAATTCTTCGCCACGCACTGTGGATTCCATTTGTGGATTCCATGCTTTTCAATTCTGAAGCATTGTACAGGCCTCCATTGGTTACGTTGTTCAGAGTTCTGTGCATCTTTCCAACTTACTTGTGCCCCCATGGTTTCACACTGTTTTTTGCAGGCCCCAGGTGCAGCTTGACTAAGTCACCTGAGAAACTCGCCAACACTTCAGAAGCTCGTCTCTTTTCGTGTCTTCGGTGGGATCCCTCTCCCAACTTCTTGGGACTTGTTTTTTACTGCTCCTCTTTGTTTACTCACACATCGAGGTCCAAATTCAATCCCACATGTTCGTGGAAAGCTTCAGCATGCACTATCTCTAACGATCACACCTTTTGCTATGGCCAGGCTGATAAAGCGTCCCTGTTGGGCGAGGTGATTGACCACGTGAAGGAGCTGCAGCGGCAGGCGGACGAAGTTGCGGGGGAGGGGGTGCCGTCCGGTGGGGACAAGGTTCTCGTGACGCTGGATGAGCAAGAAGGGGCGCAGGTGCTGAAAGTGGCCATGTCCTGCGAGGACCGGCCAGAGTTGCTCACTGAGGTTGTGAAAGCAATACAGAGGTGAGGGCAGCAGAGAGATTGTGAGCACCCTTCTGTAGTGATCTTTGTCAGAAAACGTATGTTTAGGGCGTTTTGAGTGCATTCTGAGGTTTGGGGCCCACTCAGATGAAGGTGAGGTTTGGCTGTAAGCAGTGAAAATGAACATACCAGCAACTCATACGAGCTGCTCGCAGTATTCCAAATTCCCTAAAGGTAAGAAACCAGTTTGGTAAGTTCTACAAGCATCAAAAGAGCGCAGTCTATTCCGTACCACTGGAAATTGGCGATAGGACAGATGACGAGAAGAAGATTTGAATCTGTCCAACGACTTTCCAATTTGAAGTTCAGTTTACGCTCTGTCTGACATCCAGAGAGTAAGTTCAGGGCAATTTTCACAGTCACTTGATTTCAATATTCGATTCAGGAGTTTAGAATAGCAGACTTTTAGTTCTAAATCCTTGCTGAGTCTATCTCTGCGCTGAACTTGGAGATTCGCAGGCCCTTAGACAATTGAATCTGGACTGATTACTGTTGCTTTGCAAGGCTACAAACCTTTCCATTGCCCGTCGGTTTTACCCTTTGCATCTCAAACTCCAATTCATTTCATTTCAGCTCCTTCCTGTGTTACTATATTTAAATGCAGTGTCTCCTTTGAGTACTTTGACGCTTTAGAGCGATTGTGTTGAAGGAAGTTTCGTGAGGTGGCAGGTGTAAACTTCGGACGCTGCGAGCAGAGATGACCACCCTTGGGGGGCGCGTCCGCCTCGACTTGCTCCTCGGCAGCGAAGAGGAGTCCAAGGAACAGAAGCTGCCGAAGGACGTCTGCAAGGCCGTCCGGGACGCGCTGACGGCTGTCATAGAAAGGAACGCGTCGTTGTCGAACCCGAACTGGCCCGAGAGTAAACGGCAAAAGACGGGGAACGGACAAACAGTGACCGCCTCGTGAGCGGCTGCCTTTTGCTGGGAACAAGTTGAGTCAAGTCGATAGGTAAGATTTTTGGAAGAGGCGTCTATTTAGAGGACCCCCATTTATCAGCTGCCCGCCTACCACATGGGAGGTTATTGGTCGTTCAAGGAGCGGGCTTGGTGATTCATTGCTGAGCTGTCCAGGCGTTTGTGGCGCTTTCCTATGCTTAGGAGACGGAGGAACTAACCTCTACCGGCCACGAACTAGTGTTGCTGCCAGAAGGTGCCTGCGCAGCGCCACAAGATTAATTAGTCGCAGATCATACAGGGGTGTAGCCTGAAGTGCAACAACAAGTTGGTAGGAGAAGGGTCTGAAGCGTCACCATTCCGGGCGCACTCTGCTTGGAAAGTTGACGTAAGTTGCAAATTCTACATGTCTAGCAAATCAGGCTTTGGTTAGGATCGTTCGTGAGGGCGACAGTTTGCGGCAGTCTGTGAGTTGCAGAATACTCTCAAGATAATTGATCATGTTGATTTCTTAGAGAGTGCGTACGTTGGGTTGATTTCGTTATTGTGTGGCCAAGCGTAAGTTTGGACGTATTAACGCTACTTTTGCCAGCGGTGCATGAACAACTTTGTTGACGAATTTTCAGCTCGCTCGAATTGAGTGCACAATGGATGCACATGTGCGGAAGTGAAAGTCTACTGTCGCTTTAGAATCCCTTGTGCATGTGCTGCCAAAGAATGGGTTGCATGCAACTGCTGCTTAGTGGCCCCCGAGTGCATTCAGCAATTCACTCGGCCGCCATGTTTATAATCATATGACATAGATATATTAAGGACGCGCATGGCAATCATCCTGATCATGTTGCTGCATGCATTGGTATTATAAGGATATATAGTCCGTCGGAGGTATCGATCACTTCCAATCTTACATTCCATCGAAGCATGCACTTGGCAACTATAAGAAGGCATGTCGCGAGTAACCTTCACAAATGACAGCATTGTTCTACATCCGTGACGCGCGTTCCTATAAGCGTACATGTACTGGTTAGCTACCTAGCAACATGAAACTCAAGCAAGTTCGCATGGACCACTGCACCGCCCGCATACACTACCTCCCCCACTCAGACTAGGTTGTGCACTGCAGCCCGCCGCCCCGAGCTATAATTGAGCCACACACGTATCGCATGGCACATGCTTTGGTGCGCCAGTATTGTAAGAGGGTATTTGACTACGTATGCACTGTTGAGCTGCTCATCGCACTGCTCTCACATCTAGCTCACATCTCCCATCTTTCATCATCTCAAGCCTCAAACTCCAGAGTCGTACCTAGAAATTAGAATTTCGTATGACGGTTGACCGTCCTATTAAAGGATAGTGAAGAATCTACTAGAATCTAGACGGGTCTCACAAATGGCCCAGATGTAATTTTTGATTGCCGACGAATGACCGTCCAATACAACGATAAGATCTCATCCGACGGTTTCAATCAAGACATAGTCAGGTCGATCCGATCCAAATCCCAACATTCGCCGTCGGGTTTACCGTCGTTCAAATCCTGATTCCTGAAGTTGTGCCCTCATTGGCAGTCATTGCTCAAGCCTCAAGGCCAAGGCGGACAGACTGAGATACCAACCAACGGGCAGTCTTGGCCAGGTGCAAATGCCAAGCACCTTGAGGCAAATGCGCAGCAGATCACATGGGGGACCTCTTGGAAGACAGGGTGGGGCGGCAGTGGATGCACACGATGCCCTAAACCACGGCATCTTGTGTAGGGCCTAAATTCGATGGTCATTGGAGACAAGTACTGCCTTAACTCTTTTCGGTAGACAGGATGGGTAGTGACAAGACGCGCCCCACAAGCGCAGGGACAATGAGACCTGCGGATTCTGAAGTTGACTCTCAAAGGAGCGGCAAGAGCAATCCTGGAAAAAGGAAGCGGAACGACTGGTCAGCGGCGAGCCAAGGCACGAAGCCGATCACCAGCTTCTTTGGGGGCCCTGCAAGAAACAATGGCGCACCGGGCCCTGAATCTTCATCAGCAGCAGGCAAAGTCTCAGCAGGAGCAGGGACCGGGACTTCTGAGAATGCAGGTGCAGAAGCGTCTGGCCAAGAGTCTGAGCAGCTGCTGGGAGGCAAGAGCAGAGCTGCATCCCCCCATGGCAAAGTGAAGGAGGAAAGTGGGAGGGGTTCAGGTGCCAAGGCCATAAGTAAGGTGGGGAGGGGCCCCAAGCTCCTGCCTGGCCAGATGCGGCTCTCAGTTGCACACAGGCTCCCATTCGTGCCCCCCCGCAGAATTGCTGGTGGGGCTCCGGAGAGTGCCACGAATGCAGACCTCCACTGGAACCTGCAGCGTCCGCCACCTGCCCCAAAAGAGGCAGGTCCGCCAGCCACTGAGGGTGCGCAAGGTGCCACCATCCCGACTGCCGAACAAGATGGAGATGCTGCGCAGGCAGGGGCGAAAAGCGTAAGGAGAGAGAGTAAGGAAAAGGAGGAGGGGGGTGGTGGAAAGAGAGTCAAATGTGCGACCACATATCAAGCTGTCGGGGGCTTCGCCACAGGACACGTCCAGACTGTCCGAACGTCCTTCGACCTGTCCGACCATTTTGAACAGGCCGATGATGCTGAGGGCAGCAGCTTCATGGCGGCCAATGTGCGCCGAGGGCTTGAAAACCTGAGCGGCCGAACGGGGGGGATGCCGCTAGTTGAAGAGGAGCCTGTAGAAGCAGGGCAGGCACCCCCCCGGAGAACTGATGCTGCAGAGGCAGGGCCTAGCAACTGGCAGGCATTGGGAGCTCAAAGTAGATCAGATGGTCCAGCTGAGATCAACGGGGGAAGAGTTGGTGAACAAGCGGGGGGGGTGAGCGGTATGGTGCAGGGGGGAAATATGGGGGAAGGAGTTCCACGGGAGCCTCGGCCAGCACCGCCTGTGCTCAGTGAGGAGCAGCGCAGGGCTGCGACAAGTGCTTTCAACACACCGCTCATGATCATTGCAGGTATATTTGCGCCTGCTATCGTTTACCTGAATTAAGGACACTTCTGGGGTTTTAAAGGTTTAGGGTTTTGGGGGTGTGCCTTTTCTTTACATGTGAGTGGACAAATGGCCTCTAATGGTTGCTTGTGGGACCATCAGAGGCTTGTCACTGCATTCTCCTGGCACGAGTAGAAGCTGTTGAATGCTGAGTTCCCCTAGTGCGCGAGGTCAGGACAATCAAATCATTGTCTCGTGTTCCATTTGGCAGTTGACGTGCTTTTGAAGCCAGCTCTCAACTAGGTCCACCAAGGTTGCACGTTGCTTCCTCTCTTGGCTTTGTCTCACCAATCATGCAGTTTCTGTCAAAGCTACTCTGTTAAAGGAATGGTTTTGATTAGAGCATGGGAAAGCGGCTCTATGCTTGATCACTTTAATCAACCAGGATGCAAGCCTCGGTTTGTGTTTTGCAGGGGCCGGAACCGGCAAAACACAGACGATGGCAGTGCGTGTCGTGGAGATGATTCGCCAGGGCATACCGCCAGGAAACATCCTTGCCTTGTCCTTTACTAACAAAGCAGCAGCGGAGCTCGAGGAGCGCATTGGAAGGATATACTGGGGTTCCCGGGCGCAGGACAAACCCCCGGTAGACTTGAGCAAACTCACAGTGTCGACCTTTCACTCCCTTGGTAAGTGAATCAGATTCTGATGCTAAGTCCTAAATTTTTCCAGGCAAAAGGAGGATGGATTATGCTCAAGGGCCTCTCCCCACATTTGCCTGCATGGCAGAGAACAGCACCCTCTAGCCTGTGGTCACAGCTCTTGTGCCATCCTCGTTACAAACCTCTGGTACTCCTAAGGGCTCTATCCTGAGGTGGTCTTTTTACTCGTCCCTGCTTTCTCTCCCATACAGAATCCCGCCTTGATTCGATGAATCAACTTGTGTGGGCAAACCTAGTCAGAGCCGAGTAATTACTGCTTGGCTCAGCGCTGTCATCACAGAGCAGTCAAACCCCAGGAAAAGTGCGCCGTCAACGTCAAACCACTGCCTCATGCGTTCATCTTCTCGTTTCCATCTTCGCAGCAGTCCCTATCTTGTGTTGAACGGTCGCGCTGTATTTCTGCAGGCCTGCGGTGGGTGCGCATCTTCCACCGCGCGCTCGGCTTTGAGAAGATGCCGGCGGTCTACGAGAAGCGGCAAAAGGAGTTTACGGTGGCCCAGTGCCTCGAGCAATACAAACGAGATGAAGACCGCAAGAAGGCGTGCGGTTACCTTAAAATGCGTGGAGACGCACCCTGGCAGCGCATCTTCGACAAGTGGAGAGAGGTCAGTTCTGGGCTTGTGTATCTAATTCTGCTTAGCCGCTGACTGCCCGATATGCGACCAGCTTATTGGAAGCTGGAGGGTCTGATGCCAGAGCGTCTGGTTGCCGGTTCGTCGGTTGTCCCCCTGGGAGCTCGGTTGTTTTGCAAACAATTGCAACTGTCCACATGCATCCGGCTCGGCCTGCTTCTAATGTTGATACAGCAGCAGCCGGCTGACTCCACCACTTAATAGAGTGTTCCCGCATGCAGACTTCCCCCGACAGCTACCGCCAGTGCGAAGACGCCGTGCGCAAGAAGCTCGAGGAGAACAGGCGGAAACGGAAGAAGAAGCAGGACACCGAGGCGAAACAGAAACAAAAAGTAGCTCGCACAGACGAGGGCGGAAGCGGCAGGGGCAGGGGCAGAGGCAGAGGGGGCCGCGGCAGGGGGGGTGCTGGGGGGAGGGGGCGGGGAGCAGGCCCTCAGGAGGAGCGTCCCGAGAGTAGCGACAGGGGGGGGGCTTGTGAGCAGGGAGCAGAGCCGAACGGTAGTGTCGACGTGGAAGAGAGTGACGTCACCATGTGGGAGAATGAGCTGGCGGACGCAGTGTTCCACGAGATCTGGTTGTGGGAGTTGAGGAAGAATGTGAAGCATAAGGAGGGGACAGAGAAAAGCGCATGGGAGGCGCGGTGGAAGGGAGTGCCCAAAGCGAAGTACATCGTGAAGGATATTGAGCGCGCCAAGACGTACGGCCACACGGCGCACGAATACCCGCAAGGGGTGGCGGCATGGTCGGACGTGTTTCACATGTACGAGAAGAAGGTGCGTCCGCATCTGGTTCGTTGTTCCGAAGAGGCTTTCATGCTCTGTGGTCCTTTTCGAGAATGATGCTTGCGTTGTCCACCGTTTGTTGTTACCGGACTCTCCAAAGGGACACGGAGTGGGGTGCTTTTGATCCCACAAAGTCAGTCACTCAGTCTGATACGAGAGTCTCGTATCTGTATTCTTTGGAAAAGTTCGTAGCTTGCGCAATGAGTACTGAGCCCTAGTTAGGGCCGTGACGCAGAATGGTTTGTACGCCGCTCTGCGAGTTGCAGCAATGGACCCGTTTGTTTCATGTCCCACCGCTGCAACCCCGGTTCAGCTCTCAATCTATGCAGCTAGTCCGTTCCGCAACATGTGCTTAAATGCATCAGTCGTTGGAAATGGCTGCCCTTTGATAAGAGTCGGATGAGGACAAGTGATCTCTTTCTCTTGCAAGTATGCGAAGCGTTTACAGGAGTGGGGGGTGGAATATCTCATAAGTTTGGAATCCTCGCATCTCTTTGAAGAGGAGTTGCTCAAGAAACGTGCGGTTTTTATGCCCTGCTCAGATGCGCGAGGCGAACGCGGTCGACTTCGACGACATGCTGCGGCTGCTGGCGCTGCTGCTGGACGGGCGGACGTGCCGCGCGGCCAAGCGGCGCTTCCAGGCGCAGTTCAAGTACGTGCTCGTGGACGAGTGCCAGGACACCAACTCCGTCCAGAGCAAGTGAGAGCTCGGCGCAGAAGCTTTTCACAAAAAGATTGTTTTTCGACCCGTCGGCCGATCTTTCGCTGTGAAAACAAGTCTTTGGTGATGGAGGAGCGCTTCTACTGGATTCTGTAGGGTTGGATGCGAGCGCTGTTGGTCTTTAAGCACCTTGGTTACAAGATCACTCGGTCCCCTTTCAAGGCTCTCAATGACATATGGAGAAACCAAGGATTCTGCTCGTTTGCTTGTTGGGTTGAGAGGTCAAGCGACGTCCGGTAGACTTCGTTTGCTTTGCTACGTTTGAGCATCCCTTGCTTGTCGGGGTTTCATGCATAAATGAGCTTACTGTGCATGCATTATTCTTCGCCTCTCGATTCGCTAGCCTGCCAGGATCAGAAGTGGCTCGCCTACGTCCTGAACTTTCTTTCCTCTGTGTCCAGAATCGTCCAGAGCTTCTACGAGTCGATGCCCGAAAGCAGCATCACCGTCGTAGGTAAGCAGGCGACTGTCTTTGTGTCAAGCTTTTGGCAATCCGCAACCTGAGCTTCCTCGTCGATCCATGGGTCAACGGGCGATTGTCTGATAGATTCCATGTAACTTTATCTGCTCTTTGGTCTGATAGTTTCCATGTCACTTTATCTGCCTTTTTCTTACAGAAGCAAAACCATTCTCGTTCCCTTGGTAAAGCGAAGATCACCGAAGCACTCGTCTCTTTACTACTGGCATGAGTGTGCATGACGATCAGGTACTGACAGGTCCGTCCCGTTGCAGGCGATGACGACCAGTCCATCTACGGCTTCCGTGGTGCCAACAGCATGGCCTTCACGGTGAGTTTTGGCTGTACTCACAACGACCATTCCCAGCTATCACTCTAACCTAACCTTCTTAGGTGTCGGTACAGCTCCGGGGCGCACGTATCGTTTGTTCAAGCCGTTTCGCGCAACAGCTCCAATGTCGCCAAGTTTCTTAGACATAGAATGTTGCGCAGACTCTTGCACTGCGTTTACCTTTATCATTTTCTTTTTGCAGCTGTTCATGGACCACTATTTCGGCGTGGAGCGGTCGCTGCTGCAGGAGAACTACCGGTCGACGGCCAACATTCTGAAAGTGGGCGGCGCAGTCATCCGCGACAACGTGCAGCGCGTGGTGCACAAGACGCTGCGGCCCACCAAGGCGCAGGGCGACCCGGTCCTGGTCGTGCAGGCCGGCACAGAGGAGGACGAAGCTGCCTGGGTCGCCAACAAAATCGCAGGTGGGTGGCGATGGCTTTATTTATTCTTTGTGCAGTTTCATCGCAGGTGCCTCAATTGGATTGAGAAACGGTTCTTCCTCGTGAGAAAAGGTTGTGTTTCCACCTTCGACGACAAGGACGAGAACATGGTTTGTGATCAACATTTTCAGGTGGGCGGAGTATATCATGTCGCAAAGCAGACACAGGTACGGCCGTCAGGCTCCTTTCGAGGAATCGCAGTCTACCTTCTTGCGTTCTCCTGGGTTCGAGGTGTTTGTAGAAGGCAAGTCTCCTCCTGTCTGCACCGAATTCAATGCTCATGCACTTGCTCTTTGACGGTTCTTCTGGGAGCACAGCCTTCCGAAACTCCCCAAGCTACATACATCGCAGCCCTTCTACTAAATTCTGCTTCGTACCTTCGAGCCTTTGACGGATATTTCCCTTTGCGTGCAGAGACGATGGCCGAGGAGGGCAACACGCGGCGCTTCCGCGACTTTGCGCTGCTGCTGCGCAACTTCCGCTTCGGCAAGCAGGGCTCCGTCAGCACGGTGTTCCAGCAGGCGCTCCAGCGGAGACGGATTCCGTACAAGCTCACGGGCGGGCAGAGCATCTACGAGCGGAAAGAAATTCTGGACGTCATGGCTTATTTGGAGCTTATTCTAGACGGGGATAACGACGCCGCGTTCGAGCGGGTGTGCAATAAGCCCCCCCGGGGGATGAACCCGGCCAAGGACAAGTCGCAGACCATGACTGTGATCCGGGCGGTAAAAGGGCAACTGGAGAACCGGGGAGAGCGCGCGAGTCTGATGGCCTCGACTAACGAGGCGCTCCGGCGGGGCGATCTGGACGGTGCGAGCGCGGGCAAAGCGCGGAGGTTCGCTGACGTCATCGAGGAGCTCCGGGACTTCGCCACGTGGCACTCGGTTGTGGAGACGACGCGCGAGGTGCTGAGGCGGACGGGGTACGCGGAGTACGCGAGGAAGGAGCGGGAGAACGAGCGGAAACGGAAACGGAAGCAGGCGGGGCGGCGCGGGGAGAGGGAGGAGAGCTTTGATTCGGACGATGAGGACGCGTTGGAGGGGGGAAAAGATGCAGATCCGGACACAGAAGCGGTGCTTTCGGACGAGGAAGATGCGGACGAAGCGATGGAGACGGAAGGGGGAAAAGAGACGGCGGGAGAGCAGAGAGACAGACCTGGGGAAGGAGAAGCGAAGCCGAAAGAGGAGGCAGATGAGACAGGACGAGCGGAAGCGGAAAATGGAGAGGGCGGAACGGAGAAGGCGGAAGAGGAAGCGGGGCACGGAGAAGAGGCGGCCGAAGCGGAGGAGAAAAAGGAGTTGGGGGAAGTGCTGTTCGGGTTTGTAAGGGAGGCAGAGCACTTTGGGAGGCAGTGGTCGGCGGGAGTGCCCCCGGACGGTGAGGAAATAAGGTTCTCGTTTGAATCGACTCCTTTGAATTGTCTTTCTGGGCAAGTTGGCACCTTTCGTACGAACGGATTGTGGATGGCAGAGAGGAAGGGAAAGCGACGATTGCGCTGCCAGCTTCGACTTCCTTAGCGAATCTTCTGAGGAATGTGCCCGCTTTTGTCGTAGCAAAGAAGGCTGTGGCCCTCTTGGTTAGCCCTAGATTGGCCGTTAATCTGCAGAACATTCGACTTTAAACAGGGCATGCGGTCAACACCAATCAGAGCCGTGTGATTATCTCTTCAAAATCTGCAGAGCCCATCCGCGCAGCCTCACATGCCCTCTGCACAAAGCGAGCAACCGCCTCATCCTGACACTGATCTCTCTTTACCCCGCAATCGCAGTTGCCGAAGCTATCCCGAGCTTGTACACGCTGTGCCAAATGAAGATATGCGAGTACACCCAGGCCGGTTACTACGACTGCCAGGATGTGCGCGCGGGGGTCGCAGAGGGAATGGCAGATGACATCTTTGCGACGCAGCGGTGAGGGATTCTCAAAATAGGTGCACGTTTCAGCAGCAATCTGATCCGGCTCACGGATTGGATGCCTCTAGATAGAACGTCTCGCAAGTTGCCTGAAATTTGCTTCCGCTTGTCTTCAAGAAAAGCCTCAAAGTCGGCTTACCAGTAAGTGTCTGCTTCAGAAACTTCTTCTCATTACTATACTGCTCACCTTCGCTGCCATGGCATGTCCGCACACAAGAGGGTTGCTTAATGAGAAAGAGGGCGGTCGCTTTTCTTTTCTCCTCGTTTCTAAGTTGTCGACATTGCCTCTTTCATTTGCAAGTGGATTGTCTTCACTCTCTGTCTAGAACACGTCCTGTAACTTCCAACCTTTGGTCCTGGAACCGTTTCCTGCCTAACGTTCAAGGTATGTGCACTGCTGCCTTCTCTTCGGTGGCGTATACACCGTTATCTTCGACAAGCTCACCCCGCTCGCTGGCTCGTGCAGGTTGGGCCTGTCGGTGCTGCGGGATTTCGGGAGCGCCATTGCGCTGCAAAAGGAAGAGAACGCCGCGGCCGAGGGAGAACGGGACGCCGTCACCATCAGCACGATACACCGGGCAAAGGGCCTGGAGGTGAGGCACCTTCTTTCGTCAGATTGAGAGAGCAGATTGCAACAGAGGGTCTTACGTGCGGAGTTTGTCGAGCTTCTTTTGCGGACGACAGGGATGACATTTCTATGGATCAGGAGAGATGATCCAGATTTGGACGAGCTGTCAGGGGCTCTTTGGAGTAGGGGCCCGTCAGGATGACCTTGGTAATCAGTGAGTTTTGGCTGTGCCAGGCATGTCACTTGTGAATGTTGCACGATGTACGGGGTTTTGGTTGATTCCCTGTGTTGTTTTTCTTGTAACCGAAAGAAGCCGTTCTGAGGTCCAGAGAAACGTGCTGCGGTAGAAACCAGTGCTCTTAGGAAAGAGCCTTTGCTTTTTCCACAGGACTTGATGTCCAAGTCCTTTGCTCGGTTGCTCCTTGAGCGCCTTACTGGCCCTCTCGATTGAGATATCCCCTTCCTCGCTGATCAGCTATGGACAATCCCCTCGTGCAGTGGCCGGTCGTGTTCGTCCCCCGGTGGAACGAAGGCTTCTTCCCGACCCAGTTCCGGGAGCAGGCCCTCCCCCTCCCCCCGGGCGCTCCCCAGCCCCCCGGCAAGGACGAGCTGGGCCACATCGAAGAGGAGCGGCGGCTGGCGCACGTCGCCTGCACTCGCGCCAAAGACCAGCTGTTCATATCGTACATACGCATCCTGGCCAAGTTCAAGACGCCCGAGGAGCTGGAGAAGTCGTCGTTTCCGCTGCCCGAGGTAAGAACTGCCGCGCAGGGTCGCAATAGATCTTCAGGACCCTTTTTGGGGTGACCTCTCGATGCGGGCTTGTTTCGGGTGGCGTTTCTAACCTCTGGGAAAGTTTTCGTTTGTATGGCCGAGTCTTGAGCGGCACCGCAAGCCGGCCACAAAGTGATTCTGCGGGCATTTTGCTGCTGGGACAATGACTGTCCGTTGCAGACAGAAGAACAAGGCCTTCTGAACCAATTGCTGTGTCCTTTGTTGCAGGACCCGGCAGTCTGCCATGAAATCGTGCTTGAGGAGAGTGAAGAGGAGGCTGCTGCAAGAGACCGCGTAAACGCGACCCGCCCCAACTTCGTGGGGTTCAGGTTTGCAGGGGGCTTCGTTTAGACACCTGGCAGGCCTTCTCGATACTCGTTGAAATGATTATAGCCTCTAAACTATCAGTCTGCTTGTCAATTAGTAAGATAGCTATCAGTGCTGTGCCAAATGATAGAGGTCGTGCCTATTTAATAAATAGGCACGACCTCTATCATTTGGCACAGCACTGAGCTTGGAAGGGGCAGCATCTCGGGCAGGTGGTATATGTAACATAAGATCAGTTACGGCTTAGAAAAATAAAACCGTTCTTACTTTGAAATCTGTGTTTGAGTCTTGAACGCATTGTTTCTGGAAGCTGCTACCTTGGGTTGCTGCAAGGGGCAGTCAATATATTAGTAGTAACGGCGATGATAACATGCGATTGGATCGTTCAGATGGCCGAAAAGACGGGTTAAGTATAGACAACCACAACCGCGCCATATAATCTATCCGTCGGCGGCGCGCCAACATTTGCAGCGGGCCATTCAGCTCTCGATTGCAGGTTTATTCAAGAATACCGTGACAGGCCCGGCTGCCCATGTGAGGCCCACCGTCGTCGAGCATGATCCTTAGCTGGTCCACAGAAAATCTTTGATTATAGCGGGCGCCCAGGCCTACGGCCGCGCGCCAGCCTGCGTGTCATTGGCATGGCGGATCAAACGCGTGCACGTTGAGCTAGCCCGCATTGCCGTCGACGAATCGGAATACCTAGCGTGTGCATCCATGCATGGGCTCGCAATTCAATTCAGCTTACAATATTGATCGCGATGCCATGGGCCGCGCAACAGGGTAATTTATAATGATAGGCGGCTTCTATACTAATTATACATGCCAATCCCTTGCACGTCCGATCGCGCACGTGTCGACACTGTCACCTATAGCTAGAGCCGCCTACCATGATGTGCACTCACCGTCTCAGGCTGCCATCAAGCAAGCGCGGTATGCGTCCATCAATATGCGGTATGCCGCCGGCATCCTTCTCTTACTATATGGTTGACTCAGCCCTAAGTGCATTAGTATGGCAAAGGCCTGGGGCGAAGTGTGCACATGCAGGCACAGTGCCTTATGGTGAACAGAGGCCAGGTTAATTTGCGTGACATGTCGATCAGTGGCCAATGATCGATACAGATCCAAATCTATAATGATGGTGACGATGCCCGCACTACCTCGTGTGAGGCGCGCGGCCGCTAGTGGTTGCAATCTACCAGCCCGGCAGGGCCCTCATCAGACAACCGTGTCGTGGTGAAATTTGATATGCAATACAGACAGTAAGTTAGCTACACTTTTGTCACTGGGGCCGGTCGCGTTGACATGCGCAAGCTTCCAAGCAGTTATGCATCTCCAGCCTTGACTCTCCACGCATCATCATATTGTGTTGCTTCCCTAGCCGTCTCCTTTTGCCACATCTTGCGCCAGCTTCGCGCCATTGACGTTGAACCCACTATGCTAGTTCTGGTCTTCGACAAGTTTCTGTAACCTCTTTTTGAAAGCGGGCAGCTTGCTAGGGTCAATCTCCATAAGCAGGTACATTTGGCGCACGTGCTTGCTCTGCACAGTCAAAGTGGATTGCTAGGGGTGTTCCAGAACAACTTCAGAATTGAGGCCGGGCAGAGGGAAAGAGTAGACGCGAAGGCACCTTGCCGAGGCAAACGGCGCTTCCGCGTCAGATTCTCACATAGAAGGGAGCAGAAACTGAATCTGCTCCAATTGACGATTAGCCGCCACCAGAAGACAGCGATCCGAAGAAGGCGGATTGTGAATTTCCACGCGAGTATCGGCCTCACCTCATGCGCAGCAAGTGCCTCCGCCGTGACCGGGAACCTGTAGGCCCAGCTTGATAACTGCACAAACGACCAGATCACGCTCACAACAACTGTACGGCAGTCCCGTTTGCATGGTAAGGGAGTGGTGATTAAACTTGAAGGCAAGTACGGGAGTGGAATGCCTGAACAAACATAAAGTCGCCGTTTTTGCGAACAGAACCCTATGAGTCATTCTTTTGCGGGCGTTCTCGACTCGTTGAGCTATGAAAGATGGATCCAACAGCGCTGTTCACTTTGTTTCCCTCTTGCGTTCGTGCGAGAATGAGAGTGTTCAGTTGGAACAGCTCCTTACTTGTTCCCAGATCTCGTCTTCCGGCTTCATGTAGATCGTCGAACTGGATGGGTCACCTCCCTACATAGATAGAAAGGAGCGAGATCCATACGGGTGCCCAGCTGTCGATCCAAGCTCCTGCCCAGACGAACCTTCCACAAAAAGCTTTCTATCTCAAGGTTCCTCCAAGAGATCGAGACCTAGACGCAAGGAGTCAAAGCAGAATTCACACAAATAAGTTACAACACTCGATAACTGTTTGTACTGGCACACGGCTTCAGAGGATCGAACTAGGATGGTGCTTACTCGGCTACTGGGCCCCGCCGCCTGTCTATCGGCCCTCTGCGTCTCCTCGAAGACCCGCGTGAGTAGCAGGTACTTGGAGAAGCGAAACGACTCCCGCAGCTCCTCGGTTGGCTGCAGTCAATACATGACAAGTTTCCCAATGTTCGTCCACCAATTGCAACATGTTCCAGCTACATGGGAAATTGAAATCACTGTTGGTGAAGCGCCAATGTGCGTTTAAGGTCCTGACTTCGGAGGCTTTTTAACACAGAGATTGCGGACTGCAGCTGCAGCATATCGGATCATGGGCTATCCACCTGAGGCAGAGCGTTGAGGATGAAAAGTAGACGGACGCTATCAGGACGCTATTATGCCCTCGCGCCCCTTCTTATGGAAAGGCCTACCGTTTTAATTTCCCTCAAGCCCTAGGTAGCTGGGAGTCTTGCAAGGCCAACAATTACTGCTTGAGATCGTGCCGCCCTCTTTGGTGGTTTCACAGAACCTCCGTGATTGCTTAAAATCCGCAATTAGAAGGCAGAAAGAGTCAAATCGAGGCCTGCAAGGTTCAAGTCAGCAAAGCTTGCCATCAAAGGTACTTCCGAGAGTAGACATGTCGAAGCCCAGATCAGCCATACATGACTCCAAACAGAGTAACGAGATGTTGTCCCGGTTTTGACCCACCTCGTCCTCAGTGGCCCAGCTAATCTCGTCAAACAGCCCCTGGTGCAAAGGAGGCGCCAGGTCGAGGGGCACATTGATCAGCCGCTCGCTGACCAATAGCCCCACGCGGCCCTTCTTCCCATCTAGGAGCACTTCCAGCTTGCCCGCCGTGTGCTCGTCCTTTTTACACCGCAAGCGCAGGAACCGCACAATCTGCTTTGTGGGCTCCGTGTCCTGTGCCCAGGAAAGGAGTCGTGGCCGTCAGTAAAGCCGTTTTACTGGGTTTAGACAGATCTGATTTCAAGCTCATGACTCAACTCGGTTTTGGGTAGATTGATGACGGGGCATATTCGCAAAGGTGGGACGCACAACGTGGAGAAAATAGAGTACCCACTGGTTGGTCAAGTGGGGAAGAGGCTAAAATGACAGAGAGTCCCCAGTCAAAAGTCCTCCAAACGCCCTCGCAGACTCATATTGAAACTCACAGCCAGAGCTGTTATTCATGGACGTCTGGTGACATCAATTCCGAAATATGCAAACAGACCGCAAGACATTACTCCGCCGTCCAAAGAGTATGTGTGCACGTCACATCAGGCGGAATGATCCATGTTCAATTCTCACCTTATATCGTTCGAAAGCGAGCACCGTCAGTAACCCAATCGGGTCCTCGTCCTCGGTGGTTTTGATGACCGAGCCAACCGTTGTCTGCGCCAGTACAAGGTCCACCAATCCGGGGAGGTCAAATGTTTCATCGTCTAGGTAGCTCTTCAGGAGCGCCTTCACTCCATGGTAGTCGCTCGGTTTGGGGTCAAAGAACTCAAAGTCGACGTTGATGAAGTCCTGTGGACAGAGGTGAACTGAGTTCAAGATGCCGTAACAAACAAAGAAAAACTTGGCGAAGTTCAAGACTGCCATCCTCAGTACAATTGTTTACCACCAGATAATGCATTTCCCAAAAGAAGACAAGCTGTAGCATAATTGTCCTTGGTGGTCCTATGTATTTCTTGCAAATGCAGAGATTGTGGAATCACAGAACGACACAAGCCAGTTGGTTTTTCTCCTACGTGATCATCGACTGCGATGGGAGTGGTGGTAAACAGAAGCAAACAAAAGTGAAGGGCCTCTTGATGCAAACTTGCTGCATTGCACTGGCGTCATTCTTACAGCTTACCAAACAATCCTACACTTCAAGGTGTCGATCCCGTCCACCACCCACCGTAAGTCTCTCAATGCTGCAAACAGACTCCATCGTGAGAATCATGAGGCTCAGGTGGTGCCCATTCTCACCGGCTCTTCCTTGTCTTCTTCCCCACTCTCCTCGTCCTCCTCTCCGCCCCCGCTCCCATACCCGCTGCTGCCACTTGAGTCATCGGAAGACAACACCTCCTCCTCCTCTATCTCTTCCTCCTCTATCTCTGCTTCTTCGTCCGGGTCAAGTTCCGTCTCTGCCCTCTTGTTGGCAGCACCCTCCCCAACGTCATCAGTCGCCTTCCGCTTCGGCATGGTGGGCAGACTTCACTCCTAGTAGTACTAGAGAAAGTAGATGGTGAGCGCCTCTGCCCACTGCCTGATGCTCCTGAAACGTTGGACAGACTGTGGGCTCCTGCGCACTGGTTCTGTTACATTACCTTCGCGGCCATGACAGGAAGCGTTCCGGATAATCTGTGGATACAACGTCATTGGAAACGGTAGCCGAGCTTGGAGAGCTTGACTTTCCACAAGATTTCTTGACGTTTCGACGACCGGTGAGTCCGGGCATTTACTATTACTATTAGAAAGAAGTTCCTCCCAAGAAACTACGCAAATGCTGGAGCTGCTCTGCTCTTGCTCAGGCTGGTCCTGAAAGGAGCTCAAGCACAAGTTGCGCAGGTCCTACTTGTACCTACTTGGGAAGAGAGTCCAGTCACCAGTACCTAGTCTTGATAGAAAGCAGTGCTCAGCAAGATCAGCCACTTACATTTGCAGCTTGCACTTAAGGCGCTGCTGATTTGAAGACCTTAGCTGGCCGCACGGCTCCATTAGTTGAGGCAGATTGGGACGGCGGCCTCACCGCTGCAAGGCAGCTGCATAAAGTTGCGACGCAATGAAGATCAGCTACTTTGGGCCTGGCTTTTCTACTTGAGTCTCCATTGCAAGCTCCAAATTAGCTGGGCTGCTACAGGCTGAAGGAGCTCCTTTATAAGGCAGCTTGAGAGGCTAGAACTCTGACCCATATGAAAGGGTTTCCTCTTCGCCCCTCTTCAGCAGCACGTATGCAATTCACGTCTCAGCTCTTCTAAGTTGATGATTCTGCTTCCGCAATGATAGTGTGTGTAGGAGTTGTGGGCCAAGCGGTAAGTCCATCGTCTTTAATCGTCCCAATGATGCTAAAACTTTAAATTGCCTCTGACGTGCTGTTGTTTGAGGATTTTGTCATACTTGCTGTTCCTAACGGGCGCCACACTCAAGCTGGAAATGTATCCAAGGATCCGCTATGACTTCCTGCACAAATTGATAGAACAATGCATTTTGCAATCCAGGCTTTTTGAAAGAGAGCTGAACTTGAGCAATCGGTGCCACCGGTCGCATCATCTTTGAACACTTTGGATGCTTTCAAGACTTTTCCAAGGAGATTTTTGAAGGAGAAGCTGATATTAGACGTCTCTTGGACTCGTGATCAGATGAGTACCCCTCAAGTAGGCCTCATGATTCGAGGAACCACATCTTGATACCCAACCCGGAGTTGCCCCCCAACCGAGCCTGAATTCGAGCTTTGAAGTCGCCCTCCTCCATTCTCCAATCTGAACAGAATGACTACCAACGTATGGCAAGCAGCTGAGATTTTGCATGTCGCTCCCTGCAGAACAACCCCCTTTTCATTCAGAGCTACACGGAGGGAGACGACGCGCTGAAGTTTCACCATGTAGTGCACTGTGCCCTTGATGTCATCGAAGAAAAAGGTGAGGCCCCTAAGTCAAGATGCCTGATGTATATTCGTCCTGGGCATCGTCTGCGCTGGACAACCAGTACCAGAATCGGTGGCTCCCATAGATGTGCTGTCGTGTTCTTCACAGGATAATCTGCTTAATGTCTGGTCGGGATGAGATACGGAGAGTTTGCTGCGCAGCCACCCCAAAGAAAGGCGGGACGGGCTACAACGAGACTTACCTGGGTCTGCTGTATCCTACAGAGGACTACAAAGTGTGAGTCTCAACAGACGATTGCCACCTTGATGAGTTGCTGTCCTGAATCCGTGATTGGATCAACCTCTTGAGTGTTTTGTCTGAGGAAAACTTCAACTCAATGTTGGTGATTGCAATCGTGATAAGAACTCGAAATATGCCTGGTCCAGCTTAGGTCGGAATATGCGTGATCTGGTAGATCAACTCTGAATCGCTTTCATGGTACATTCTTGGAACAGTTGTTCAAACGCTTTTGAAGCTTGATTGCTTCCGTTATTGCAGGTACGGGTATGTAAGCAACACCCGTGTGAAGTTTATCATGGTGTCTGACGATTTGGACGCCAAAGAAGCGGATGTAAGAGGGGTGAGTCACGATTGCGCTCTATCATTTAGCCTACTTCGTCCATTCTGACAGCATGTAAACAACAAATTCTCTTGTCTACATCGAGCTAGATTGAATTCTATATTACTCTCGCTTGTGGTGACTGGGTTGAAACGTTGTGAGGACGTCATCTACATACTCGACTTGTTCCTCTGCAGTTTTTCAAGCGCTTCCATGCAGCGTATGTGGATGCCGCCCTCAACCCCTTCCATGTTCCCGGCAAGAGGCTAGCGTCGCCGACGTTTGCTGCACGGGTGAATGGCATCGTCAATGGTTTTGGCAAGAGCACAGCTTGAGCATCTTTTGTTACAATGACAAATGCAAGATTACAAAGCCTGGCCGCACTGTCATCAAAATGGGCATGATTAAGTGCATGATGTGCAACTGCGTCAAGCACATCGGTTCTACGCCTATTTTAACCTTCGAGTCGAGTGCGTTCCAAAGATCAGTCGTAATCTGCTCAGATTGGTCCATGTTTTCGACCACAAACCAATGCTTCCCCACGCCACTTATATAAGGTTGCGCCGTTGTGGTAAGTGGAGGGTGAGTGGGGTCGATTGTTGACCGCGTGTCCAGACCGTAAATGGAAGACTTGATTGGTAGACTCTCTGTCTTGCCAGAGCACCAAGCTTGTCACTCCCCTGCTCGATCGGGTTCGAAAGGGTGAGTCGGTGCCAATCTCGTGACTCGTCATTGAAGTCATGCAGCTTTTCAGCTAGTTGATTTCTCATATGCGCCAGAACCATAAATGCGATAACAGATTGTGATTCAATTTGGTTTTCAGATGTTTGTTCTCAACAGAGTACGTCATACAAAACTCGACCTGTCGCTATTTGATGGTAGACCTAGTGCCAGTACCCCGCATATTCTCTGCTTGATGTTCCAAACAATTGATGAAACCGCCCTCCTATACTTGCCTAAAACTGCATATCCTTATCGATCAGACCCTATAAACCGGCACACACGCAAATGTTAGCTTTGAGTCCAGAACGGCATCTTTTGCAAAATACGTTTGCCGTCTTCTTCTGCTGCTGACTAGCATGGATACAAAGAAACTGCACTAGCTCATGTGAGGAGACGACACGTGCAAATAATGAAATAGGTACATGCAGTCGTCTCATGCAATTCTTGCCACTTTATTGGAGCACCCGAGCGACATTGATTGGTGCGAAAAGACTCTTGATCATGAACGCTCTCTAGCGCTGCAGCCGCCTGCCCCGTATAGCTTGGCATGTGCACCTTCTGTTCTTCGTTGAATCTTACCCAGATGGTGAAGTGTGCTGGTGCTTGAATCTGGTCATGGCCGGGCGAATGCATGGTCACGACGGCCAAAAGGGCCCTAATAGGGCTCTGGCATGCAGTACTAACTTGAAGGTGCACTGCACCGCTTCCGACGCCTGCGGTTTGTACCGCGCAATAACGGAGTGCTCACTGGATCGGATTCCATGCGGAAGGGCACAAGCTGAAGGTTTGTACCGCTTGACCGCGGGGCTCCCTCGACTCCTGGCATGTCACCAGTATGTTGCGCGACTTTCGCGGCTCATACAAAAGTTTGACTTGGAATCCACGTGTCAATTTCTATTACATTATGGATAGTTGGCAACGGCTGCGATGATCGAAAACAGCATACTGGACCATCGACGGTCAAATCCATTCGGATGGACACAACAACACCGACGGTTGTGCCTCGCGACTGCCCGGTGGTGACGATGGCCGCCGGGTTTTGCCGAGTCAGCACTCACCTCTGTGCAAGTATTACGCTAAACCCACAAATTTCAAGCTGGGATTCTGTGCTGTTTCGACTACGAATCCGTCTAAGCCAATCTTGGTTAGCACGGCGAACCCAAAAAGTCAGCATGCCGCGTGTCAAACCGTTGTCCGACTCTTCAAACAAAGGTGAAAGACCGGAAACCAGTCCTGCAAAGGAAAGGGATGGTCTTTGTGCGAGGCTTGATGCAATCCACACGCGGTTTGGCCGACGACCAGCGCCCCACCAGCACACTTTCACCACCTGGAGGACGGAAACGTGACCGTCGCGGACTTCCTCTCGCCTTCTGCTGCTGAGGAGCGCCACTTAAACACCATGGCTCCTGCTGCGTTGAGCACCAACTCGAACGGCGCCACAAATGGGGCGTCGGGCAAAGGCGTCCACCAGCAGCAGGAGATTCAGTGTGATGCACCACCACCAGTGAAGGTTACGACGGTTGATCAGCTGCATGCCCTGCAAAAGAAGACTAAACCAGCAACTCCGCGAACTCCTCAAACTCCAGAAGATGCAGACAGAAGCGACTCAGCTCTCAAGTCAATCAGGTACTGATCGGCACCTTTTGGTTGTGAGCGGCCCTTGCTAGTTGCTCTATGTGGCCATACTTTGACTTTCGTGCATGACTTGCTAAAGTGTACTGATTCCTCATTTCTGAGGAGCTTTGCGTCGGGCATTGAGCAATGCATCATTCTTCAAAGTTGAGCTCTCAGTCTCGCAGCAATATGTGCTCTGGAGCCTGGCTGGCTGCTGATTATGTTTCCCAATTGAGTATGACGCTGCTGCACAGAGTCCCAGCTGACTAATTTTTCTATGGAATTGTGCAGTGCATCTCTTGCATCATCATCCCGCTCAATTGGGCCTCAGGTCGTGAAGGGTGATCCGGCAAACCAAAGACGGGAGTCTTTCCAGCAAGTTTCAGTTGTCCCAGCCAGGCCTCACATCAGTGACAGTGCAATCAAGCTTACCCATATTCTGTACAATCTCTCAGCAGCTGGTAAGGAGCGAGCTGAGACCCTAACAAAATTTTCAACAGCTATGAGCATGGTCTGCCTCCTCTTCTAAGCTTGGTGTCTATGGTGGCTCTTGCGTCATAGGCGACACGGCATTTCATCCAATTCGTCAGGAGGTTGATGCATTGCTGATTATGATCCCTTTCTGGTTAAGAAGTTCTTGTGACTTTGTGGTGATGTGCCTGACAAACCACAGTTTGTATCTGCAGAACTTTACGAGCAAGCTCTGCGCTATGAAAAGGGTTCCTATATCACATCTACGGGAGCTCTTGCTGTCCTCTCCGGGGCAAAGACAGGAAGATCGCCAAAAGACAAGCGAGTTGTTAAGGAAGAGACCTCTCAGGATGACCTGTGGTGGGGAGAGTGAGTGCTCCAGCTGCAAAACCAGCTCAGAAGGTGTCGGCAATGCATTGTTGTTCTCTCCTTCCGGCCAAGTCCTCTGTGTGTCTAGGATGTGGAGCAGATTGTGTCCCAGCTTTTGTACAAAATGTGATTGCATCCTCGTGATCCTGCATTTTGTCCTTACATGTTGCCATCTTTGTAATCGTTCTGGCAGGGGCTCTCCGAACATTGAGATGGACGAGCATACCTTCATGATCAACAGAGAACGAGCTGTGGGTAAGAACGTCGAGATGCGTTTTCTTGATTTGTGGTTGAGAATGTATCTTTAAGCTCTTGCAAGCCACCTTCTAGAGTTAATTCTCCAGGAGTACTCTTTGTCTTGAGTCACGCAAGCTTATGCAGTTGACTTAGCAAGCTTATGCACTGATTTGACGTCAGCAAGCTCATGGAGTTGTCTGAAAAGAGGGACGCTTTTGGTAAGAACCAAACATGGGAGCAGAATCAAATGCTACGTTTTTCCTCTCTCGTATCTGCAGATTATCTGAACTCGCTTGATAAGGTGTACGTGAACGACCAGTTCTTGAATTGGGATCCTGACAACCAGATCAAGGTCCGGATTATATCCGCAAGAGCCTACCACTCTCTCTTCATGCAAAATATGTGAGTCAGCCAGCAACTTCGCAAGCAATCTCCAATGCTGTGACTATGGCCCTATGGCCTTGGCCTGCTTCTCAAGTCTGTTCTTCCTGAATGCGTACTGGTGTCTTTTCACGAATATTGCCAGATCTGCTCATTATTTTCTCCACGTCAAACATACTGGAGTGCTGAACTCACTGCTTCACGACCAGCCACATGAACGGAATCCGTAATGCCTGCTGCACAATAAGAAGAAAGCTGTCTGCTGTGTGTCCATGTCGCTGCTGTTCTGAGTAGCCTTGATTTCGTTTTTGGTTGTGTCTAACATTACGAACCTCTGTCTTCTCAGGTGCATTCGGCCGTCAGCAGAAGAGCTAGAGAACTTTGGGGAGCCTGACTTTACCATCTACAATGCTGGCATGTTCCCTGCCAACCGTTTCACGCACTATATGACATCGTCCACGAGCATCGACATCAACATCAAGCGGAAGGAGATGGTCATCTTAGGGACGCAATACGCGGGGGAGATGAAGAAGGGGCTCTTCTCCCTCATGCACTACCTCATGCCGAAGAGGGGGATCCTATCACTGCATTCAGGCTGCAACATGTCGAAAGATGGCAGCGTTAGTCTCTTCTTCGGACTGTCAGGTGAGGTTTCTCCTTACTGCTCTTTACTTTTGCTAGGAAGTTGGACTCTCTTCTGAGCCAGTATCGGTGCTCTTAGTAGTTAAGGGAGGGGAGCATACCAAGTAGTGAGGGGATGGTCAGTTTCTTCTATGTTTGCATCCAGGTGGAATGTTGCTAGGACAATGTTCTTGTCGATTTGTAAATCTCGTGAGAGCTGGTTCAATGGTAGGCTGTTCCTCGACCAAGGGAACCCTGCACTGGTGACTGGTCGATGTATCTGTTTGCAGCAGTAAGGTTGATCACCAAATGTGGTCCAAGTTCTCTTTGTCTCTAGCACTTGTCTTTTAGACTCAGGCCATGTCACGCATGTATGCAGCCATCGGTCGCATCTTCCCCTCGCTGCTTCTGACTAGATTATTGCAGCAGAAGCTCTTTGTCACCCTTGGCCGAGCTGTAGTTAGTCTGCTCTATTTTCAGTGAGAGTCCGATGGTCCCGCTCCCTGAACGGAAAAATGTCTCTTACAGGCACTGGGAAGACCACTCTCTCGACGGACCCCAACCGCTACCTGATCGGCGACGACGAGCACTGCTGGACGGACAACGGCGTCACCAACATCGAGGGGGGGTGCTACGCCAAGGTCATCAACCTGTCCGGCGAGAAGGAGCCCGAGATCTTCAACGCCATCAAGTTCGGCACCGTGCTGGAGAACGTCGTGTTCGACGAGCACACCAGGATCGTCGACTACGAGGACAAGTCTGTGACGGAGAACACCCGCGCCTGCTACCCGATCGAGCACATCCCCAACGCCAGACTCCCATGCTCGGGCCCCCACCCCACCAACGTCATCCTCCTGACCTGTGACGCCTTCGGGGTGCTGCCGCCCGTCAGCAAGCTGTCGCACGCGCAGACCATGTACCACTTCATCAGCGGCTACACTGCAGTGGTGAGGTTGAGGAACGCCTGCTTTATTCCTTGATTGTTGCGGAGACGAGCTTGAGCTGCGCGGCTGCGGCAAAAGATGCTGCTGTGAATCTCCCCTTGTTCAATATCGCGAAGAATGTGTTAACGAACAACTGTTCTTACCGTTTGTCGAGGCCCCAGTCTTCTTCCCGTTTCCGCTGGGATCCTCTCGAAAGCATCTCATGACTTTGAAAGCGTTTGCTGTATCTTTACTACTTCCCAGTTGTATCTGGCGAAGGCCGTGCTTCTCTAGCTCTTATTGCAGTACGAGGACTTTTCACTCTTTATCAACGACCAGCGGATTCTTGCAGTAGAGCGGTAGACTTCCTCTGGCAAACTATTTACATCAGGCGCATCACATCAGGGGCTTACGAACTGCGTCAGTTCTGTATCTGAAGCTCTTCGTGCCATGAAAGTCTGCATAGATCTGGACTTGCACCGTGGCAAACCTTCATTCCACCCCTCCGCAGGTCGCGGGAACGGAGGACGGCGTGAAGGAGCCGACGGCGACGTTCTCGGCCTGCTTCGGCGCCGCGTTCATCATGCTGCACCCCACCAAGTACGCGGCCATGCTCGCGGAGCGGATGCAGCAGCACGGCGCGACCGCCTGGCTGGTCAACACGGGCTGGGCGGGCGGCGCCTACGGCGTGGGCCAGCGGATGAAGCTGAGCTACACCCGTAAGATCATCGACGCGATCCACGACGGGTCCCTGCTCAAGGCCCAGTACACAGACACGCCCATCTTCAACCTGCACGTGCCCGCCTCGTGCCCGGGGGTGCCCGCCGACCTGCTGAAGCCCGAGACGCAGTGGTCGGACAAGGGCGCGTACCAGGCGACGCTGAGTAAGGTCGCCGGGCTGTTCGTCAACAACTTCAAGAAGTACTCGACGTACTCGGTCGGAGGGGACGACAAGCTGACGAGGGAGATCCTGGCCGCGGGGCCTCAAGTTTAGGGCTGTTTAGAGGGCCGGTCTGTCAGTGGTTGTAGTTCGGTTGCAGCTCAGTAGTCGAAGGCGTAGGGGCGTGGTCCGTTTGGATGCACGCATTGTTCGAGTCGTTGATCCACTGAGTTTGTATTAAGGGATTGAACTCGTCCCGCCCATTCCCTAACTAGACGTTTACTTTTGGTAATGGCAGCTTGAGGCAAATGTTTATATCTGAGAATGTGTAGTCAATCCCATAGACGCTTCGCAAACAGACCCCTCAATAAGGTTTCCCCTTAGTACGATTCCAGCTTAGGGTTTTAATTTACAGGGGCGATGGAAGAATATCAGATTGAGATCAGAAAGGTTTCTTTGACTTTGAGCTTAATCAATCGTTTATCGATGTCTTTCAGTCCGCGGTTGATACGACTGCAATTGTAAGCCTCATCTAGGCTACCTGCAAACACGTACGTATACGTACGTGTTTGCTATATCATCTCATTTGCTATAGCAAATGAACTCGTATCCTCCATCATATCGGAATGAGTAGATATGTAAGCTCTATAGTTGCATGCGGCTCAAACTGAGAAATTGTTCCAAGTGACCACGACAAAGCTATAGCGCCGGTGATATTAGCTGGGCCCAACGCGGCGTGTGCAGACTGCGCCGCGCATGTCAGTGGGAGGGCAGGGCGGCGCCATGGCTGCTGCACCCCGGAATTGTGCGATGCAGCTAGCTAGCCGCCTAGCTTTGTCGGATCCGTATAGGCTCGAGCCACAGCAATGATGCTTTTCACTTCATCTGGAGTCTGGCCTGCGTATACAGTACCGACGGTCTACCTAGAGTACTTAATAATCTTTAAATTCATCATGTATTGATTACAATTCCTTTACAACACTTTGTTTCACCCGGACTGGTACGGTAACACCGCTTTCACCCAGTCTGTACGGATCCATGAGCCAGCAGCACAAAGATGCATGAATGCATCCATGGCAGCCAACAATTAGAAAAGATTACTGTTAAACAACTACTACCATCAACGCAGTGCAGCATGATGAGGCGCCGTGTGTTTCACTGACAGGGTTTACGGTATGCTATCATACTGCAAGTGCAAGGAATCTCATCCATCACCTTGTCAATCTTGAAATCGTCCGTACACAAATTGCACGAGCCTATTATTCGGCACAAAAGCATTTCACACAATCTGCAGATGGACCTGCAGCATACCGGGGCCAACGATGTCCGGTCCCATTTTTGTCGTAAGAAACTTAAGTATGCTTAGCAGCGGACATTTTTCGTCAAGCAGGGAAAGAGAATCGCTTCGTTTCTCAGTTCTTCGGGGTCGTCTCCAGCAACCAGTCGACGCACTCTTGCAGAAGCTCAAACCCGTGATATTTTGCAATGTTGTGGAAGACACGCATCCGCTGCCGGAAGGTGGACGGGGACTCGGTGGAGATGAAGGAGCCGGCACACCGGCACTGGTCCGTCAGATGGGCCGACTTGACCTGAACCAAAAAGACCAGGACTTTAGTTGGAAGAGAATATCAGAAAGCTGTTGATCCGTAAGGGTGCGCTTCTTTTATCAAGACCCATACTTTTTTTGCAAACAAGGCTACAGACTTCACTTCACATACCTAAGACAAACGATGGACGCTTCTCTGATTCTCCAGACTCCCATCGAGGAACCAACTTAGGAAGCGACGAGTCAGGCTCATAAGAAGAATGCCGAATCCAGCCCTTCATAACACTTCCATAATCTGCAAATCTCGAAACTTCAGCATTCTCTTTCAGGGGTTCAACGAGCAGCCGAAGCAGATCGAAAGTCCGGACAGACCCCTCATCTCCATAAAGTGTAGCGGCATACACGACCGCTATTCCGAATTTCTCGCCGACTCCCATCCCCCCTCACCTGGCGGCACTTGCGGCACTTGAGGTCCTGCAGCTGGAACATGCGCGAGCGCTGGCGCACGATCTGCAGCAGCGCGTTCTCGACCCACTGCCGGTCGTACGGGTGCGCGCACGCGGGCGCCGCGCAGCGCCACTCTCGGCGCAGCAGGAGGGGGTCGCGGCAGAGGTCCAGGTCGCGGCAGTCGTTGCAGTAGGAGCAGATGACGTTGGGGAGAGTGAAGCTGAGGCACGGGTCGCGGAATGCGGCCTCCGGCGAGAACTCGCGCACGTGGACCAGGCGGAGCAGGTTCTTGCGCATCAGCTGCGGAGAGGGAGCGAGAAGTCGGTTTGGCTTACTAGCAGGAAACACAGTGGGTTGTTTTAGTGGCGGCATAATAGTTTCGGAAGATACGATATGTTAGCACACAGCTTGAAGGTCTCGGGGTACCAAGTAAGTCAGAAGGCGGCATGAAAGTCTCGGAAAAATCGGAAGTCAAGAGCGGCATAAGGGTAACGACGTTCGCTTACGACCAAGTACCCAGTGAACAGAGGAACACACAACACGCGGCAAGGAGAGTACAGGCAACGGGAAAGGCAAAGACGAACGCGTACACGAGTGCGAAGATGCTCGGAGGGATGCTTCGAAGCCGCCGGCATAAAGAAAAAAAGAAGAATTCACTTTCAAACCTCCTTCATCCCGAATCGCGACACCTCAAAGCCCGGAACCCCCAGAATTCGCAAGATGGCTCCAAATCGGAGATTTGAAAAACCTCTCGCCCCCGCTCACCATGACGCTCTGCTCCGCGGCCTTGTCGAGCAGCATGACCGCGCAGACGGTCTTGACGAACTCGAGCGCGGGGCTGCCCAGCTCCAGGTGCGACCCCGCCAGCTCCGGGAACTTGCGCGTCGCCGCGCTGACGTCATCGTCGTCGTCCTCCGCCGCCGATCTGCTGGCCACGTGGCGCTGGATGTCGCGCACGATGCGCAGCAGCTTGTCGGTGAAGTAGGCGGACACCTGGGAAGAAAAGGAGTCCAGGGTCTCGGCTTTTGCTCTGCTGGCGATCGCGGATCAACTCGGCGTTTACGGAAAAGATTGCATGCCGTTCCTTCAAAGACCACAGTGAAATAGGCGGTCGGTAGAAGAAGTTGAGCGACGACTGTGGAAGAACCACAAGCCTGCGCGATTGTGATGCAATCTGGTCAAAGGGGAACTTGATGAAGCACAAAGCCCCAGCAAACTCCTGCAAAACCGCAACGGAACGAGCGACCAGCTAAAATATGAAAAGGGATCAATTCCAGCGTCTACACAGATAAAGGTTGGGCAATTTTTCGAGTGTTATGCACCAAGGAGTAACCCGGATGATTCAAGAGGTATACAAAAGCAGACTTTCCATGAAAATATTGAGTTTTGCATTGGTATGAGGTTGGCATTGGCGCACCTGTTGCCGGACGTACGCGTTCTCCTCCTCGGTGGAGTCCGCGGAAGCCAGGATGCTGACGGAGGGGGTTGGGTTGGTGGCTTCCGCGCGCAGACGGGCGCGCTCGCGCTCCGTCTCCTGTGCGTGCTTCCAAGGCCGGAAGATGAACTCTGACACGTGCAGGTAGAAGTAGTCCTGCGGGAATGCGGAAGGAAGCATCTGTACCTGGTCTTCCACTTCGGTACACTCCGAGATAAGGCCGGGCTTGCTACCAGAATCTCTCTTCACTCTTGCTTTCATTGGCTTCTGTTGGGCAGGAATGCTGACGTTCGCATTGCCTTACTTTTAAAGTCGGCATGTCGTTGGGATCCGGAAACCGACGACAATCCTCGCCAAGTTGCGGGTTTCCCGCAGCGCCTCTACCACCTCAAGCAGCGTGCCACGTAGTAACCAACGCATGGTGACAATTACGCCAAAGCGTTAAGTTGGGCGCTAACCCTCACCTTTAGCTTTTCCGGCAGGAATTCGGCGACATTCCAGTCCATCAGAATCTCGGCCTTCCCTTCTGCGGGCCCCGCATCGTCTTCCTCCTCAAGGTGGCCGCTCTCAGGGGGATCCCCCGTTTGGTTAGACTCGGTTACGACTAACCCGCCGTAGTTGTACTTGTCCATGAAAAGCAGCGAGTACCAGTAGCGGCAGGGGTCGAAAGCCAGGTACTCGAAGAGGTCCCTGAAAAGCGGCGGAAAATTTGGTTTCATCAAACAAGCTAGAAGGAGTTCGCATCGACCGACCGACTGGCCGTTTCGTGGACTGCTCCGGCAACAAAGACAGCATCAGCCACGATAAGTGATTCTGCCTTAAGCCAAAGCAAGCTTCGTCGGTTGTAGAATCAGTGGGAGAGTGCGAGCTACGACAGTTTGGGGATTGTCAGAAGTGTCCAGCCTCCGCGTGTTGCACTTCGCAACTCTCTGCACCTTCCGCATGATTCTGCCCGCTCAACAAAGCGGGGTGGTTGCAACGTTTCCAGAAATTTGCGCGCGAAAACGAAGAAATTGCCTTCAATGTCTGCGAATCCATTTCCTTGATCCCGAGACCCAACAAGTACAAAACTTTCGATAATCAGGAGCATGTAGCCTGCAATCTTGGGGCGCAGAAGCGCAGTGTTTCCTGGTTCTTTCGTGCCGCTCACCGCTTCTTGAGTGCCGCCAGTAGGTATTCGCAGTAGCCCTGCGCAGCGATCAGGGAGGTCTTCCCCGTGGCGACGATGACGCGCGAGAAGTCCGCAAACACGATCTGCGCGCCCAGCTTGCGGACGTCCGAGATCAGAAGCGCGAACAGTTTGTGCATCACCTGCGGGGTAAAAGACGGGCCGCTTGCGTATTGCTGTCGTTCCTGTCAGGTCTGAGGACGCCCCGGGGACAGAGGGCTGCCATATGGGCACTTAAACAGAGGAGAATATATCACGATGAAGACTGCCTCTGAACTAGAGTACAAGACTTCGGAGCTGAAGTCGATCTAGTGAAGTGTTTGCACATGGATAGCAGGAAGGCCGGAATACAACGAGGGGGGGCATGGCCTGGAAAACAAAACGAGGCGGTGTAAAGCCGTACTCGTTCTCAACATTGGTACGTCGCAGGTACTTGTTCGCAGTCTGTCACCGCAGACTGCGAACAAGCGACGGGACGAACAAACAACGACCTAGACAATCTTTGAAGAGAGTTCCGATTGTTGTTCACGGACGTAAAGGGTTGCGAGGAACGGCGAAGGTGCGCGCGCGCGTCACCTTGTGCAGGAGGCGGTGTAGCGCGGGGTCGTGCAGCGTGGACTGCGGGCTGCACAGCCAGCGGTACACGTTCTGTAACAACTGGTCCGCGTAGAAGTTCTGGTACTTCAGCGCGTCGGACAGCCAGCGGGACACAACCTACGAAGACGGGAGATCTGGGGTTTAGAAAGGCTTCGGGAATGGGTTATGGAGGGTTTTAAAGGTCCAACGAAGACCGAACCAAGTATTTGTTGAGTTGAGGTCAGAATGGTCGAGGTGATTGTTCTGGTACTTCAGTGCGTCGGACAGCCAGCGGGACACCACTTGTGGGGTTGGCAGGGCTGGACATCAACAACTGTCTGCAAATGGCTTACGGACGTCCAACGAGGATTATTCCTATCACTTGATCGTGGATCGATGGCCAAATTGGTCAAATTAGAAGTCTGGAAATCCAGTGCGTCCGACAGCCGGCGGCACAACACCTGCGGGGGCGGGAGGTTTGGGGAAAAGCAACGGTGAAGACGGGCTTATGGAGGATTCAGAAGGTCCAACGAGGGCTTTCCCTCGCATTCGGTTGAGCATGGATGGACGGCCAAAGAGTGAGCGGTTCACATTGTGCATTCTAATGCGCGCTCTTTTAGCCACCTCGTGCGGTTGTCAGCCTCGCAATCCAATGCTCGCCCCTGCAAACGATCTCTCTCCAGACCATCTAGCTTTCAGGCAGAGTCAGTCTTAAGGTTGTCTGCTCAAAAGACCGCCCACCGCAAACGACGTTCGTGTCCATTCATTCAATTCTGTACTTTCGTGGTCGCTGTAAAAAGGCTTCTTTCAGACTACTTTTACCCTTCCTTTAAAACCGGCGACCGCCTCACCTGCTTGAGCACCTTGAAGGCCGCCCCCGCGATGGCGCTGTCGTCGTAGGACGTCCGCGCGCCCATCGGCATTTCCGGCGCGTCCGGCTGCAGCGCATCCAAGCCCAGCAAAGACCCCCCCTCTAGTTCGTTGATCGCGCCCGCCTTGATCAGCGCGCTAACGGCCAGGTTGTGGATCTGGAACGGACGGGTTAAGGTTCAGGGTTCGAGGAGACGACTTGTGGGGACCTGAAAACACGGCCAAAATTGAAGCCTGGCAAGGCCGGGGTATACAAGTGGAAGTCTAGAAGAGACGAGTTTGAGCGGAAGAATGTCACTGCAATCTCTTGATGGCTCCTACCGTCATCAGAGCGCTCACCGCTAGACTGATCGGAGATCGCGGAGTAGAAAATGACGAGCTGTGAATTCTGGGATGCAGGCTCTCACTGCTTAAATGCAAACCAAGGCGTTCTCAAAAGTATTGTCCGAGCCAAACGCACATCCCGCCATCTTGTCGATACCCCCGCCTCGATCAGCGCGCTCGTCGGTGAGAAGTTTTACTCTGAAAATCATAAAGCCTCACGTTGATCTCGATGGTGATGCTGCGGTAGGCCCCCGGGAACTTGAGCTCCGGTTGCTGCACCTCGTCCGCGAAGCTGGCCTCCTCCTCCTCGGCGACCCCGCCCAGGTCAGGCACGCCCGCGTCGGACGTCCACAGCAACTAGAACGGGGACGAAGTCGCGGATGAGTGCCAAATCCTACTCTTTTGCAGCCCTGCCGCAGCCGCTTCCGGTTCTCATCCTAGCGGTCGGAGATCCCCCCCGGCAATCCTCGAATGCATGCTCTCTGCTGTCGTCGCGATATTTTGGCAGATAAGAGAGCTTCGACCAAGCAACTGCCTCAGGATACATGCACGGAAGATGTTTCATCTTCGGAAAACCATCGTGTTTTGGATGGAGAAGGGAACGTAAGCGGATGGCTGTGACGAAGCGGGGTACAATACTGAGGAGAGATGCGACGTCATACTCCTGCTTGCGTGCTCAGCGAACGTCAGACCGAGAAACCTCTCCGTTGCACTGACACGTATATTCCCCGCGTCTTCATCTTCTGCTGACCAAGATTATTCCATCCCTCCGCTCTGAACAGCAGACCCAAGTAAAGTGCAAACTAGGTAACAGGCTCTTTCGGTCAATCTCCGCAGGACCTTTGAGACGTTCCGGTGCCCCTCACCATGTCGTGCTCGCGGAGCGCGCGCGCGTAGAAGGCGTCCATGCAGAAGAGGACCCAGTCCTCGGCGGCGATGTTCCCCAGCGGCACGTGCACGTAGCGCGCCATATCCACGCGCGCTTTCAGCCACAGCTCCGCGGCCGCCGTGCGCATCGCCGCCAGCCGCGCGGCCGCGGGCTGCCACCCGAGCGCCTGCACGGACAGGGTTTGGAGGGTTTAGGGGCTGAGAATCCACAGGCTTTGGACACGGGATCAGATTGAAAAGTTGAGGGAACAGAATATTGAAAGTTCGGAGCGAAAAGGACGGGTTGCGACGGGTTGTCACCGAGCGCCTGCACGGACCGGGGTTTGGTGGTTCTACGGGCTGGGAGTTCACAGGCTTTGGATACGGGATCTTACTGAAAGTGTGAGGGAACAGAAGGTTTACAGTTTGGAGCGAGAAGGACGGTTTGCAACGGGCTGCCAACCGGAGCGCCTGCCGGGGGCGGGGTCTGGAGGTTATAGGGGCTGAGTATCTGCGCCTTCATATTGTGGGTCTTACAGAAGTCCTAAAAAAAGGAAGGTTCAGCATTTGGAGCAGCGGAATCGACTGCAACGTGCAGCCAACCTACCGCCTCACGGACCAGATCTGGAGGAATTGGCTGAGAGGTAGGAGTCAAAGATCTCGTTCCAACCTTGGAGGCGAAGAAGCAATCTGAGACTAAAGCATTTCGGGGCTAAGAAAGCCTAGGGAATGCTGGTAAAGCCGAACGTGGCTGTGAACGAACCCCGGATGGGGGTGCACCTTTGGGACAGATTGTGAGGTTCGTTGCAAGCGAAGCAGTGCCCGTATCACATATCGGACCAACACGAAGAATGCTCATCGTCAAGTTCCAGACTGCTACACTCCCCGACTGCAACTCGCAAAACAGGAGCCGCAACGCAGTCGCCTCAAGAAAGTTCGTTGCAGCCGATGTCACCTGATACTGGCTGTCCGCCGCGTTCGGCGGCATGCCGATCCGCGGCAGCTTGTTCAGCGCCTGCACGTGTGTCAGCAGTGACGTCACGTCCAGGCTCTCCACGACGGCGACCATGGGCCCCCGGTTCTGGTCCCGGTAGTCCAGCAGCGCCGACTGGAGGGCCCGCCCGGCGTCGGCCAGCGTCCGCACGTACTCCACCTGTGGCAACCGTCCGGAAAATGTCCGACATCAGCTCCAAACTGGTCCTTGTTGCGGCAATGCAATCCTATCTAGTATAAGGCGCTACACAAAATCACTGAGTCCAAGTCTCCGAGGGAGACAAGTAAACAGCGGGCTCGGCAAAGTAGGAAAAGATTCTGGCAACGATTACTACTCATTAAGACGCGTTTAATAACTCTTCGCTAAGATTCCGAAACAGCGGCTGCATGGACTGACTCACGCACTTCAATATCATCGATTACACATTACCATTGAAACCTAGATTACAAGGTGGAACTCAGCACGTCAGAGAACGGGGCCTGACCTTGAATGCGATCTCCGGCGGTGCTCCCTCCTCGCCGCGGTCCTCCAGGTTTTCCCGGAAGGCCTCGTCGAAGTGGCGGCGCATGCTGGTGACCGAGACTTCACGGTTGGCGAACGGGTTCACCACCACGACAAGGCCCTTGCCGGAGTCGGGCAGGTGCAAGCACAGCAGGCCCCGGTTGTCCGCTTGACTGCGGGACAAGCGAAAGCAGTTGATCGAAAAGGTGTGAGAACTATTATTACAGATCAGAAACGTTCCTGAATACAGCATGATTCGAAGGAAGCGTAATCTACATGGCGGGACAGATGCGCCGGCGGCAATCGAAGAGGGTCCTGATTGAAGATACTTGAGGTACGAGCCACGAAACCTTGAGAGTCAGGAAGGCAACAACGGAAAACTACATGAGGCGACTTGATTCGCGAGAAATGACCGCGCTGTAGAAGGTCTTAGGTCAATAAATCTTCGATCTAGCCATAATTGAACAAAGAGGCGCTTCTATAACCAACGAAGAAAAGGCTTGACCTATCGAAGTAGAGGCAACAAATCTACGCAGCGTTGACCGGAGCGCGAGTATATTCCAAGCATCCAAGCCCTTTCAAGCTCCCTTTCTATCCAATTTTCCTTACCTGTGGTACAGATACACGTACGACAGACTCGTCTTGCTGGCGTCCAGATACACCGCCTCGGCGGCGCTCTTCGGCCGCAGATCCGCCAACCCAAATCCGTCCGTCATTCTCTTCCCGCGTGCAGCCGGCTCAACCGTCGCAACGCAGCCCAACTGCAGCACCGCATTCAATGAAAGCGGGACACGTGTCTCATACACTCCCTCCACGTCCGGATCGGACAGGTGCGTGGCCAGCATGCGCGCTGACACGTGGAAATAATCCTCCGGCACCTCGATTTGGAGCAAGTTGTAAACCGGGCGCGCGTGCGGCAGCGTCCGGCTCACGCGCACCCCGACCGCGTCCGCCCCCTCTTCCGGCGTCCGCTTGTTGAGGTAGAACCGCCGCGGAACGGTCACCGGAACGGACAGCATCCGGCCCCCCGCGATGATCCACGCGGTGAACTCCCCCGGCCGCCGCCCGGGGGCTAGCTGCAGGATCTGCCACGTCAGCCGGGTGACGTCATCCGCTTGCCGCACGAACGCCCCGAGCCCCGCCCCGAGCCCCGGCTGCTTCTTTTTAGCCGCCGGCGCCGTCCCCCGGTTCCCTCCCCGGCCCGCGTCCCGAGCGGCCCTTTCCGCCTCTTTTTGCTCCTCGAGCCTCCGCTTCTTCTTTCCCGCGCGCGCACTTTTCCACTTCCGCTTCTTGTGCTCCAGCCACGCCGCGTAGTCCTCGTCCCGGTCGGGCGTCGGGCTCCTCTCCCGGGGGGGCGCTTTCCCCGCCATTCCGCGCCCCCTGCTCGGCTCCGCCTCCGCGCCGCCGTCCCTTTCTACCCGGGGATTCCCGCCATCCTCGTTCTCCTCTCCCGCCCCCCTGCTCTTCCTCCGTACCGTCGCAACCTTGGCTTTCTTGCTCGCAGGGGGGCCGCCGAAGTCCTCCAGATCACCCCCCAATCCCTCTGCTGGGCCTGCCTCCATCTCCCCCTCCCCCCCTTCTTCGATCATTTCGTCCAAGCCGGAGGGATCAACCGGGGCGACCCGAGGCGGCCTGCCCTGCGTTCCCGGGTGCGAGACGCGCTTCTCGGTCTGGGGGGGTGGTTTGGAGAACATGTCCTTGAGGCTGCGTTGCTGGTACTTGTCGTTCTTGTCGCGCAGCTTCTTGTACAGCCACTCGGGGTGCGCCACCCGAGGGACCGGGTTGGCCACCTGGCAGCACATAAAGCCCCGGTCGGTACAAAGAATCGGACCCTCTTCAAGCAATTAAGCCTAACCGGAGAGCGATCTCAACCGTTCAATTGTGCACGTACTACACAAATCTGAGATTGAATCTCGTGCAGTTACTACAAAAGCCCGAGTTCATTCAATAGCTAAGAGGAACTCGGACCGTTTGACCGATTAAGCAACAGAAAAATCCTGGGGATGACCTATATCGCGAGCGATGAGCCTGCTGTAGTAGAATCTACTGCGGTGGCCCGATACTGAAACGGAGTGGCTTTTTATGCGTTGTGGAATGTTCCAAAGAAATTTCAAATTCCACCATCCTTGCGCGCACACCTTTTGCATGGCTGCCGGGATGGTAATGATCTTCTGGACAGCGCTCCCGAGGCGCATCTTGTAATAGGCCCAATCAACGATTGTACGGATGCTCAGATCACCGCCCTCCTTGCACCACCGCCGCAAGTAACTTCGCTGCACGTCTGCACAAGGACGGAGGAAGGCTTAAGGTCCACGAAAAAGCAAGCAGATTGGCACCGAGAGTATGCAGACATACCTCCGATTGCGAAAGATGTGTCTCCATTGTTGGAGCCGCTGAAAGTCTCTAGTAGAGCAGACGACCACAACACCCCTTGATTGGTCTGATGTAACAGAGAAGAGACGAGAATCCTTTGGTGACCGAAAGCGCCATATATAAGGAACTATGAAACGGTACATCGAAGTCGATAATTTGGCAAGAGTCCCTTTTGCCGAAGAACAACCTTTGGATCATACAATGTGAGCATCGTCAAATTCCAGCTTTGAAGTTCAGGTCCTAAGGCAAGGCTTTGCTCACCCGCGTCCGTCTCAAAGATGGCCACCGGGATCGCGCGCTCGCTGACGGGCGCGCCCTCGGGCGAGCGTGCGACAATGTAGCGGCACAGCAAACCCTTGTCCTTGACCATCTCCGTGCCCAAAAAGTCCGCGAGCCGCCGAGCGGTGGTCGTCGCGCACGACTTCTGCTCCCCGTAGTCCGCGAGCGATTTGGACATGGTCGTCTGCTCCGAAATGTACTCTAGCAGCTCCTCGTCCGTCAGGTCCACGCCGCGGTTCTGGCAATACAGGTTTTCAAGGTTCAGCGTTTCGGGGTTACAGAGTACTGGGATATTGGGGTTGCCTGGTTCTGGGTGCTAGGATTCTAGGTCAGGGATCAGCTTGTGCATTTGTACAGATATCGGCTCTTACGTTGGGAAGAGTACGTTAATGAGTGATGGAAGAGAGAACCTTAGCGAGCATCATTGAGTTTTTGCTAGGTTTGCAGTGATTGCGGCTGAGGCGAAAGGGGTGAAACCTGCGAGTATCAGTTCGAGAATCCTGAGGATGTTGAATACCTGCTGAAATAGCACAGGTTGGAAGGACCAAGTCACCATTTCAACGACGTGCAGACTCATGCCAGGGGGAAGACGGGCAGGCCTTCAACTAAGGACGTCAACGAGACGTCACAATACACTCTCAGGTCGACACTCAAGAAGCAGATACATGGGACTTCAAAGGTCGGTAAAGTGCAACCCCACAAAGGGTTTGATTTGAGACTTCTGAACCGCCAAACCCTCACGTCGAGCATGTCGAGCCAGCGGTTGGCGACGGCGGCGACCGCGCTGTAGCAGTCCTCCAGGCTGTCGCCCTCCAGGAAATTCTCGAACACCTCGCTCTGGAACACCTTGATCAGCTTCAGCTCGCCGCGCCGCTTCACCTCGAACCCCTTGAGCTCCGCTAACGTTCCGTCGTCGTTGAAAACGGCGTACCGCTTCTTGATGAGGACCCCTTCTTCCTTGGAGGCGGGTAGGATCATGGCCTTGTACGGGCCGTCGACTTCGAAGGAGATCGAGCACTCGCTGCTGGTCGTGTAGGTGCGCTTGATGGGGTCCTTGAGCGTCTGCGGAACGACAGAATATGAGTAGTTGAGAGTGCGGGAGGATTTTATAAAAGGTCGCTCTGCAACCTCGACCTATTCAAGCTATCAAGGAGAGACTCGAAAACCGTGGTTGAGCTGTGCTACTTGAATGATTGAGGTGCAGCTGCAATCCAAGAAACAGTCTGGGTTGACGTTGAGAGCAGGATAGATGAGAGCGCGATCTGTGGCTGTAGTTTCAGAACCCTCTTGTGCGCTACTTTGACAATCACTTTTTCGGTCTCTTTTGCGTCTATATCAGTGCTCACCGCTGGACTAGACCCCCTGCTAAACTCCCGGTACAATTTCTCAGGTAAGAGTATGGTAAACCTAGGTCCTGGACGGCAAAGAAGGCGACAACTGATCCTCGAAACATGCAGGTGGATTCAAAGGACGCCCGCAGATAGAGCGCTCGTTACCTGGTACTGGTTGTTGGTGTTGTTGACGAAGACATCCACGTTGAGCATGACGCACGGGTAGGAAATGGTCATTTTGCGCTTGCCGTGGCTGCAACAAAGCAAAACGCTCCTTTTTACAATAGCTTGTAGAGTATTCTGTTCTTCCGTACAAGGCAAATTGACTGCAAAGTGCCCAGCCAAAGCAGAGCAGCCCCAAAGCTTCAGTGTCATAATCGAAAAGGAAGCTGAGACAGAGACGCTTTCCTTGACAAGCGGAGCAGGACAGCCACGCTGATTCGTACCTTCGTAAATGATACCAAAGCAGTGAGCGGTGTGAAGCGAAGCATGCGAAAGAGGCAGATTGACGTCAGATTACGCCAGTGAAGATCAGGAGGTACAGCTTGACGCCAAGGCCTGACAGTACAGCCAGAACCTATATCACTGTCTCAAGTCGGAAAGATCAATCCTGCGGGAAAAAAAGGAGAGCTGCCGACTCACATGGTGGTGAAGGCGAAGTTCTCCGGGAATGACGCGGGCAGCGCGCACCAGATGCCGTCCGTGTCTAGTTCCAGCGGCTTCCCGATCTGCTCCACGAGCACGCGCGCGGCCTGGATGATCTTGGCGCCCGTGTACGTCACCACGCCCGCCATCTCCATCGAGTACCACCGGGCGCCCCTGGGGAGAGGTTAAGAGGGGTTTAAAATTCGAAGGACGGGTTACGCTGGCAGGTTAGTCATTTGAAGCTTCCGAGGACTATGGGAGCAACGCCAGCGAGTATGGTTTGGAGAAGAGGCTCTGGGAAGCTTTTAATGGGCAGAGAAGGCTTTTAATGGGCAGAGGCTTTACCGACGGCTTGCGGCGACGGCTTGGGAGAGACAGTCTCTGCTTCACTGTGACCAGAAGGGGCGGTCATCTTCAACCCATCATGGAGAAAAGGACTGCCTTCAAGACCTAAAAGTAGAGCAACTTGAAAGCTGCTCGAAAGGATCTTGCGCAGGGTTCCATTGACAAGGGACTGGAGCCGCTGGGAAATTCAGATTCACCATGTCTTTGTGGGGTTCTAAGCGCCGCACGCCGTGCTCACTTGCGCATGACGTAGCCGTAGAAGGAGTTGAGGATGCACTTGTGCGCGAGCTGCAGCGAGTCGTACACGACGCACATGTCGTCCGCCTCCTGGATCTCGATCGGGTTGCCGCGGCCGCGCGCCGCGTTCAGCCGCGCCTTCCACATCTTGTTCAGCGCCTTGTACTCGTACCGCCGGTCGCGGAAACTGCGCACAGGGCGAAGATTTTGGGTCAGATATTGGAGGCAAGCGTGTGGAGTTGAAAGATCTGCTTATATACCTTAAAACTGCAACGAGGCCTTTTCTTGTCAGATGTTTGGGCGCTTTGAGCCAAGCAAACCTTCTCACGTCAAAAGCACCTTCGCTGGCCCCTTTCTCCCGAATTACAGAGTTCTCTCACATCTCCTCTTTCCATTCTTTCAAGCGAAGACTCTGGGCCTAACGGGGCGTTTTCAGCCGGCATTTCTTGCAGCAGTCGTTCCACTTCACTCCAGCCCGTCGCTCACCTTTTGACGGTGTCCACGTAGAAGGGGTTCTCCCGCATGCACACGGACGCCGTGCGCTGCTCCATCACCGGCTTGTCCAACACCTTCCGGTACACCTGCACACCGCGACACGTGTCACTTACCTTTTGGATGCAAACGGGACTACTGCGCCTATGCTTCTCTGCTAAGGCACCCCTCAGTCGCTTAGAGAAGCATTCTTAGTCATGTTGCCTGGTATGGAAGAGTTTGTCGCCGGATGGTGATCTACCTGCTAAGGCATTTGTGCAGCTGGATTCGTCAACTCTCAAACCCCAAACACAAATGAACGAAAAAGCAACCCCGGGAACCCCGTAGCCCAAACAAGCGGGAAGTCAAGTATAAGAGTCTTTGACACCTCAACAGTGAATGAAATTCAAGCCTGATTACCCTCATCTTCTGTGCGTACGACTTGAACCGGTCTAGAAAGTGCACGGAACTTGAAGAAACATCCCCAAAAGCGCTTTGAGTCCAGCTCTTCGAACCCAAAAACATCAATCCCCTCACTTTTTGCGTGTACGACTTGAGCCGCGCCTTGAGTTTCAGCGCCTGCTGCTCTGGGTCCAGGTCCTTAAAGAAGACCGCCGGCCCGCCCTCGTACGCGGCCGGGAACTGCTCCGACTCGATCTGGTTCTTGACCTGGCGGCAGAGAGTCGCAGCCGTTTCACGAGAGAACAAACCTGCCGCTCGCTGAAGACTGGAGTGAAAACACGATCTGCCGCTTTTCGAAAACTAGGTATGAGTTTGCTGCTCACTACAGATTATGTGCGAGATTGCCGCTCAAAGAGGAAATAACGATCCGCAAGAGAGTCTGGGGAGCTCCAGAAGCGGCCTGTCAGCATCTCAATTTGTCTCGCCTGCCAAAACGCGGTGACATAGCGAGGTTCGCTTGGCAAGTACATCACGCTCGGGTCTCCGGGGTCACTAATGGCTCGACAAAAAATCAGTCGGGTCGATGTTCGCTGTTTGAGGGTCTGCTACATGAGTCTTCGGCTCTAACCTGGTAGTACTCGCTGCGGCTGGCCATAAAGTGCTCCCCGCGCCAGGTCCACTCCATCTGGCGCAGGCACGTCTTGTCGGGCCGGTTGAAGTCGCACCCCGCGCACACGTCCTCCGTCACGATCGACGGCGGCTGCGGGGGAAACGGTGGAGTTACGGGGACGAGTGAGCAGGGGTGACGGCAACAGTCAGAAGCCGGCGATCAGGATGCATGCCGCGCTATTCTACATTCGTCATTGAATATCTGTGCACGGCACAGCTATGAATCCGTGGTCAAAGTGAGCCGCGCAGAAAGCAGAGCTGACCCTGTGGACTCTGCTCGAGAAGCTTTGAGACCAGCTGTGGATCGAACATTGCTCCAGAAGAGTGTATGTCTCCGGTTATGTAAGCAGGCAGCAAATGTAGGTGATACTTCAAAAGAATTTTCGTACTACTTGATCGCATGTTTCTACCGCTCACCTGCAGTCGGTTAGTGAGGATGATGTTGGGGTACATGGCCGCCACGTCCAGATGGTAGATCACCGGGCGCTCCTCCCGGTTGGGCACGTCGCGCAAGTTCTCCAGCTGCACATAAAGTGCTTCAGTCAACATCGTAAAGCCTCTTCTTCTTGCAGACCCAATTGTATTGATTACCACTGAGTCGCATAGTCCGCGACGATGCAAACAAGCATCTGAATGCTTGTATGTGTTGTATTGATTACCACTGAATCGCATAGTCCGCGACGATACAAACGAACATCTGAACGCTTCTGTGCTGCGTCCGCAATCCCAAGCGCACGATAAATGGCAAAAAGCCACAGCTTGGAAGTGCAGTTCTCGCGGGTCACCTGCGTTTGGATCTCCTGCTTAATCTCGTCGTAGTTGGTGATCTCATCCATCGTCATCTTGGCCTCCTCCTCGATCGCGAAGCGCAAGTCGCGGTCCAGGTTGTCGATAAGACCCTGCGGAACACAAGCGCGCCGCGGTGAGCGCAAAAAGGAACAGACACTGCCGCTTTGATCCGTTTGAAAATCAGATTCCAGAGCCCTCACTGAAAGCAGCAAGGATGGTTCCGGCCTGAAGAGGATTGCGCAGACGGGCTTCTTTGCGGTGGTGACTTTCTCAGGTCTCTGTAAGAGCACTCAAGAGCCACCAAAAGCTTTTGGTCAAAGACAGCGGCTGTAGCTGCCCGTTTTATCAACCTGCAAGTTCGGCAGCCTTCCAGTGACGTTCCCTAGGTGTCCCTCTTTCACACCGGTCGAATATGCGGCAACAGCGTCCACAACCAAATCCCGCAAACCCTATTGAGCACTTTTTAAACACATGCACATTGCACCCATGCACTTCGCCACCCTGTCTGAACACAAAAGCTGAGCCGTCCCAATCATTGCGCGGCCGAAAATCTGCGACTCTCAGAAGTAGAGAGTCTGGTCAACCGGCAAATTCTGACGAGACGAACTCACAAGCAGAACAATGTGGCAGACCAACTTGCCTGGTACGCTGAGGGCACGAGGCGGAAGCGCGTGGGGAGGTCGGAGCGGAAGACGCCGCTCTCGAGGCATTCCACATGGCCGCCAATGTACGTCTCGCTGTCCAGGAGGCTGTTCTTGTAGAAGCGCTCCTTCTCCGACGTGTGCTTGTTCGGGCATACGATGTTGCCGCGGAACGCCTGCAGTGAAGACTCCCATAGTTTAGGTAGGATAGTTTCTAGGTATGATAGTAACAGTCCCCGGGGAAAGCATAACTAAAACCTAAACCAACAAATACACCCGTTCCGCACCCGTACCCACCCTAAACCCCAAGCTAACCGCACCCGTTCGCCGGGCCATGACCATATCCTACCTAGGACGATCCTACCTAAACTATGGGTCTATCTGCAGGGAGGCTTACTTTAGCATTACGGGCGCTTTAAGGGGTGACTCTCGTGACGCAGGCAGCGACAGAGTGGAAAGTGAACGACTGCAGTTGACTGGAGGCAGGCCGTCGAACAAGCACCACAGCGCCCTTCTTGGACTGAGAACGGGTTCATCAAAAACTTGTAACCCTAACGAAAACCTTCGACTTTTGATGCCTCGGCTCCACTGAAGGGAATAGTCAAACCAGAACATTGAGCAAGCCAAGCCCGATGTCGAATCACCGGCAAAGCTTACAGCCCATGTTGTTAACAAAGAAGGGGCAGTGAATATACGGGGGGGCCAGCTTTGGTCGCTTGCCCGAAGCGTGAGCAGCATCTCGTAGAGCATGCCCAAGCATGAAGCGGTGGAAACAAGAGTAGCGGTGAATTGACTGAAGTAAAATCGGGCAGACCTCGCCCACCTCAACATGAGATGTCTCTTCACTTTAGCAATTAAGCTCTAGCAACAGTAAGCTCCTGCACTAACACTGAAACCTAACCCAGATTACCCGCTCCGCACCCAAACCCACCCTAACCCCCAAACTAACCCTACCGGTCTCAGGCTGGTTACCTTACTATTGCTAAAGCTTACTATTGCTAAACGGAAAATTCAACTTCGCAGAGCGTGCCCAAACATGAAGCGGAAAGAACAAGGGCAGCGGCGACTGGAAGAATGTCAGTTCGAAAACTTCTGAGCTGCTCACCTCGACCATGAGCAAATCGCAGACCGTTCACAAGCACGAAGGAAAAGTTTCTGGTGTAGAAAAGCCAGCGCAAACAGTGAGCCGCTCACAATCACCATGAGCAGCACCTCGCAAAGCATACTCAAAGCATGAAGCGGAAAAGCCTAGAAACGTACTGTCAATAGGTTCGTGAAAGCTTACCTCGACCATGAGGAGCATTTCGCAGAGCGTGCCGGAGCCCTTGCGCAGCACCTCGTCGGGCGACATGGGGATGACGGTGGCCAGCGAGAAGATGAACGGGTGCACGTACGTCGTGTACAGGTAGTACGTCGCGACGGCGTCGGAAACGGAATACGACGCCATCGTCTGGGGGTCCTCCATCGCGAAGCGCACCATGTCCTCGGGGTTCACCTCCAGGGGGTCGTACCCCAGCTTGGCCTTAGTCACAGCCTGGGGGGGGGAGCGAAAAAAATGGTGAGTTTAGAGTTCTTGGTCTCGCAGTAGGCGAAACGATTCAATAATGAAACGAGCCGTAAATCGCTTGTGGCCGTAGGATGCTGGATTCTTCCAGACGTTGGGAGGTGATGTGATTACTTCTCTCTAGCACTCTGCATGGTGGCAACTTGTGTTCGCGAACAGTTCATGGTGGTCGCCTCTCAACAAGCTCCTGACGCGCGTCTCTCAGCTGCATGCTGAACAGCAAAGAGATTTCGCGGATGCGGACCAACTCTGATTCTTTCAATCGATCCAGTGTTGACAGATTGCGGTATACGCTGCTTTTCTGGACGAGAAGAGTCCAGTAGATGTAATAAGCGGGGGCTGACCTTGAGGCCCTGGCTCCCCTGCGGGAGGTAGCTGTCTCGCTTCACCCACGCATATGCGTCCAAGTGAAGCGCAAACTTGGAGCGGCACTCGCCCTGGTTCCCGTCGCACCGGAAGCCAATCTCCTGCAGTTACAAGCGTGCCAGCGCTTCGTTTTCCAGGTAACTTTTGCAAGAGCGAAAATGGGGCGGGTTCTGCCGCAACTCCCCGTTTTGAAGGGTTTCTCTCCGCAGCGAAGGTCGATAGAGAGTGTCTTACAGCTGTCCTAGACGGAAGAGGGTTTCCTAGGGTAGTCACAAACTGATAAGGCGTGCTCCTTAGGCTTCAAAAGGCGCTTTCTGGAGCGAGTACACAGAAGCCAAGAGGAACATTCTTACGTCGTGCATGCTCATGCCGTGCACGGCGGCGCGCGCCTCGATGAATGGCCAGTCGAAGAAGTCGCCGTTGTAGGTGACGTAGATCCCGGGCTGCACCCGCCGCATGTGGTCGAACCAGTACCGCAGCAGCCCGCGCTGCATAAACAAACTCCGAAGCTCAGCTTTCTGTCGGGTGCAAGACTTATCAGCGGCACCAGAGGCAACTCAAAAGGGACCGTTGAGATCCGAGCCGTTTTGGCGATGCGTCGAAACGTACGTGCTTAAGTGCAGCGGCGTGAAACCTGCCGCATGTGATCGAATCAGTACCGCAACAGCCCGCGCTGCACAGACAAGCAATCCTGATCACAAAAGTGCTCTGGCCTTCTTTTGGCTGCACTGTGCTGTTTGTGATCGGGAATCCAACTTCGGCTCCGTTTGGCTGCAGTGCTGTCTGAACACCGAAACGCGCTCCATTTTCCTTTTCGGCTGCAGCGCTTTGATCGGAAACTTCTGTTACGCCCCATCATCGACGTGGCTTGGGGAGAGTTACACGTGGCTGGCCCTCAGTGAAGCAGAAAGACACAGAGAAGACAAAGCAAACACGCATAGCACAGTCTGGACTCTCGGAAAAAGCATTACGTTTACCAGGAACACGGTCTCGCATACCTCATCCGGCTGATTGATCACTGTAAAGGGCCCCTCGAACTCGGGCTTGGGTGTGTACTCCAAATCCCGGATGTCAGAGCCAACGGTCTGCACGGTGTAAACCGGCGTCAGTTGAGATAAACGTTTCCTTCCTAATTGGTCTGCGCATTGTGGGCTCCCATGCCTTTGACATTCAAGTCTACCAGGGTTCAGAAAGAAAAGGAAGCTGCAACGAACACTGAAGTTGGTGGTGAGACCGCGAGCAAAACATTGCTTGCTTCTTCCCAAGCGCCTTCGAAGCTCGCACTGGAAGTCGGGCCCGTTCGGCCAAACGCGAATGCATCTGTCGGTCTAAGGATATCGCATGCGGCCACACATACGTAATGTAGAAGCTTCTGTGCGCACGCACTGGCCAAGATTGTCATCACTTTGGAGGCTGGGAAAGAATATTTGACTTGCTCGTGTGCTTAACGCCGGTACCAGATTGTTTGACAACGACTCGAATCTCCTTCCAAACCGCACAAAGAAGCGCCTTCACAAAGTTTCGAACTCGCAACAAAAGGCGGAACAAGCAGTTGAGCCACGGGCCGATATTTCAACAAAGCCATCATCGTTCATCACAGAACTCTGTCAAAATCGCGCCCCACCTCTCGGTTGATGACCAGGTAGCCCTGCCCGTCAATCATGTACGAAATCATCATTACGCTGTCGTACGACGAGTCGGGGAACTTGAGCGGCAGCTTCGTCGTCTCAATATCGAACGCGCAGATGCGCGGCTCCGCTCTTTGCACCAGGTCCGCCCGCCGCGTCAGCCGCACATGGCCCTCTTCTGCGCTTACAGTGTACCACTGGCCGGACCGGACGTCTGTATGAGAAGCAAGAAGTCAGGGACACTGGAGTGTATCTTGAAGGGATTGCTGCGGCCAAGGTTTGACAACTAACTTTGAGACAAGCTTGCCGTCGTGATCAACCATTTTAAAGGACCTCGGCAAGAAGGACGCATGAAAGCCAGATCAACTCTCAGGCTCCTGCTCTATCATGTCCAACGTCACAATGCAGGGTGGGTGTCTTCACGCTTTACTTTCTTCTGAAACGAGAGTTTTCGCGAAAATAAGAACAGAAAGTGATATTCTTCCGACTCGAACTTGAGGCAGCCCAGATCTTCAACTCAATACGTCGGATCTCGCCAGCCACCATGCCAAGATTTCCACCAACTATGGTTCTTCATCTCTCTTCCATTTGAATCCTGCAGCTGCCATGCCGGGGTGCCACCGACTACTCTTCGTTTTCCGTTTTCAACCTCAGACATATCCAAGTAGCCCTTTAGGACGCGTTGATCCCCTCAGTTGTCAGACATGTACCCATTTTCCTGCAATCCAAAACCCGAAATGCAAGCCAACGGCACACAGCTCCTCACCATTGTCTATTGCGAACCGCACATGGTACGGCACGTCGTACTCGCGCATCTCCAGGATGTGCTCCATGAAGTCCGCCAGTCTAGTTGTCCCGTTGCCCGGCCCATCAACCGCCTGCTGAAACGTCTCGTACGCCTCTGCCGCCGCCAGCTTGGCTTTGTTCTTGTCAATCACTGGCTGAATGTCCTTTCTGACTTCCATCAGATCTTGAACGTTGTTGAATGTCAGTTTCAGGAAGGGCCGCCGCAGGCCTGAAAGGTGGTTCTTCTGCAGGACAAGCGGGGGCGATGACCATGTTAGATGAATGCTTATGGGTGTTGGCCTATCTGGAAGAAAGGATCAAATGTGCGCCCCAGTCACATGGACTCGTCCAGAGGTCGGTCTGCAAGAAGCTCAGGTGCTTTAGTACAGAACAACAGACGCCCCGGGGGCGAACTGAAAATACGCTTCTGTCCACCGTAAATGGTGCATAGTTTCGAGAGGTGTGGTCAGCCAGTTAAATGACAACCTTTTCTCACTGCCGAGAACCTGCACAATAGGAAAGTGCTTTAAATTGTGGGTACCAAATATGGTTAATGGCAGGGGGGGCAAAGACTTTGACCGACTTTTTGTCGTGCTCATATGCAGCAAAACCCCGAATGTAATTACTCGCTGGCCGAGTGCCTTTTGAAAGTTGTGATGGACTCAACTTGCACTCTGAAATTGTTTGGCTGCTTCCAGTATTATCTGCAGCTACTGTAAATAGTGGTGTACAATGCTGTGATCAGTATCAATCTTCTCACCAGGTCGAGGTCCTCTTTCTCCACTCGAACAATGTCCGCAATCTGGCCCTCATACCGCCGCCGCAGGTACGACTCGACCTCCATCTCCATCTTTTCCTGTATCAAAGCGGCGCCCAGATTTATTGTGTAGGATAGTAGAGGAAAGGCGTGGTCTTGACGGACATAGTTTGGGAATTTCGTTGAAATTGCCGCAAGCAGATCAGCAGCATGTCAGTAAACTTTATCAGGCCCAACTGCGAAACAGCAAGAGAGATGCATGGAGAGAATGATGGGGCCTGAGGCGGTTTGCAATATCTGTAGATGCGATCTGGCAGGTGCGTTGAAGCGCGTGCGTTCCAGCGTGCAAGATTAGCAGGTTGCATGGGCAGTCGGAGTGCGCTCACCTTTGTACCAAGGTAGAAGTAGGGCGCAAACCGCTGCTGCGCCTTGAATGTAGAGCCATCCTGCCACAGAAACAGATAGACTTCAGCGATCGGCAAGCGTGATTGGCTCAAAAATGATCAGGGCTTACACGAATCCATGAAATGAGGCTCGATGAGGCCAGCTCTTTGGGAGCGTCACTCCCTTTGGTGTGCATGATAAAGCAGGCCCACAAATGCCTTTGGTGAATGTGCAGCATGAGGGCTTTTCGTTGCACCAAATTACCTGACACATGAAATAGCAGTTGATGGCGCTCATGCTGATTCCCGTCTCCGAGTCTTCCACCGTTGTCTGCACGAAAAGAGGGTTTAGTAACCAAGCAAGAAACCCCCTCCTGAGAAGCAAGGCAGCCGTGGTTGCATTGAGGTGACCCTCGATGCATGAATGCTGAACGATCAGAGCGATAGAAAGAGGTGGCAGCAGTCTCAAAACAAGTACCTCTCAGTATGGAGAGGCTCCGCCAGGTGCTTATGCACCCACCTCCTATTGCAGCATTCAACAATGTAATCTTTCATTTCAATCGATCAGCCTGAAAGAATCCAGAGTGCTGTGGCACGCCAATTTGAACAGCTCTCCCACTCACAGTGCTGAAATTCATGAGCCAGCCCAGCCGTGGCTCCCCTTCCTTGAATACCGCAAACCCCAACTTGGCCTCCAGCGCATCGTTTTCTGACACCCTCTCTTTGCTGGGGCCCCCTTTGCGGATAAAGTTTCCGTTTTTGTTGCCCTTCCCGGCCCCCATGTTGCCCTGCCTCTGATAAGCGGTCTGCCCTGATTTGCCGCCATCTCGGCCTCCCCGCCCGCCCTTGAATACATAGCCCCCGCCCCTCGAAGGAGGGCCCCCTCGCCCCCTGCCGCTCATCTTTACAGGTCAGGTCAATCAAAGCATCCTTGCTTTTGACCTTCCAAATGCTGCAGAAGCAATGTCTAAGCCAGTTGGCCGTCTGAAGTCAGCAAGATGGAAGCACGAACAGTTGGGATGAGTTCCTTGATCGACAGCGCTCAAGTATGTGTGCCGCTGTCAATCACTTTAATAAGACGTGTCCCCCACTTTTTTCCGACGAGGTTCAGCAAAAAAGACCGATATTGTCTATGTCGTCCTTGCACTAGGGTGTGCATTGGCACCAACAATCTAAAGATCCCATTGGCAATTAGGTGCCTATGAAGGGCGTAGAAAAATCTGCGCTGTCGCCCTGCAATCCTGTCCAGGAGAGTACGTTCACGAATGGTGAAGCTCTGGCCGCTGAGGACCAGGCCAGCCTGAGGTGCTCAGTGCTGGCCTCCTTCCCGCCAAATTTTGTAACAGAACCCTGTGCTAGCGTGGCAGCTTCTGATTCGCTTTCGCTCGACCAATCGTATGGCCAGTGGCTGGCACCCAGGGCCAATGACAGCTGGGACGAAAACCGCCAAGCCGCAAGTTCTCTGCATTCTGGCCATCATTGCGCAGCGTGGGTGCTGCTCAATGGCAGGGGCTGTAGCTAGGGCGCCCAGCCAAACAGCCGGCATCCTTCGTGACGGCTATTGGGGGCAAGTGAAAGGGAGCGCAGCCATCTGCATCGAGAAGGCCAACTCCTTTCGTGGATGCGTTGACTTTTGACAATCCCTGCTGCTACTTGTAGAGCGATTAGAGCTCAAGGAAAGAAAATTGCCTGACACAAGCAAGAAGTCTGCTTGTTTCTGCATTTGGAAGTAAGCATGCATCTGGCTGGTTACCAACCTTATTCAACCTTTGATGACCTGCATACCTACGACAAGTGCTTAGCATCGAGAGATATCTTAGCAGACACTGGTGCTCTGATCATCTATTTCTGATGGCAGGGTGACTCTAGAAGTACCGCACAGTGCTGAGCCTGAGGCATCCTGGCCTAGGCAAACCGATCTGTCTTTGCTATTCCGCTTTTGAATCTCAAAGCAGGTCTGAAGCAGGTGCATGAATAAGAGAAGACCCAGGCCAGGATCTGTCAGCTCACGGTAGCTTTACTCTAAAGTCAATCCCCTCGACAGGGTTCAGTGTCCTGTCTGAAAGGGTCTTGAAAGCCAGCCAGGGGGACGTACATTCTTTCTTGGACAGTCAGGGGGTTGCCTGAACCTTCTTATAGAGAGGGCTCTATGGCAACCCTTGGGGACTACATCAGAGATTGTGGCATTCCCGGTGGCAAGCAGGACGAAGAGATGGAGGACAAAGTGCCCAACTGCTCAATTTGCCTGGAACCTGTGGTCCAGGGCGCGTCGCGCTCAACGGCCCAGCTGGCGTGCAGCCATCACTTCCATCTAGGTGAGATTTCCGGGCCTTATTTTCGGAGAATGTGTAAGAAGATTAGGGTTTCCGAAGCAGAGCCCGTGGCGCTGATGCTCAAGAGCAGACTCAGCTTCTTGTGCAGAGTTTTTGTGAGCAGCCCATCTCTGTGTCAGTTGCTGAGGCACTCATCACTTTCTTGGATCCTGGGAGCTCTCCTTTCAGCTGGACTAGAAGAGCCTGGGGTTAGGAATGTTGGGGTTACTTAGCAAAGATCATGGTCATGCTATGGAAGGTGGCAGTTTGTTGCCGCCAATTGGTTTGGTAAAAATCAAGTTCCCGATCCAGGGCTGAACTCGAGGGTTTCAATGTTGCCAGACACCTTTCTGGCAATCTCAAGGAGCAGGCCAGGATGAAAAGAAAGCTAAAGAAGAGTTTGATCGAGAGACCTTTGAAGCAGAGTGCAAAGGTTACATCTCTTTCTGACGTTAAGCATCAACAAGCCTGCCAGATGGGCGCGGCGGAAGTAGTGTCATGCTTTTAAGGTTTCCTTTGTCATTCGGCGTCTGATGAGGCAATCCTTCAATTTTGTCCCTAGCCTTTGCAGGGGCACCATCGTCCGGTTGTAAGGATCGTAATCCTCAGATGTACCTCCAGCTGTTACATTGGCTCAATGTCTGCTCGCTTTTGGACTCCATGTTAGTTATCAAGAAACCTTTGTTGATGGCCCATCGTTCGGATCCCTCCACCGTCATCCCACTTTAGTCCTGTTGAATGCAGAAAGTCGATCTGGTTCATTCCAAGATTCACCACCTCTGCGCATGCTTGTGATCTGAAAGAAGGAACATTTTCTTACAGATTGCATCGGGTCTGCCTTCAATGCTAAGGGCGCCATGGAGTGCCCAAACTGCCGGCGCGTGGAAGAAGGCAACTGGCTGATGCTGGGGGGGAGCCAGAGCACGGACGATGCAATCTACGACGTGCCATACGATTTTGACGATGATGAGTACCTGGGCTTGCCGGTCGACGCCCTTGACAACGAAATGCGGGAGGTAGGTTTTCGGAGCGATCTGGGCGTTGGCTATGTTCCGCTGGACAGGTCTCGGGGTTGTTAAGAACTGGGCGGAAGTTGGCTAAGGTGACGGGTTGCTTGCGACAGACACCCTGGTTTGCCCTACTCATCAAGTCGGATCAGGCGAGTATGGAGCTTGTACAGAAGGCAATTGCAGCAAACAAGTCGGACAGCAGCTGTTGCTGATTAATGAGCCCTCTGGTTACACTTGTCTGCTCTATTGGTTCAAGTCCACTGCGTTTCCACTGGGGTTTGGCCCTGGACGTTGTACTGGCTAAAATTTTCGTATGTTGGCCAATGATACTGCTGGCAAAACATCTTCCTACTCTGGCCTTGTCTTAAGCGGGTGGCATGGGTTTCTGGTGAGTCGATTTTCAATTTCGACGAGCTTGCTGACCTACTGATTCTGCCCGCAGTATATGGAGGCCGGTAGGGACGTCAGTTACACGACCCATCCGTACCACCCCCCGGGGGTCATCTGCGAGTTCTGCGAGCAGGTGCGTCTCATCACCAGTGGTTCATAGGTCTCCTCGGTTGCCTAACGCTTACAAGCACTTTTATCATGTGATTGCGAGGGGTGCAGACTCAGAACTTTTGTTCTCCGTTACTTGCCTGGGGGTGAAACTCTCACAATTGTGCAACTGGTGTGTATTTTCTTGAAGTGGCTTCAGTTAGGGTGGACATACGCTGCCAGTGGAGTGTGTCTAGTCTGTGGCAGCAGGGAAAAACATCTGGTGTGCTTCACATCGGAAACTGATGGATTGGGCGTGCATTGTTGCCATTGGAGCTTGTGAGGAAGCTCCCGATTCTCAATTGTTGTCCTCTTCCTGCAGCACTACTGCGACGACAACCCGTGCCCCCACATTATCCAGTGCCCCTACTTCTTCAGCAACATCAGCCAAGCGTAAGTCCTTGGGCCTTTTTCCCGCTCCTGCTCATGCTTTTGCGTTCGTCCAGGACCTTCAGCCTGTCACGTCGTTGCATCTCAATACCGCTGATTGTTGCTCTTTTTGCAACGTAGCAATTTTTTCCTTGTCTAGGAGTATTCTTGTGATTGTGGTTGTTGACACAGTAGTGCTCCCGTCATTTTGCAGGGGCAATACAGAGAACCCGTACAGCTCAAGCGTATCTTCAATGGAAGGTGAGACCGTCACCTCCGACATGCACAATGGTTTGCCTTTCTTTGCTCTCATCGGACATTGACGTTTCTGAACGAACGAGGCTTTATTCTTCCATTCAAGATGTTTAGAGAAAAGCAGACTGCGATGAACCTCAACATGCTAAGGGTCTGTCGGACAAACATAGGTCGCTCATCGGATTCAAGTGCAAAAATGGCGCCCAAGGAAAGCGCGGCCACTTTCAAAGGGAGGGCAGGACCCAGCAAAGGTCAAGCAGCTATTGCATTTGTTGTGAGAAGGCTGTCGACCATAGATGCATTTGCAACTGGGCTGTGGAGAGGTACGTCTCATGCATTTGACTGCCCTCAAGAAGCCCAAACCTATTGCCTTAACTGCTCCCCCTTCTTGGTGCAGCGGAAGCATACGCTGAGGCCGTAGCAGAGCTCTACCACGAGTACCGCGGCCCATCTCCGTTCTCCGGCCCCCCCTCCACCACGCCCCGTCAGGCCCCCCCCGAAATGCACGCCTCGTCCTCCTCCACCGACTCCAACTACGTCTACTACTTCTCTGCGGCACCAGGCACCTGGCAGGGGGCCGCTTCGTGGGGCGAAACAGCCCCCCCGCCAACGGGCTGGGGGTCCGGCTGGACCCAGGAGCGAAGGCAAGAGACGGCGCACACCACGACGTTCGTCCAATCATCGACCATGATCACGACGTATGGGCCCCAAACCACTCCCGCGCCTACGTCATTCCCCCCGCCCCCGACGCTTCCCCCCCGAACCCCTCACGTTTTCGCCCCACCCCCCCACGTCAGTCCCCCCTCTATCCAAGCACCCCCCTTCCCAGCCACTCGCAATCTTCCTCCCCCATGCTGTCCCCTCGTACCCCCCTGCAGCCCGCCCCCCCCCCGAGCAGTCGGCACCATTCGCATTCACACTCGTTTCCGGAGGCCCCTCCACCCCGCGTGCCTACAAACCCCTACTCCAGCCTTCGCTTCGCCCCTGAGAGCACCTCCGCAAGAACCCGAGAGGATTTCCACACCAACTCGCCGGCAGCCCCTACCGGGCGCCCCACTTACGCCGGTGTGGTCGGCCGCCGCCAGCAGTTGCCGGCGCCCCCGCGCCGCGGCGGTGTGAATACGCCCCAGGAGAGGCCCGGGGCCCAGCCCTGGAGGCCGGTTTCGGATATTCGCACCACCTCGGCCGGGGGCGCGTCTGGCCGGCACTCGAGTCTGCCGCCGTACCATCCTCCGCTCAGCAGCAGTCAAGCGGGGCCGAACATGGTGTGCCCGTATATGTCGGGCGCGAGCGCCGTGAGGCCCGCACAGGGCCTTGCTGCGCCCCGGTACTACCCATTCTCGCACGGGGCTCAGGGGGACGCTGGCCGGCTGGCGTCTCAGCAGGGCCTCTCCTCGAGCGGGCAGCCGGAGGCGGTGCAAAACTTTGGGGAGTTTGAGAGTAGGCGAGCAACTAGAGCGGGGCAGCCGACGGGGGGGGAGGAAGCGCAGGGGCCGGAGGGGCTGCTGGCGAACCTGGAGCTGAATGACGGGATGTGGCTGCAAGACAGAAGGAATAACATGGTGAGGAATCTAGCAACTCGTTGTTTCGGTTGGTTTGGAGCCACAATTGCAGAACGAAGACTCGGATGCGTGCACAACGTGTGGTGATTGAAGTCCTTGTCGTATAAATCCGTGAGGGTTTCTGCGGGTCGTTTGATTTCGTGATGGCTGCTTCAACGGCTAACTGCGGCCGAAGTGGGTAAGGATCCCATTTCTTCTCCAACATCCTCGTTCGTAAAAGCATTGGTGTAGATTGCAGCTAGCGGGCAGACCCGCTTCCCTGTATTCATATTGAATTGTGTTTTCTGAGACGCTCTGTACCTTTGTTTTGCAGTTCCTATGCTCCTTTTGCATGGATCCCGCGCTTCCTCGTTTCCAAAATGAACGGCGCTTCGTGAATCGGGATGCGCTGTCCCAACACATGCGCGCAGTGCACGGGGTGCACCTAGATCGCTTTAGCATGCGGAGCTGATTCTTTTGCATGAGAAGTAGTGTGTTACGACTCGAAACAACTGTACATACCGCTTGAAGCTATGACCCATTTTTCTACTGCATCACATCTCGTGATGGCATTCTAGAAGCTGAATAGGGCATTGGATTATGGGCACTTGCTTATCCTTGTACTTACTTCAGTCAAACTTGGCTACAGGGTTCAATGATGTTCATGATCGATTCTGCAATGTCAATTTGCCGGCACGGTCAACCGATGCCACTGACCACGTGGCATGAAAGATTGTAAACTAAGTGCGTTTAGGCAACTTCCAGCGCATGAAGTCGATTTCTTGCAAATGTAACCTGCTTGATAAGAGGCTGTATTTTGCCCGTACGTCTTGACAATCCGCAATTAAGTGACGGTAACACATGGAACTTGCAATCTGGTTTAATGCATGTCAACTGTGGTCGCGCGCGGACCACATTGAACACGCATCTATAAATCGATTTTCTTGCATCCGGGTGGCATATGCACCCTCATGTTGTTTGCACCAGTAATAGTTCAACGATCGTGTCCGACTTCATTGCATGCAAACTTGAAGTAGGTAGCTTTAAAGCTGTGCATGGCTTAGTGAATCTAATGTGCTCGAATTGTGCCATGACGCGGCCCGCGCTTCTCACGCACGATATGTGATGAATTACCAGATGGCACCCGTGAATAAGCACTGCATTTTCGGTTTGATCAGATTTCTGCCAAGACCGATCGTACATGGGGCATGCATGCTGAAACCTAAGCCAATACGAGATTTAGCAGATTGAACCATCTAATCCACATCAGGCATAGCCAACACCTAAAACACTTCCAATTAGAAACATCAAGAGTAAACCTGAAATCAAAAGCCGCAAGATGTGTCGCTGGACCCAAGGATAGAGGTTACGTGTTTCATTAGCCTAATCGGATGAACAACTCTCGGTTTATCTATTCACGCTTGGGCCTGAGGCAAATCTCCGGCAGAAAGTCAAACAGGCATGCCCAACTCCCACGTGAAAAGCCCACACAAACGCACCCCAACGGAACTCTCCCTTATTTAATACCCATCAAAAAACTCAGTCGGCCTATTCCTCTGGCTTCTCCTCCGGATCCTCGTCGGGATTCTCCTCGTCGCCTTCCTTTTCTTCGTCCTCATCATCCTCCTCTGGATCCCCGGGAGAAGGCTGTGGAAGGGGCGGCTTGAAGGGGCTAAATTGAGGGAAGATATCCGCTCTCCTAGCCCCACCGACATTTCTATCAAACTCCTGCAAACAACCAGAAGAACGCTCAGAAAGGCACCGTTGCTGTGAGGACCTTTGCAAGCAAGCAATCTAGATGAAGAATAAGGACAGGAAGAGATCAAATTGAGGGGTCCTACTCTATCGTGAGTATCGGCCGCTGCTGCTCGTCTAAGCTGGCTCTTTGAAATCTCTCAACCAGGTACTGGCTTCGCACTGATTTTAGTTGCTACATCCCCTTTTCTTTTCTACTTCCTTCTACAATGGGTCAGAGAATGGGTCCCAGTGATAATCATAGATGGATAGTCCTATCCCCTTTTCAGTCTACTATAAAGGTCCAAGCTTGCGAGTGGCCCGATAAGAGCTCTAGAGGGGTGTCTGCTTGTTACTAATGCTATAGAAAGACATAGGGTCGAATCGACTCCTTCAAGCTGGCTGATACCAAAGTCAAAAAATTGGAATACAGACCCCATAATCATCACACCTCTGAAACAAGGATTTGCTTCCACTTTGACTGCTCAAATGCTGCGATTATGATCACCCAAAACAAATGCGTGCCATACTGAAAGCATCATTTCACTAAATTGCTGTGATTACGAAACTAAAAAGATCTCCAGACCACGATGGTGTTTCCTGTCTCATGAAGGCAACCCCAGGGGGCCAGTTTGCGCAAATGGGTTTCCTGGAATGAAGGCCGAGTAGGCTCTACTTTCCTCTACGGTTTTCAAATACACCCAGCATAAGGTCAATCAACTTTAGATGGAAAGAACGGCCCGCACAAACAGCGACCGCTCAAGTATTTCTGTCCCACCAAAACTTGGGTTGACAGGCATTGATTGAATTGTATCCAACTTTCAAACCGACTTTAGAAGACTGACTTTAGCAGAAGATCGAAATATGGGTTTGTCCTGAAAACCCTACAGGACACACTTCCAAGGAGGAAAAGGAACCGCCAGGCCAGACCATGGGAAACATAAGAATGAATAGTTTCACAAGACCATGCACTTGAAAGGCGGACGTGCACATACACGTGCCCATTGAAAAAGCAGAAAAGTCCTCTAAAACTGGCTCCAGGTGACAAGTGGCTTCCATGCCAGGGCAACCACTGGAGGAACACGAGCGAACGAGCATGCAGCTTCATGTACGGAAGCGGACTGACACAAATGTTTTTACAATAAAGTATGGCTTCCTCTCCTTGACACAGAGATGGTTAAATTGAAGGGGGCAGAAGCAACCGGACGCAGCGAAGAAAACCGGGGGAGGATAAGATAGCTTCCAAACCACTCTGAGATGCTCAAAGTGACAACCGGGCCAGGACCACCGGTAATGACGAGCTCCTCACGAAGCAAGAGACACAGCTTCAACCTCACCAACAGAATCATACGATGCTGACATGAGCCCTCACCACTGGAAAATCAAGAGGCGACCTTTTTGTCATCTTCTCCTCATCCGGTGCAGATCTTGTGAGAAGACGCCTCTGTATCCATCGCAGCGGGTCGGGGGCCAGCTTCCTTTGACACCTGACAGCCCCTACTCCCAAGCTGCGGACTTCTGCTGTTACCGCCCTATGCCTGATAGGAATAGCAGGTAAGAGAGGCATTGACTGCGCTTCTGCACATCCTGAGCAGCTTGTAGGGCCCGCTCGGGCTGCAAACCGCTGCGCTGAAGTCAGCGAACTGAGACAGCATGAGCTGGCCATCTCAGGGACCCTTCCTTTTAACGCTCCCACACGGCTTAACAACAGAAAACACTTGGACGTGGTTGCTGAAACTAGAGAATCTAATAGCGGCGGCGCAGAATGGTGGTCAACAAGTTCGGCCTCTGTCCTCAAGTTGAAGTTGAACAACTCCTCGCGTGTGCGAACAACTTCAAGGAGGTGCTGGCTACCTAAGAACATAGGACAGCCCCTCGGGGATGTATCGAATCGGTTTG